GTTCTCCGGCCCCGGGTTGGCAGAAATTTTCGCTCCTGAAAATTGAAAATATCGAAAATTTCACATTTTCACGCTCAAATTTCGAAATGTGGGGTCACATGGATTTCGACGAAAATCGCATGGTAGTGAGAACCATCCAGGGTCATGTTTATGTGAAAGTATGAACTTTGATATTTTTCTCCTTCATACATATTTTTGACAATAAAAATACATAAAATAACTTGATTTCACGATTTCTGTTTTGGAGCGAGGTATACGTTTGATGCATGTTTTCTCACTCAATGAGGCAGAAATGAGGTATTCCGGCCTCAACTAAGCTGTCGCTCCCAGTATTCTTCCAGAAAGTGTCGCCAAAATGGTGTTAAAAGTTGGCAAATTGCCAATCTGTGGTGACACTGCGCCTGTCTCGCCGCGGACAGCAGCAAGGTCAACGCTTCCACCACGAGGGAAATTTAGCACCGGAATTATCTGTCACCACAGATTGGCAATTTGCCAACTTTTAACACCATTTTGGCGACACTTTCTGGAAGAATACTGGGAGTGACAGCTTAGTTGAAGCCGGAATACCTCATTTCTGCCTCATTGAGTGAGAAAACATGCATCAAAAGTACACCTCGCTCCAAAACAGAAATCGTGAAATCAAGTTATTTTATGTATTTTTATTGTCAAAAATATGTATGAAGGAGAAAAATATCAAAGTTCATACTTTCACATAAACATAACCCTGGATGGTTCTCACTACCATGCGATTTTCGTCGAAATTGTGGACGACGGACGGACGGACGGGGGCGATGGCAATATACGACCACATTTCCATGTGGGCGTATAAAAACGCGATTTTTCGTATAATCAGGGGCTATAATCCATGAAGTTACGGTCCGATACATGCCAAAATCGAAAGGAACCAAGATCTTAGGGAGATAAAGCTATATTTCAAATTTCATTGAAAAAGGATAAAAATTGTGACCTGTAGAGTATCCATAAACAATTGTGGACGGACAGGGGCAACGACAATAAACGTCCACATGAAAATGTGGGCGTATAAAAATTGGGCATGGCTCTGCCCCTGGGGGTTGGGTATGGAACAATATAAATAGGTACCACCCTGTTATTGAAATGATATGCTGAATTTGAACAAAATCTGTTAATTATTGCAATCTGTAGAGTATTTACAGATAAAAATTAACAAAAAAGTGAAGGTTGGGACATGCACCAAAATAAATAAGGAATAAATATGATGATCTATTTAGAATTCCAGTCTGTAGACAAAAAACACAAAAATTGGGGGTGGCTCTGACCCTGGGGGTTGGACATGGACTATTATAAATAGGTACAACCCTATGCTGGATCATTCCAAATCTGTTAATAATTGCAACCTGTATGTCATTTACTGACAGAATATCAACAAAAAGTGTGTGGGTGTGTGTGTGTGTGTGTGTGTTTTATTTAGTTCACTGCTAGTATTGTCTGCCACTATCATAATGAATAGAAGTTTTGGAAAAGTCGGGTAAATATCACATGGTTTGCACATGATTGGAATGAAGGATGAAAGTGGGGATATATAATCCCTTTGATGTCACATGATTACCGTCAAATGATAAAAATTTAGAAATAATTTAGTGATTTGTATTGTTATGCTAGGCTACTTTACAATTTTTACATAATTTGTATCAACAAATAATAACTTATAATATAAATCATACTTTATTAATTAATAATATTACCAACAAATAAGTTCCCATTAGATGTTTTATTTTTAACTATAGTTCTAGAAATGTGGGGAGAATGTCACGTGATTGCCACTGTTGACAGACAGGTCATGCAGGAAGCTATTGCTTTGATGTATCAATGCATGAACTAATATAGACATACAGGTGCCGTCAGTGCCGATCACTTTAAGGAATTATGATAATCTCGACTTTATTAATTAATGATACGGCAAATAATTAAGTTCATAATAGATGGCGTGTATTTTTGATTGCGTAGGAAGCCTGACCCAATTATTACTTTAAAAACACAGCGTTCGTGTTTGATTGCTGCGGTAAATTAGTACCACGCATTTTCCGACTAACAATGACAAATATCTACGTAGATTATGATGCTATTCGAGACATTTTAATGTGTAGTAGTTTTTTATCCACCACTATCAGTAATTGTATCTGTATCGGCCGATATACTTCGCTGCCAATATCTGATATCGGTAAAAGCATATTGGACCATCACTAGGACAACCAGCGGCTGCCAGGCAGGATACGCTCACATTTTCGAGAGATGGATAGAGAACAAGCTAAAAAGAAAGTGATTTTTCCTACAATCAAGGGCCATAATTCATGAAGTTACAATCGGATATGCGCTAATATCGAAAGGAACCAAGATCTTTGGGTTAAAACATGCATTTCAAGTTTCATCAAAATCGGATTAAATTGTAACCTCTACCCACAACCTTGATATACCATATTTTTACACCTTTCGTGTACAAGCGGCGGCCATTTTGTCCAGCAGTTTTGGTTTGATTTTTAGGAAATTTGAACTCAACCTTTATTATGGTGTTACGGTGATATATTCAAACAGTTTTTTAAAATCAGATAATGACTGTGACCTTCAGAGGGACCACAAGCTAAAAAAGGTGATTTTTCGTATAATCAGGGGCCATAATTCAGGAAGTTACGATCCGATATGCGACAATATCGAAAGGAACCAAGATCTTTAGGTTATAAATATGCATTTCAAGTTTCATCAAAATCGAATTAAAATTGTGACCTCTACAGGGTCCACAACCTTGATTTACCATATTTTCACACTATTCGAGTACAAACGGCAGCCATTTTGTCCGGGAATTTTGGTACGGTTTCTCACGAAATTCAAACTCAACCTTCCTTAGGGTGTAACGGTGATATAATAAAACGATTTTTTAAATCGGATAAAAATTATGGGTCCACAAGCTAATAACGCGATTTTTCGTACAATCAGGGGCCATAATTCAGGAAGTTACGGTCCGATATGCACGAATATCGAAAGGAACTGAGATCTTTGGGTTATAAACTTACATTTCAAGTTTCAACAAAATCGGATAAAAATTGTGACCTCTATAGGGTCCACAAGCTAAAAACGTGATTTTTGGTACAAACAGGGGCCATAATCCATGAAGTTTCGATCCAATACATGCCAATATCAAAAGCAGCCGAGATCTTTTGGGGACAAACCTATATTTAAAGTTTCGTCAAAATCGGACAAGAATTGTGACCTGTAGAGAGTCCACAAACAAATTGTGGACGGACAGGGGCGACGACAATATACGTCCACATGAAAATGTGGGCGTATAAAAACAACCTATCAGTCTAATTGGTCAGCAAATTGTAAGGCTTGAAAGAAAAGTGCTATTCATTCGGGTTGGTGTATCTTCTGACAACAAAGATGGCGATAAACCGCTTGCAAAACTAATTGAATCCTTGGTACCTTCTTCAAACACAACAGGAGATTTTATCAATTCCGACGTTATCATATTTTAAGTTCTGGGTATTCGAGAGCAGGGTTCTTAATCCATTTTGAAACAAATCGGCCAGAATTGGGTCAAATGAGGTCCTGGTAGGAAATGGGTTTTAAAATTCTAAGCTTCCATTCCCTTTAATATAACCAGACTTCCACCAAAAATAATTCTTGGTAATTTGTTATGAGGAATATCGTATTCTACTGTATGTAATTACCACAAATAGCCTGTAACGTGAAACAGGTACACCGTTCGGAAAATTGATCATATTTAATTCACGTACCTGCTCGAAATTCATGTCAGTAATATTCCTGAATAAATTACTGTATATTTGTTTTTTTCGATGGATATAAGTTGATACGTACCATGGTATTTCTTCATAACGCAATTTGTAGGGGTTTTTTTTCTATCAGGTAACTTGCAAATGTTTTTATTCATTCGTCCATGATAGACACACAGCACAGTGATCAGTGACAACCATAATTGAAATGGCTTTAAAATTAAATCCCATACAACTATGCCATACAGCTTTCAATAATAATAATGACAATATTTTAAAAATCAAGCCTCTGTCAGCATGTGTATAAAAGAAAAAAAATCATAACGGTAAACGCTATTAAAAACTAAAACTAGCATCTCTGGTTTACTGACCTAATTCTAACCGATGTCACGTGTCATATTCCACATTGGAGATTCATAATATATTATTAATGACCGTTTCTCGGTGTATTCGCTGTTCTATCCGAGGATTATATTCAACTAAGATTTAACTAATAACTGGTCAGTGAAACCATTAAATTATGATCTAATTATTATTCTAATATCTACCGGTACACCTGGAATTCATATGGACCGTCGAAGGCGCGCGATAGATGCACAATACATTCCGAGATCGTATCGTCTTCCTTCGATTGCCATGTGGCCTATTTCCACAAGGCAACTTACTGGACCTGTTATGAATAATCAGCAAGTGTGTTTTGTTTTTTTACCGGATTATCAAAATTACCATTACTTGTGCTAATTACTCGGATTATGAACCACATGGCAGATTCTTACTCTAAGGTATGATTGTGTAGCCGACAAGCAAGTTGATTGACTACTTAATTAACAAGTAATTTAGCAGAAAGTAGATAGATTTATGATATCATAGTGGCCGGTTCATTGTTTTACCAATCGGCTAAAGCCGACAAAAAACAGCCAAATAAGATCCTTGTTCGAGAGTACATTATCATAATACTCCCGGTATTCAAAGGTATAATAATACTTCCGATACTGAGGCAATTGAGTATTGCGACATGTTTTGTAATCCGGCATATTGTATTTGTATCGATCCCGTAGGATGTCGGAATTGACAGAGTCTTGAAAAAAAAATAAAACCCAGGACAACAAAACATATTAATCTACTAGATATTGAAATTAATGTATAAGTGTATGATTGGGTTGTATAAAAACTATCAAACCTGTTTCGAGGACAGGTCTAGTTTTATTTACTTTTATATTTTTAGAAATGTACCTTATTTTAAGGGACATAGTATCACATCTAGCTTTCAACCATTTACTTGTTATTCTGTCACTTTCTGTTTGCTCTTGTAGCCGATAATCTTGAATCAACTTCTCTAACAGAAATAGGGCATCTACCAAAGACTAAAATAATTAAACAGTGTTATTAAATTTTATTCTTATGCACAATAATGAATTTTAAAAATAGGTTGACGATATCTTAGCTTCTCAATTTTGTACAAATTTTTGAAACTGACAATGTGAAAAATAACTAAAAATCAGGTGCCTGTTTCAAGAAATTTTAAATAAGATAGTAAATTGATTGGATAATATTAGATTGATGTTTGTGCTTAGCCAATCAAAATTGAAGTATCTGTTTCACAAAATCTTAACTAAAGATAAAATTCAAATTTTAGTAGATACTTCAATTTTGATTGGCTAAGCACTAAAATCAATCTAATATTATCCAATCAAATTACTAAAATTTGGATTTTATCTTAGTTAAAATTTCGTGAAACAGGCCCCAGCTCTTAATATTCATCTAGGGGGGTTGGAAAGCCGAATGGTTAGCATGTGCGTGCTGTATCATAAGGTCTGTCATTGATGAACTGGTGTGGTTTCAATTCTCCAGTTGTACGTGACAAGGAGTAGGGCCCCTGTCCAACCTCTTGGGTTTCTCCGGGTCCTCCGGTTTCCTCCCACTGCTAAAAAAAACCCTATGCGCCAGCGATTTATTGAAATAAAATTGAACCATGTGTTGGTTTCTCTCTCTCTCTTACACTCTCTCTCTCATATTCATCTTATCAAAAAGAAACACATATAAATACACATAAGATAATTCAAAGGCCAGTACACATCTACAATTATTTGTAGGTGATGATTCACAAAATGCCAAATATATGTGGACACTTAGCAGTCATGAATTTTTCTTCTAGAAAATCTTCTTTGATTTAACTGTTAGCTTGATGAACTATGGGTGACAAATAGCTTGTTACCAAAATTTAATCTATAGTAGGCTATGTGCTGGCCCATATCAATATTTCTATACCTGATAATAAACCCAGAACTGTTTTTCTCTACGAATACGGTCCTGTTTTAATAATTTTTCTTCATCTTCTAACTTTTTTTTCAAAATTTCTACAGTAGCTGGCAATTGCGAAGCTTTTGCTAAAGTTAATCTACTACCCTCTGAAAAATGAATACACTTGTTAAAGATACATTATTTAAGGGTTTAATAAAGAGTTGGCCATTCTTGCTATAATAATTCAAAAACAGATGATAAAAAAAGAAAAAGTTGAAAATTTCAGTAAAATTACTTTATTCTGAACGGAGTTGTCACTGTTGGAAGTTAGACTAGAAATAGGCATCAACTGTGTCCGCACTGTCTACGAGAATTGTCGATCGTATGATTGACAGATGATACTTTTGATAGCTCCACCCACATATTCTTGATCATAAAGTAACATTCTCAATGGCTATAGTACCCTCGCTTGGCAGGCCTTTCATCACCAGTCTCCAGGTGTGACTAATTGTAAATGTTAGCTTGATCCAGCATTTACTGATTTCATTTTAAATGGACAACTGTTTAAGTCTTAGCTGTATCCAAGCCATCCTAGGGTCTACAGAGTTGATTTTGAGCTTGTCACGTAAATAAAGGTCTAATTAATAATTTCTATAACATCTGATGCCTAAATATAGACTTGCAATAGGCAGATTTAGCTCTTGCATAAGGTATGTTTAATTCATTGAGCTGACAAATTCATTTTCATTTTTTGCAAAATTTTTGGCCTAGCACTATTTTTTTGGTCGGGGATTGGCCATTTCCAAAGTAGCGGCCATTTCCAGCTCCAGGTGAATTTTGATTTTTTTCACAATATTGAATTAGAAACACTTTGAAATTGAATAGGCCTTCTAGGGTGTCCTTTATAGGGTTTTCCGGGACAACAAACACAAATACAATATAATTTTTCATTTTCAATAATCCAATAAGGCGGCCATTTTCCATCACAAAATGGCAGAAAACATATTTTTTTCATCGATTGAATATAAAATTAGATTTCATATACCGTGTAATATGTCCTTTGTAGGGTATGCAGGGTTCGTACAATCAGGGGCCATAATCCCGGAGGTTATGGTCAGAAAGGTGTGAATATCAAAAGGGACCTAGATATTTGGAATATAAAGACAGATTTTAAGTTTCATCAAAATCAGAAAAAACTTTTGGAGGGTCCACAACCTTGGTACTAGTACATACTTTTACAGTATTTGCATGCAAGAAGCGACCATTTTGTCTGGCAATTTGGGTTAAATATTTATGAAATTCGAACTTAACCTTCATTGATGTGTAACAGTGATATATTTAAATGTTTTTTTAAAATTTAATACAAATTGTGACTTCTTCATGATATAAACATAAATTTGAAGTTTCATCAAAATCGGATCAAAATTGTGGCCTCTACAGGGTCCTCTGTAACACTATCCTGTGTCTCGGCAACAAATAATTAATTGGCTGTGGCACGATCGTCTAGGACTTTCTTCGACTTCACGTTGTGATAACTATTTCCAATGATCAATTAAGTCTGAAACACTGTTTATGTTGTTTCTATGTTTATATATCAAATACAGGAAACTACAACGTTAAATACAGGAAAACTACAATATCTATGATAGTACTTTTCGAGTTATTAAAATATCCACGGTCTGAGTTAAATATCCTTTCTAACTCAGACCAGAACAGCTTAAACGTGGCAAGAGCCACATACTACTTGATAGTTCTACATAAGGTTCATGCTAGGATGACGTGTTCACCTTAGCCTCTAAGTACAATGTTCCCTTGAGCTCCGAATGATATCTGGGGGTAAATCAAAGTATAATGCGTCATCTATTAGGGCGGGACAATTACCATTTTTGGGTAAATGTTTTATATAGGCACCGTTTTACATCAACACTATTCTAGTTAATTGTACTAATCTGTGTACGAGATAACTGGACAATAGTCCCCTACTTCCAGCAATGGATAATGACATAACTATCGGTGAGTTGGTCTAAGAAAGTAGTAGATTAATGCAAGCTACTTCATTTACCTACACATCATGTAGGTAAATAATTTCTATATTAAACAGAACAACTTTCTTAGAACTAAAATAACCCTATAGTATTACACCACAACCTCATTATACTATATATTTACACTTGTCGTTGATTCCTTAAAGCAGTTAGGTTTTAAAACGTTAAATGCTGTGTAATTCAACATTGTGCCCTAGAGGTTTAATATGATGTAGGTATGAACTAGTACCAAAAGGTTTATTTATATGAGAGTCAAGGTTTAGACTATGCCTTGGAAAACGGAAGTAGGAGGCGACTGGTATGTGTCTCTATTTTGTAGATCAAGGTGATACGAACGAAACTAGTCACTGACACTCGAGATAACCAGGTCCTCATAGCCACCCTTATTTCTTATATTATCTTACTCTCTGCTCGTTATGGCTAATTTTGTTGATCAAATCGGTTGGTCGTGATTCCCCCTTTTTCTTCGGAATCAACCACCACTTTGACAGAAGATATTCTTTCGGCTAAAAAAAACCTTTATTCTCTCAGCTACGAGAAATATGTAGAATCAAACCGGTCCAGAGCCAATTTGGCAGCCACCTTGACTGATTTAACGACAAGTTAATCATTTAACGATACCCTGCTAGGTGGGTTAAATATGGACCAGTTTAACGATGACATAACCATGCGTTAAATTTAACGACACGATGAACAAGAGACTTCTTCAGTCATTAAATATAACGATGTTGTTAAATGATTTAACCACATCATTAAATTTAACCACAAGTTGAACAGCCGGTTGATAAGAAACCGAAGGTGAACAGGCCTATCTATCCAGTTAATACTACGGACAATCTAACCTCAGTCCACAAAATAGAGACACATACCAGTCACCTCCTACTTCCGTTTTCCAAGCCATAGTCCAAACCTTGACACTCATATGGGTCATTCCATGTCAAGTGGGTCAATTTTCAAAAATTTTGGAAATCGACCCTCTCGAAAAAATCTGGAAAAAATATATGGTATAGTAGTTAAAAGTACGTGCAAAAATTAGAAACTGCAAAATTTGTGGTCTGTGGCTTAAAAATTGATTGGGATGCAGGCATTTGAGTTTCATGAGTTACCGATAAGTTTTCGAAACAAAATATGTATCAATAATTTACTTGGGTTTCTGCTATCTTGTTTTTACCTTTCTAGTAAAGATATGAAGCCCAAATTTGGTAGCGTTAGAGAACTTTGTGTAGATTACAAATCTGCAATAAGATGACAGGTGAGTGGTAGGGTTAGCATGCTACTTGGCCATGAAAACCGAAAACAATTTGGTGTAATAGGATATTTTCTGGATTTTGTAGTGCTCCAGGAGCTACAAGTACAATGTGATAGATATAGACCCATGGTTTTATACACAAATTTTTGAAAATTACCTCATATTTTCGATCCGAAAGAACCTGGTAGATGAGCACTTAAAATTCTGAAACTTGGTGTAATAATTGTTTGTACTAATGTCTCCAACATATGTTAAAACCATTCTTGTCCCAGGCAATCTCGATTATTTTCAAAATATGTGGTTTAGGTCATTCCAAGTCAATACCACCCAATGAGTTAAAACGTACCCACTTCAATTTTGCTAAAATATGGTTTATATGCTTATTAGGGCTGAAAAAGATGATATTCCAAATTTTAGCTTGATCCGACTATCGGTTTATTTGAGTAATAGCGGCACGCCCTTTTTGGCCGAAATCCCCAAAATTCGTCAGATCAAGCTAAAATTAGGTATTTATAAACATATAAACCAAATTTCAGCAAAATCAAAAGGGGTCCGGTTTAACTCATTGGGTGATAATTGACATGGAATGAACTAAAACAAAACACAGATTTTGAAAAAATCAAAAATATATTGAGATGGCATGGGACAAGAATGGTTTTAAAATATGTTAGAGACATAAGTACAAACTATAATTCCACCAAGTTTCAGATTTTTAGGTGTTCATCTACCGGGTTCAATCGGCTTGAAAATATGGTAATTGACATAGATTGACCCAAATCACAAATGTGGAAAAGATAGGTTTCCAGGCAACGAAACATACACCCACAAAAGCTAAATCGTCTGGGCAGTCAACAAGAGTTGTCGCATATTTTTACATTTTTCGATAATGAAACATTTATAATACACTAAAATCTGATTAAGAGTAACAACTCATTAAGTAATTATCAGAAAACCATTAGAATTTGTTTGGTTTTTATAAGTTCTGCCCCATGCTAACGTTTAGTATATGAAACATTTAATATCATGGATTCTGCTGTTCAAGTTATCAAAATTCATTGAAAATCAATATCGTCTCGTTAGTCTCAAGACCTTAAACTCTGTTTATCACCCAATAATACATTCTACAGTAGATATCGCTTGTGTGATATATTTCATAATCTACTGCGATATCTCCTTAAGAGATATCGCTTTACATGTATTTGATTGGTCAGTTGAAAAGGAACTACTTTTTTTTATTTTCAAAGAACAGTTCATTTCTTATTAAAAGTAACTTTTTTTTTATTAAAAATGAACTATTGTTATTCAATTGACCTTGATGGAAACACTGGGTCAATATAAAGGAATTTGCAATGGTTGAATTGCTGTCAAAAAATGATGTATCACTACGCCGTTACTCGTCTTTTTTGATATCAAAAAAGACTGGTAGGAGATTCTCTATATATCAATCTGAAGTCAATCGGATGATAACTTTAGCCTCTAGAGCTTCACAAAATTTTTCAAAGTGATCAAGGGCCATAACTTTGGCAGTAATTATCGGAAATTGTTGAAAATCAATAGGATTCTTCATCTCATGACCTCAAACACTGCATATAAATTTAAAGTCAATCGTATATCAACTTTAGCCTCTAGAGCGTCCACAAGATTTTTCAAAGTGATCAAGGGCCATAACTTTGGTAGTAATTATCTGAAACTCGAGTAAATTATTGATACATATTTTGTTTCAAAATTTCATCGGTAACTCATGAAACTCAAATGCCCGTATCGCAGTCAATTTTCAAGCTACAGACCATAAATTTTGTACAGTTTCTAGTTTTTACATGTACAATAACATATATTTTTTACAGATTTTTTTCAAGGGGGTCGATTTTCCATCCCTGGCCGACTTGACATGGAATGACCCATATAATTAAACCATTTGGTACTAATTCGTACCTATATAGTATTAAACCCCTCGGGCGCCATGTTGACTTACACAGCATTTAACGTTTTAAAACCTAACTACTTTATGGAATCAACGACAAATCTAAACTTGGACACTCCAACCATTTTTATTTTTGTTTTATAAAGCTCTACCCCTGAGTGTTCCAACTTTGGATTTATATTTAGCCTTATATATTTACTCTTGTCTATATACCATCCCTTTATTGTTATGACAAGTAACAATGTTACAAACCAACCTAAGACATCCTAGTTAGCAAAATTATGGACACTAGCACTTCAATCTAAACGATCAGTTGTCAAACCTCTGTACAACCCCGGTAACAAATTCGCAAACCCCGCCAAGTTGTCAAACCTCTGTACAACCCCGGTAAGCGAGCTACTGCCCCCAGTAACTACTACGCAAACCCCGCCAAGAGGCTAACCCCGGTAACACCCGCAAATTAGTAATCATGGACCCGACCGGGGTTTTGAAATAGTATGATTAAAAAACGCCCACCATGTGATTCAAATCGTTCAGAAGAGTTCAATACGAACGAAACTAGTCACTGACACTCAGGATAACCAGGTTATTTGCGTACGAGGGGCAGCCATTATGTCCGCCAATTTTGGTTCGATTTTCATGAAATTCAAACTCAACCGTCCTTAGAGAGTAACGGTGATATATTCAAACGTTATTTAAAAAGGAAAAAAATTGTGAACTCTAGATAGACCACAAGCTAAAACACAATTTTTCAAACAATAAAGGGCCATAGTTTAAGAAGTTACAATCCGATATGCCCGAATATTAAAAGGAACCAAAATCTTTGGGTTATATTAATTAATTAAATATTCCATTTTGGCTACTTAAATAACGAAATAGTTGAATTGGCCGTAGAAAAAACCATTTCAGTAGCTCACACGTAATTACCATGTGCTCCATAGTAAATACACTGACCTGGATAATTTTGAGTTGTAACACAATAACTTCGATATGAAGATAAATATATAATTATCCACGGCATATTTCTCACATTTATTGGTTTTAAGACCATATCTTACGGAATTACGGGTCGCAGAATTGTGACGTAAATCCTAATAATGTATAACTAAATGACTAACGGATAACTAACTTCCCAGCTAACGACACTAGCGCCCCCTAGAATATCGTCGTGTGTAAGAGTAACCGTATATACACGACATATTTTCTACATGTGGAATTATCAATATCGCTGCACAATAGAACTGGAATACGTAATTTTCTTAATTTTTCGGTAAGCAAGTTAACTATTCTCTAGATTTTATTTCTACAATTTCCACAAGGCCATAATGCCGCTATAAAAATTTATAAATGCAATTTTCTCCCAACACGTACATGTACGTTGTTAAAGACTTCCGTAATTTCTATGCTGTTTTTTTTTATATGACAGTTGGTTGGATAAGAGCAGTATTTTATATCAATTGCCTTTTTTCGAAGCTCATAATAACCTTGTTTACATCGTGCCTGACCGTAATAGCGGTAAACGTCTTTGATGTTGAAAATCCTTCTGACACGTGGACAATACGTGAATGATTAACAATGGACCGCTTCACGCCGTTGATTAGATTCCCACTTATCAATTAACTTTTATTGTTCTCTACCCGACACTCATCATTAATTATCAACACACCACTCAGTATAATCTGTTGACGACTATTGTATTTATACAACTCTATAACACCAATCACGAGATTGGCTTCTATACGTATGCATTCTTGTATAGTTACATAGTGGAGGTCGATTGTAGCCATGTTTGAAAATTGGGTTTTGGAAAAAAAGACTCTTTCCGGTGTGCAAAATGACCGTTAGGTCAGACCTAGGAACGGTCATTTGCCATAGCCGCAGGTCTCGACCGGCATATACGGCCGACGTGGAACCCATGGTCCACAACCTTGATATATTTTTACACTATTTGCAAACAAGGGCAGCCATTTTATTTTGTCCGGCAGATTTGATCCCATTTTCACGAAATTCAAACTTACCCAACAATATGGTGCAATGATGAAATATTTGAATGGATTTTTAAATCGGATAATAATTGGGACCTCTAGAGGAACTACAAGCTAAAACGTGATTATTACTACCATCAGGGGCCATAATTCAGGAAGTTACCTTCCAATGTGCGTGATTATCGAAAGGAATCGAGATTTTTGTGATATGAACATAAACTTAAAGCTTCATCAAAATCAGATCAAAATTGTGACCTCTAGAGTGTCCACAACCTTGATATGACATACTTTTACACTATTTGCGTACAAGGGCGGCCATTTTGTCTGGCAGTTTTGGTCTGATTTTCACGAAATTAGAACTAAACCCTCATTATGGTGTAACGGTGATATGTTTAAATGGTTTTCTAAATCCGATAAAAATTGTGACGTCTATAGGGACCACAAACTACAATTTCGTACAATCAGGGGCCATAATCCAGGAAGTTATGGTCCAATATGCATGAATATTGAAAGGAACCAAGATCCTTGGGGATATAAACATGCATTTCATGTTTCATCAAAATCGTATAAAAATTGTGACCTCTAAAGTGTCTACAAGCTACAAACATGATTTTTCATACAATCAGGGGCCATAATCCATGAAGTTACAATCCGATATATGCCAATTTCTAACGAAACAGTGATCTTTGGGAGATACACCTATACTTTAAGTTTTGTAAAAATCAGATAAACATTGTGACCTGTAGAGTGTCCACAAACAAAATGTGAACGTACATGTGGGCGTATAATTAAAATTTGTGACCTTTTTGTTAAGTTCCTATTCAACTATCAATCGTATAAACCTTATTTTAATTCAGTTGTGTGATGGAGATTACAGAACACACAACCGTATCGGCTTCTTTGGTGATCTACAAACTAAAATTTTTAACATTCATCAACTACTACAGATGACATAACAGGATATAATCAACACAAGCAAGCACTACCTGTGAGTTTACCTGAATCTTTTATGGGCCTCTTTTTATTTCCAACTGAATCCAAGCCTGGAAATATTTATTAAAGCTAAATCATCAATTTGAGTACATATTGGCATGATATTTTCCAAAAATGTACATGATACACAGAGACTTTAAATGAAACAAACCCGAATAACTATTGGGATCTTCATAGTGTACCAAATCTTCACATTTCTTTCTTAATCTGTCCTCTATTTCTGGTATTAATCGAAGCTGAAGGCTAGTGATGTGCTGGAAAAAATATATTAACAGGTTAAAATAATGACAGAATATTAATTCCATGTATAACAAATAACCACTAGCATAAACAGTGATGGATATTGGCTTAATTAATAAAAGGTCACAAGGTAATTTGTGACTTGAATTTCATGTACAACATATAACCACTAGCATCGTTTACATATCTATTTGGTTCATTGTTTCTATTTTACAGCAACCCCAAACTGAATATCATGTAGCTTCATTTATTTCTCATCTTTCTGAAACACTCTGCTAAGAGAGATTTTCAAGACCCCACAGTTAAGGCCCCCCTTTAGGACCTTAAAAAAACTAACACCATAAGCCAAACCATTCCTCAGTAATTTACCTTTTTATAAGGATTATGTCTGTGAACATCTTCATTTGTGAGACCGAGTAATGTAGCTTTAACACTAGGATCAGGGCTAAAATCCAGATAATGAACAATTTCTTTATAATTTAAACATTTGTGAAGAATCTCTACAAACTGGAAGAAAAAAAATGGATAGACAAAATAAATATATAGGCTACTAATGTTATGAAAAAAAATACAATATCAATTAACCATATAATCTTTATGGAAATAAAATATACATGTTTTATCCAAGTTATTACCAAAATATTTACTAATTTATAAAATATATGAAAGTGTAATGTGTATTGTATTTAAGTGATTCTATAAAACAACTAATCCACAAAATAAATGTTTATCTTATATCTTCTTCATGTACATGAACAAAAAAAAGTACATGACATATTTGTATTAAAGATAAATTATGGGAGATTAGATAAAGATCTGGCAGTTTTCACTATAATAGTTAAAAACTAGATAGGGAATTTGCTAAAAATTTCAGTCAAATTGATCCACTCTGAACCGATATTTTAGCGATTGAATTTCGGCCTAGCTTCGATCATCATTACTAAAGTAGGTACGATAAAAAATATAGTCTCGATTATCCATTTCATGATTAAATTGGGAATGGAAGTCGAACAGCAAACCGGAACCTAATCCAATAAACATCAGAGGCTAGCGATGCCATCAAGAGTTGATTATGGTCTGGATAAGTTCATTAATGTCTAATTAATAATTTAGATAACATTTCAGGCCTAAAGAAAGACCTGCAATAGGCAGATTTAGCTCTTGCATAATGTATGTTTAATGTAATGCAACAATGATGCCCATGTTTGAGCAGAGTTACTTGTTAAACTGTTTGTTCTTCTGCACAGATTTAGAAATTTGTCTACTCTGCACTTTCTGCTTCAAAATAAGGATAACAAGCCAACAGTGAGGCTGATGTCCCCCGCCGAAATCCCGGAATAAATAGATGACACACATTAATTAATTGCACATTTATCAAGCAATCATCAACTATACACTAAATTTCATCACTCTCTATCGGACAGAATCAAAGAAATTGCTTAGCTCTGCTTAGCTTTGGTGAGATATGTTAATTATTGAACTCAGTCAAGAAATTCACCTAATGAACATCTACATCAAGTTTAAACATTCTACCTCAATTAAAAGCAGAGTTGTTATGTTACAAAGTCTTGACCAATCAAATTGCTTATCACTCCTTAGGCTAAGCAGAAAATTTTCATCATCAAACTTAGTCACGGTAATTAAATAAAGAATCTATACTCAGAGTTTCATCGCTCTCTCTCTGAATTATAACCAAAGTTATCATTCCCAAAAGCATCAACCAATCAATTTGCTCACCTCTGTTTACCGTAAACAGACAACATTCATCATCGAACTCCATCAAGGCATTCACCTAATGAAAGCCTACACCAAGTTTGAACATTCTACCTCAATTAGAAAGGGGATTTATTGTATTCCAAAGTCTCAACCAATATAATTGCTTATCGCTCTGCTTACCCTCAGCAGAAAATGTTCATTATCGAACTTAGTCAAGGCATTGATGTGATGAAATGAAACTATACATCAAGTTTCATCACTCACTTAATTAGAACTAAAGTTATTATGTCCCAAAGCATTAACTAATCAAATTGCTTATATCTGCCTACCCTTAGCAGAAAATTCTCATCTTCGAACTCCATCAAGGCATTCACCTAAAATTACCTACACAAAGTGTGAACATTATGGTTCAAGTAGGAGAGTTATTGTGTTCCAAAGTCTCAACTAATCAAATTGCTTATCACTCTGCTTACCCTGAGCAGAAAGTGCTCATTATCGAACTTAGCCAAGGTATTGATGTAATGAAACTTTACTACCACGTTTGATCACTCTCACTTAATCAGAACTAAAGTTATCGTGCCCCAAAGCATCAACCAATCAAATTGCTCATCTTTGCTTACCCTGAGCAGAAAATGCTCATCTTTGAACTCCATCAAGGCATTGACATTGACCTAAGTAATAAACACCTACACCAAGTTTAAACATTCTAGCTCAATTAGATTAAGAGAGTTATTGTGTCTCAAAAAGTGTGACAGACGGTCCGTCCGGATAGACAGATGGATGGACAGACACACTCATTTTAATAGTTCCCTGCAGGGGACAAAATAGTAAGCAACACAGTTTTCCATTTATTACCTTTTTATCATCAGAACAAAGAGATACATCTTGACCTTTAATTTTATATTCCAGTATTAATTCTTTCACTTCATGGTACAATACTTGATTTAATAACCATGTATGCTTTGCATGATGTAATATTTCTTTAGACTGAAAACCATAATGACTATATTAAATAGCTGCTGAGAAAAAAACAGGTCAACATAGAAGCTATGTCACACACCTAAATCCCAAAATATAAATGACACATTAAGTAATTTATTTTTGTAAAGCACTAGATAATTAAACTGCAGATCTGTACTTAGCGTTTAGCCTTAGCAGAAAATGATAATCATCGAACTCAGTCAAGACATTCACCTAATGGGCATTCTACTTTCATTAAAGCAGCAATCAAATTGCTTGTCGCTACTTAGCCTAAACATAACGTGAACTTAGTAAATGTATTGATGTAATGAAATCATACACCAAGTTTCATGATGGACCATTCTTAATCAAAGTTATCATGTTCTAGATTGCTTATCACTCTACCTGGCCTGAGCAAAAAATGTTCATGATTGAACTTAGTGAAGATACTGATGTAATGCAACTGATATTGTGTTCCAAAATGTCAACCAATCAAATTGTTTATCTCTGCTTAGCCTTAGTGGAAATTGCTCTTCATCAAACCCAGTCAAGGTATTCACATAATATACATGTACACAAAGTTTGAATATTCTACATCAATTAGGAGAGTTATTGTGCTCCAAAGTCTCGACCAATCACATTGAAGTCTCTATTTAGTCTACGTAGAAAAAGCTCATCATCAAACTTAGTCAAGGTATTGATGTAATAAATTTATACACCAAGCTTCACCATTCTCACTCAATTACATTCCTACCATGCTTCAAAGGCTTGACCAATTAAATTCAGACAGATCAAAAGTTTATAATAGACTCTAATGTGTATTGAGAGGGTGACATCACATTTTGTATAAATTATAACAAGATAAAGTTTATGAAACAACCTGTTTCAAATCTTTCTCTGTTTCCACTGTAATGCATTGTGGGTTTATATATTTTGTTAATATTGTCAAGAGTTTTATAAATTCTGGATACTTCTCAACATCATCAGGTTGCAGATTAACTGGTAATACCTCATTCACTAAAATACAGAAAAACAATGATCATTATTGAATTGATATTCTAATATAAATTTTATATAATCACTCCACTGATAAGGCCATGTCTGTACCTGTATTAACATTGTATGGTTTATGATGAACACTCGACAAATCACCCAACTCACAATGTCAACTTATTTATAATTTATTATGACAAGCCAACAGTGAGGCTGATGTCCCCCGCCGAAATCCCCAAAAAAATAGATGACACATATTAATTAATCGCACAATTATTTTTTTCAAAAGTATCAAGCAATCAAACTAATTATCAACTATACACTAAGTTTCATCGCTCTATCAGATAGAGTTATCTTGTCCCAAAGCATCGACCAATGAAATTTCTTAGCTCTGCTTAGCTTTAGCTCAAAATGTTAATCATTGAACTCAGTCAAGACATTCACCTAATGAACATCTAAATCAAGTTTAAACATTCTACCTCAATTAAAAGCAGAGTTCTTATGTTACAAAGTCTTGACCAATCAAATTGCTTATCGCTCCTTAGGCTAAGCAGAAAATTCTCATCATCGAACTTAGTCCAAGTAATTAAATAATGAATCTATACTCAGAGTTTCATCGCTCTCTCTGAATTATAACCAAAGTTATTGTTTCCAAAAGCATCAACCAATCAATTTGCTTACCTCTGCTTACCGTAAGCAGACAACGTTCATCATTGAACTCCATCAAGGCATTCACCTAATGAACGCCTACACCAAGTTTGAACATTCTACCTCAATTAGAAAGGGGATTTATTGTGTTCCAAAGTATCGACTAATCAAATTGCTTATCGCTCTGCTTACCCTGAGCTGAAAATGCTCACTATCAAAATTAGTCAAGGTATCGATGTGATAAAACTATACACCAAGTGTCCTCACTTTCACTTAATTCTCATCTTCGAACTCCATCAAGGCATTCACCTAATAAACACCTACGACAAGTGTGAACATTCTAGCTCAATTAGAATGAGAGTTATTGTGTTCCAAAGTATCAACCAATCAAATTGCTTATCGCCCTGCTTACCCTGAGCAGAAAATGCTCACTATCGAAATTAGTCAAGGTATTGATGTGATAAAACTATACACCAAGTGTCCTCACTCTCACTCAATTAGAACTAATGTTATCCTGTCCCAAAGAATCAACCAATCAAATTGCTAATCTCTGCTTATAATTACCCTAATATACTATTCAAAAAAAGTAGGGGATATTTGATTTTGGGGGCATAATACTAAAATATGCAAATGACTACGAAAAAAATCACTATAGAACCTGACAGAAGAAACATTTCCAGTTACATGTGACGCCCAAACGCACCAATAGCTACCGCATGGAATGCAGGTGATGCTTGGGATCATCATGGGGGTCCAACCCAAGATTTGCACGACTCTGACTTTGAATGTTACAGTCATTGTGGCATTGAATTCCAGGGTGGAAACATCAGTTTAATTGTTTTAGTGACCAGAAAACAAATTTTGATATGTGTCGGCTTACCCAAAATGAAAGGTTATGTGCCCTTGGCATGCTACAGATCGGCACAACACAGGCGGTTGTGGCGCGGACGATGAATGTTTCTCAGTCTGTCATAAGCAGGCTATGGTCCAGATACCGTGATACACAATCTGTACAGGACAGACCACGCTCAGGTCGACAACTCAAGCCCAGGATCGATTTATCCGTACCTTGGCCTTGAGAAATCGTGTCATCACAGCAAATCAGATCAGCGCTCGTCTTCAAACAGACACTGGTGTGAGAGTGAGTGGCCAGACGATTCGGAATCCACTGCATAGGGGTCATCACATTCAGGCAAGACGTCGTTGGTGTAGGGATCGTCAACACTGGGATAATCGACGCTGGAGCAATGTGATGTTTTCAGATGAGTCAAGGTTCACTGTTGATTTTTTGGACAGACGTAGGAGGGTGTGGCGTCGTCGAAACGAGCGCTTCCAAGACGTTAACGTCATCAGACATGATCGATTTGGGGGTGGTTCTGTTATGGTGTGGGGAGGCATCACTGTTGCTGGAAGAACGGCTTTACATGTTGTTGCAGGGCGTGTTACAGGCCAGTACTACCGGGACAACATCTTGGCAGTCCATGTTGTGCCGTTCGCACGACGTCATGGCCGCCGTTTCATCTTCCAGGATGACAACGCAAGATGTCACAGTGCCAGGATCGTTACAGGTTACCTCCAACAACAGAACATCACCACATTACCTTGGCCAGCACTGAGTCCCAGCCTCTCCCCCATCGAGCATGTCTGGGACATGCTTGGACAGAGGTTACGTCAACGTCAACAACGTCCTGCCAATGTCCAAGAACTTGCTGCTGCGTTGCAACAGGAATGGGACAATCTGGACCAAAATGACCTAAGACGTCTCATTAGGAGTATGCCACGTCGGATAAATGCTTGTTTGGCAAACAGAGGAGGATTTACCCGTTACTGACTTGGTTGTGATGCTGTGGTAAATTTGCTGTTTGACCCCGGGTATCATTTTACCCTTATAATGGTCAGTCTGTGCCTTACTTAGTCTAACGATCATTTGGAATAAATCGATGAATGTGAACTTCATTTCATTTTGTCATTTGTTTCTTCGTCAGTTTCATTAGGTGACTTTAATAACACTTAAAAATCAAATATCCCCTACTTTTTTTGAATAGTATAGTAAGTGCAGGGGAACTGCACCACACATAATTTACACAAAAACAAATATACGGACAAGACATAATGCGCAGAAATCACAAACAAATGCACAATTCAAATAAAGTGAATGGATCCGGGGGCTAGCAGTAAGCGTCCACTGCGCTGTACAGTCCCGGGCCTGTAGTGACACAGACTTTGCTCAAATTTGAAAACAATCAGAAATAAAACCCAGAGAAACCATTGTGTAATGTCAGCATGAGTCATGATCTGCTATATGTTACAAGAAATATGATTGTAAGCATATTGTAGTAAAATTTAACTATACAAGTAACTACTTGCTCATCTTCGAACTCCATCAAGGCATTGACCTAATAAACACCTACACCTACACCATAGCTCAATTAGAATTAGAAGGAGAGTTATTGTTTTCCAAAGTCTTGGCCAATTAAATTGCTTTTCGCTCTGCTTACCCTGAGCAGAAAATGCTCATTGTCAATGTCATTATCAAACTTAGTCAAGGTATTGATATAATGAAACTATGCACCCAGTTTCATCACTCTCACTTAATCAAATTATATCTAAACAAATAATCCCCCTAGTCATGTGACCTGATTCTACCGTAACCACAGGGTGATATAATGGCAACCACACCACCCAAGGTAAATATTGTTGTTGCTCAAATGCACACAGCTTGTTGTCTGGTGTATTTAATCATTTAAAAATTGACAACAATTCTATAAATAAAGTCTATGTATAATCTACTGAAAAATTTGACAAAATGGAATAAATAAGTAGGTCGGAAAAGTATTTCATAAATATGTTTAGTGAAATATAGAAGGGATGTGAAAAGGGAATTCCAGGGGGCGTTACCTTTCCTCTGCATGAGGTAAATATAGTGCCATGCACAGGTGTGAAGGCGTGTTTTAAATTTGATGTTCAATTTATTATGGATATTTTAGAAACTAAATTTACACACTTCTCAAAAGTTTTCTGTTCAATTTAAAACGTAAATTTGGTACATATTTGGCTGAATTCACATATATTTGGATTAGGCTAGAGAACTGCATGAATCTTTGAGTCACTGAGCAAAAGCTGATTTGTGGACTTGCAAGAATTTTTAGGCCTTCCGATATCAAAGAAAAAAAGCTGTTGCATATGGATCAATATATATATGTAAGGACCAAAACAATTTAAGAGTGTTTGTGTACCTATGGATGTGTGGCATGATTGGCATTGGATAATTGATTGACCGGTTAGTCACTGAAGTAACAAGTACGAAAAAAAGCTACCTGGCAATATTGCCCAGACTGCAGCGATATGGCCTCCTCCTATTTAGAGCTTCAACTGTCAAGTGTTCTTTTTTTACGCAAACACCAACCTGTACACAGGGCATCAGTTTTGCATGCCATCCAAACAAACAACTTTGGTGAAAAGAAAAAATCTAGACTCATAAGTTAAAAGATAGGTTGCCAAGCAACGAAACATACGCCCACTGCAGCTAAATCGTCCAATCGGTCGACAAGGGTTGTCGCATATTTATTCTTTTGTAGGTAATTGCAGGCAATTACAATACAATTTCAAAGAGATCAGATTATAATTTCCATCGTTTGAGAGTTCACAAGGTTTTACAAACTGAAACAAGGGTTTAACTCTGGAAGTAATTTGCATAAATTGTTCAAATTTGACAGGCTTTATCGTTAAATTTCATACAGATCTGGTGATAACTTTTGTCATTCGAACGTTCACATTAAGGTTCACAAAGTAAAACAAGAAACATAAATCTAGAAGTAATTGATGGAAATTGCTAAAATTAAATAGACTTCTTCATTTCACTAATCTAAATGATGCATATATTATAAATTTCATACAGATCGAATGATAACATTTGTTGGTTAAGCATTGACAAGGTTGAACAAAGTGAAACAAGGGCCATAACTCTTAGACGTAATTAACGGAAATTGCTGAAATTCAAAAGGATTCTTCTTTGTACTAATTTAAATAACGCATATAAATTTCATACAGATCAGATGATAACTTTTGGCGTTAGAGTGTTTACAAGTTTCAACAAAGTGAAACAAGGGCCATAACTGTTGACAAAATCAACTAATTTATGAACTGCATATAAATTTCACAAAGATCGGATGATAACTTTTGGAGTTAGAAGGTTCACAAGGTTCAACAAAGTGAAACAAGGGCCATAACTCTAGACGTGATAAATGGAAATTGCTAAAATTCAATAGGATTCTTCTTTTTACTAATTTAAATGACGCTTATAAATTTCATACAGATCGGCAGATAACTTTTGATGTTATAGCGTTCATAAGGTGTAACAAAGTGAAACAAGGGCCATAACTCTAGAAGTAGTTAACGGAAATTCAGCTTACTATAGACTAATGTAAACAACATAATCAAGTTTAAAACAATCCGATGATAACATTTGGTGGTCACAAGAAATTGTGGACGACAGACTGACCGGCGGGCCAACTGACAAGACGGGGGCGACCGCAATACATCCACATTTCCATGCGCCGTGGCAATCTGTTTCACAGAGAATTACGGGTCTAGAGTAATATCTCTGTCACAGATGACTGCCTTAACACGTGCCGTCACAGCATGCGGCGTCAATCATTGGCTGAATGGCACGTGCATTGTTTACATAAGACATTACTGCTTCGGGCGGATTGCTGCCTTTTAGTCATTTTAAAACCCATTTACACTAAATATGAAATAATTTTTACCTACAAATACGTCAAAGGCTTTATTTCTTTTTCCAATACATAAAAAAAATGTTTTAGAATTTAATTTGTCGCAGGAAAAATGTTAATATTTCTGGCTCATTAAGTAGCATTGATGTCATCCTTATCAGTGATTGTAGCGGCCTAGCGAAAAATTCACTGCTTATCAGTGTGGCACCGTGGGTGCATAAAAACTATAAAACAATTCAGCACATATATTATATAGAAACCGCCTGAAAGACTGATGTAGTTAATTAGGGATTAACCAATCAATTGATTAATTAGTAATAAGAGGCCCTACAAATTCCTTTGAATATGACAAACAGTATGCAATTTTCCAGGTTGGCAATTATGTCAATGTCATGAGCAGGATTTTAATTTATTTAAATTATTGTTTAAATGAAGTGCTCATATGGAATAAAAACTGGTTTAAATTAACATTCTACATTTCTGCATAGTTTTATCAAAGGAAACTTAATGCTTTATAAAATATCTTATTTTTGGGGCATTTTGACCAAAGCCGCCAAAGGGACACTGAAAAAGTGAATTTTCTTTGGCATAGGGCGATGGGCGTATGTCATGGATTTTTTTTATGGGTGTCAGTTAAGACCACATCCCAGTTAGGCCCAAGTCATTTAGACAAAATATGGTTTAATCATGTTTGGCGATCATGTTTGATCCGACTCGCATTTCTATTTCCATCACTTAGTTTTACACCGAAAAACTAGGGGTTAGCTGTCCGGTGTCCACCATACCATGGAACTTCCATACTTTCTATCACTCAGGGTTAGGGTCAGGTGTTTTAGATTAAAACCTATAACAAAAAAAATGGGAGTCACACCAAACATGAATGCCTCATGTTTTCATCAAGTCCGCTACATAAGTAAATTAATAAGTCATTACATCGCCCAGCTTCTCTACTGCACTGTTTTTCGTTTTCGCCGACACCTGACATTATTTTTGTTTACATGCTACGTCACATTTCCCGCCATATTATGTCTCTGATGTTCCGTATCCTTACTACAAGTTATTTTTTTCCTGTGTAAACGGTATTTATTAAACATAATTCGGACATAATTGTAAAGAATTTTAATAACTTAATTCTGATATTACAACTTGGAAGTTTTATTTACGATATCGAAAATATAGTAGGCGAGCAGATTTAATCGATAAAGATCATCACGATTATTCTTCACATTATATCCAATCATTTAGCTTGGATTATTTCGTGCAGACTAAAAAACATGTCAGCCGCCATGAAGAGTTCTCTATCAAATAATCTTCAACAAAACGTCTCATCTTGCAAAATTCTTGTCGTTGGAGCTGGTGGAATCGGATGTGAACTGTTAAAAAATTTGGCTCTAACAGGATTTTCGGATATTGAAGTGGTAATGACCTAAATCTGCTCTTTGATCAAACTAAATCCTTAAAGAATTATTTCAAATCAACAACAAAGAGACAAAGACATCATGATGCCATGATGATGACATAATTACAATAATAACTAGATCTGCCAGGCAGATATGAAAGCTTTCATATTCACGGTCACTTCCTGACACATGTCATGGGTTATATAAAGAATCTCAAAAACACTTTCATAGAATTTTAGTAAGAGTGTTTCCTTATGTGTGGGTGCGGATACGGTTTTGTATGCTGCGTCCGGTACTTTTTTTCGAAACAGACCATGTAGCGTTCGGTACGGAAACGCATTCGGAACCCTGTCCGTAAACGCACATAAGGAAACACAGTTTGTATGCTGCGGCCAATATTATCAATGTTTTTTCTTCTTTTACGAACCTTGAAAATGCCGGTGCCATGTTGAAAAAAGGGCCCTTCCGCTTGAATAACCGCATATAAGGATAAACAACCTGCCGTGTGCTATGTCTACTCCCGGACCGGACCGTATCCGTACTAAAGGAAATGCAGCTTTTTTGTTGATTTTTTTAAAACTTTGATCCTTAATTTCTCCAAGGAGAGATAGGGTTGAAATTTTTAATGACGTCGTTGACGTTGGATGATCAACCAGATCTACTTACATTCCGAATTTCATGAAAATTGTACTAATATTCAAGAAGTTGTCTTGATGGTTTTACTTCCGGGATGAGATGTCAATGACGTAATATTCGAAAATCGGAAATAGCAAATTTAAACTAAATGTTTTAAGGTACTCAAAGAAAAAAAAATTAGTAAAATAGATCAAAAAGTCACAAAGTTACGGGTATGCAGGTCAATTTATTCATCAGTAAATTTCGGATTCGTAAAACGTTTTGAAAATATATTGATTCGAAAATCACCACCCATGCTTGGAAGGAGGCTTACCAGAAATGTATTAATTTTGGAAATAGGAGACAAATTTACAAAACGGTGGCCAATTTCGATTATTTTCAAGCCGTTAATGGGAATTTTTCACTCGTAAACAAACGTCAAAGGCGGAATTCTAAATTTTGTCCATAATTTCTCCAAGGGGAAATAAGTTAGGACGTAAGTTTCGAAATTCAAAAATCAGAAATAGCAGATTTGAAGTAAATGTTTCAGTGTACTCAAAGAAAAAAGAATTAGTAAAAAGGTCAAATAGTCACAAAGTCACAGCAATGTAGGTCAAATGCTTTCGTTTGTAAAATTCAGTGATTTCGGATTCGCAAAATGTTTTGAAAATATATTCATTCCAAAGCCGCCACCCATTCTTGGGGGAGTAGGTAAAAGTTTCAGAAAGATCCTATGGTTAGATTCTGAGATATAAGATTTGCAGGAAAAGAACAAAAAAAAATAATAATAATAATAATCTTAACAAAAACAATAAGCTTTCATATGAAATATGAAAGCTTAATAATAATAATGATCTTAACAAAAACAAAGATAAAGTTATCATAAAGACCTTTTCTTTATAAAAATCACTCCAAAATTCTAGAATCTGTCCCACCATTCGCTTTCACATTGTTCCATACTTGATCTCAGAAACCATGTTATTGCTAACTGCAAGCCTGGACATAAGGTACATGTCTACACAGAGACTTTACCCAGTACAAATTATCACAACATACATGTATACGTTGAGCACAGATTTCACCTCACAGCCAGATTACCCTGCGCATTCCGTTTACTAATCTGCGCACGCAGAGTTGGGTCTGCCCAGGGTATTTAATGGATTTCCTGCGACGATAATCTGTCTAATCCTACTCGATATTCACTGCTTTTTAGTCTTATTCGTTTTAATAAAACGGTTTTGTGGTACAAGTACAAGCAAGGCAATACGGAAAGAAAAGTATCATCACAAAGTTGATACTTACATTTTATACAACACACCGCTAGGCATTGGAAGGGCACTAGTTACTTACAATTTGGACACATAGCTTTTTTATCCCTACTCCTATTCCTAGCTTTTTTAAGTGTTTGAAGCGATTTCCTGATTCTATTTTTTTTTTATTGCTAGCATGTCACTGCCTAAAACAACCATCGATTTAATCAACCCTTTGAAAAAATTGGGCCCACACATACACATACGCGTATCTGAGGAGTTGTGTCCATTTTACCAGAATTCTGAAACATGTACATTGCACTTTGAAGAAGTATTTAAAAATCTTTCGACTGTTATAAATGTATTCATTTCAACTATACAAAAATAACGCTGAAGTTTACAATAATTATTGCAAATATTTTTGGACATTCAGTCACATGATCAGTTGATGTATATAATAGCGAAGATTATGAGATGCTATAGACTTGAATTTAAATCTTATTCTTAGCACACATGCTAATTATGCAGTGATTTTGAAAGTTATTTGAAAAATCATTGTACATGTACTACAAAATCGATTAATGACAGATCCTACATGTACATGGGACGTCTGATACCCTGTATTCTTCTTTAAAAACATTGAGGAATAATCAGCGCACAGTTGACAATCTGCGCAGCCACGCAGATTGCAAATATCCAACCAATGGGTGAAAAATGCACTCAAGCTATAAAGGCCTGGGCCCTGATTCACGAAATTTTAACTTAAGATAAAATCCAAATTTTAGTAGATACCCCAATTTTGATTGGCTAAGCCCTAAAATCAATCTAATATTATCCAATCAAATTACTAAAATTTGGATTTTATCTCAGTTAAGTTTTCGTGAATTAGGGCCCTGGGCCCTGTTTCACGAAATTTTAACTAAAGATAAAATCCAAACTTTAGTAGATACTTCAATTTTGATTGGCTAATTTTACCCAGTAATACCTTTTGAACCTTCCATAAGCTAACATGTTTCACTCGGGTACAAATTGAAAGAAAACTACTACATCACAAAAGTGATTCATGCTTATTTCTTACCGTATTTCGGACACACTGATATTGTGGTAAATTTATTTTTGCAACATATTTCAATTGAAATGTTCATCTGTCAAAACAAGTTTGAATTCTGCAGGCATCGTTAGTTTTGTGCAGTGAAATTAATAGAGGCCAACTTGAGCCAACACATGCACATTAAAATATACCAGCTTTTCAGCTACATTTTCGTATTTAGTGTAGGCCTATTTAACCTGATCTGTAACCCAGATGTTCAGCAGCTACGTAATTATTACTAGAAATGATAATATTAACCTGTCGCTTGACAGTGCCTTTAAAACACTGATTGATAACTGTATCTTATTTAAATTCCTATGGTTTATATAATGTATGACATTTCAATATACCTGTACATTAGTTATATATAATATAAATATATGATTTATTTCAGATTGATCTAGATACTATAGATGTCAGTAATCTTAATAGACAGTTTTTATTCAGGAAGGAACATGTGGGAAAATCTAAGTCACAGGTAATGTGATTGTTATCAGGTAATTGTTTCTATTATAGTAAAATTAAACTGCTATATCTATAGATTGGGTAATATTTATGTTGACGTATATTGTTGTCGCCCCTGTCCATCCATTTTCATGTGGACGTATATTGTCGTCGCCCCTGTCTGTCCACAATTTGTTTGTGGCCACTCTACAGGTCGCCATTTTTATCCGATTTTGACAAAACTTGAAATATAGGTTTACCTCCCAAAGATCTTGGTTCCTTTCGATATTGGCATGTATTGAATTGTAACTTTATGGATTATAGCCCCTGATTGTACGAAAAATCACGTTTTTAGCTTGTGGACACTCTATAGGTCACAATTATTACCCGATTTCGATATTCATGCATATTGGACCGTAACTTCCTGTATTATGGCCCCTGATTGAACAAAAAATCATGTTTTTAGCTTGTGGTCCCTCTAGAAGTCACAGTTTTTATCAAATATATCACTGTTAAACCACAATCAAGGTTGAGTTCGAATTTCGTGAAAATCCGTTCAAAACTGCCGCACAAAATGACTGCTCACTGTACGCAAATAATATGTGATATCAAGGTTGTGGACCCTCTAGAGGTAACATTTTTTGTCTGATTTTGATAAAACTTAAAGTATATCATTATATCCCAAAGATCTTAGTCCCTTTCAATATTCGCACATTTCAGACCATAACTTCCTGGATTATGGCCCCTGATTGTATGAAAAATCACTTTGGCAACCGCTGGTTCCTAGGTAATATGAATCAATATCTATCAATATTGTCATTCAACTTAAAATATCTAACACTATGAACTTCAGAATGTCTCGTTTGGCATTTATGTCCAAACGTAGCAAAAACATGTCAATATTTTTGCCACAATAATGCCACGTTGTAACGTGGTAAAAAAAATGACACATTTGCCTGGAGTGCCCAAAAGTAGTTTTTTTAAATTGCCATGTTTTTGGAACGAGGTAATTTGTCCAGAATGAGACTGGGTAAAAAGTGCCTTGTTTTCTAAATGTAGTTTTCTTGAAGATATTTATTACCGGTACTTGCTGTCAACAAATAGAGCCACACAAATAATGTCTCGACCCTCACGTGACTAAACGCAAATCTACAAATTAGATTATCTATTGGGAAATTATATGGTTAATTATGATGGTTTACTTCACTGGGATTCTATTGTGTTTAATAAAGGCAGTTGTTGTTCTGTAGCGAGATTGTCAATGATGTGTATTCTTTGATCGGTGTATTTTCTCGATAGCGTGTTATAACCCCACCAATAGGGTATAATCAAACACCAACAGGCTTAACCTGATGGGAAGATGTTAAATCTAACATTGAATAAGAAAAATACTATACGTGTATATAGAGTATTAAAGTACATATATAATAAAATTACAGGACGAATATAATCAAGTGTTAACTAACATCAGAACTAAAAAAGGGTCGATACTCGACTGCTTAGTTTATATTCATTACTTTATAACCTTAGGTGGGCCGAGCGAGGATTCAATATGCAAAATTCTGTAATGAATTTAGAATAAACTATATCGAAATACTAATTCAGAGGGGTGATAAAAAGCTTATTGGAGTTCATATTTATTGTTAAATGTCAAAGCACTTGGTTAGATTAATTAAACCATGAACAGCACATACAATATTTTCGTTAGCTGATTTGTCGGATCTGGTGTCTCCATAAAGTAAGATGCAAATATCTTGTTTAGCAGGTGGGAGAGTTTTGATAATTGTTTGCTCTTCATTAAAATTAATTTGGATAGTATAGAAGAAAGTAACTATCTTCAATATTATGGCAGCATCAACATGATGTATTGTTTGATGCATACATTAGGAATTTATGAAAATTAAGATTACTGTTGGAACAATTTGTGTTTTATATCAAAGGTGTTGCCTTAAAATGACAGCTGTGGGATTTCAAAGTAAGGGACTTCACAAAATGTTAGATTTTCTGTGCCATACTTTTCCTACATAATGCTGTATCATTATAATATATGGTATATGGTTTTTCAGGTGGCAAAAGAAAGTACCCTGAAATTCAATCCTGATGTAAATATTGTAGCCTATCATGACAGTGTCATGAAGTAAGTAAATTTACTTTGACTATTTTACAGAGAAAAGAGATGAGTTTTATCAAGAAACAAGAAAACAAATTCTTCAGTTTAATTTAATATCGTATCACTTTCAAAATATTTATCTTATGTCCAAATTTAAATGCCTTCTAACTTTTAGTGTCAACATTTCTGAAATGGTTTGTCAGACTTGCATAAAATCTTATGCCTGGTTTAACCAAACTTTAAAATCAGGTCACAATTTTATCATTTTGAAATGTTCTTTCCATTCTTTATGTACGTTTATTATAGTTCTTTTTTTTCCCATCACTATCAAAGTAATAACGTCTCATAGAGTTAGGTAGGACAGTTGTAGAATTTGAATAAACCAAATCATCACTACAAGATCCATATTTTCTTTCTAGTCCTGATTATGGAGTTAACTTCTTCAAGAAATTTAAACTAGTCATGAATGCACTTGACAACAGAGGTTTGTTTCCTACATTTTAATTGTGAATCAATGCTACCATTTCTAAACCCATTTAATAAACATGTTACAGCTTTCTGAGATATTTTTTTAAAAATCTGCTGTGAGTATTTGTAGATTGGGAACAGCATTATTTTAAGAATTACTCAAAGCTGACAAATTTTTAATTGCTTGGATTCTTATCTAGTTGATAATTGATTATATGCATATATTACTTAATTTCTCAGAGAAATTAAAATCTGATATGGTCTCAGTCTCACTTGACAGCATATAACAGAATTCCTTTTCAGTCCTATATGTGTTCAAGCCATGTTCAAACTACTTTACTATATTATATATAATATCCTACATAAATCATTATCCTTAATAGTACAATTTATTCAGTTATTTGCTTACTATCATTTTAAATGATAAACAATACTTGCAAGAATCATTTATCATGATTGACCATGCTTTATTGATGATTATCAAACACCACTGATTGTTTGTCAAGTTTAAATGAGGAACCCTATCCACTGTTGAACCTGTAATTATTGATGTTTATGTTAACTTTTATATTTATATTTTCTAGCTGCTAGAAATCATGTTAATCGTATGTGTTTAGCTGCTGATGTACCACTAGTTGAAAGTGGAACTGCTGGTTATCTAGGCCAAGTTACTGTTATTAAAAAGGTCAGAGTAATACTTTAAAAGGTTATCTTCTCCCTTATTTCTAGTTCACACTGTTCGCAAATCAGCCTTGTGAACAAGCTCTGTCAGGGAAAAGTGGGTTTAGACTTGTCAGAATAAAACTTGTGCCAACAAAATAATCATTGTGTACACAAACAAGTTGTAACAATAGAACTGTATTCAGTAAAACCACAACAAAATTTATATGGACTACGCTCACTGGTTTGTTACACATATTGCACAATGTGCACAATGTTCTCTATGCAGACATAGATACATTCCAACACTGCAATGGGGTCATGTACAATGTATTCTGAATAACTTTCACTGACTAAAGAACTGTGATATTAACTTTAGTTAATATTAGAAGGTAAACAATTAGTTCATTCAATACATTTAAAATTATTAAGGTTAAGTTGTGTAATCATGTGACAAAACTTGAAAAATAATGTCTTTCACCAAAACATCTTATTGACAGTTTTTATTTTTTTATTTTTTTAACTTTTGCAGGGATTAACAGAATGTTATGAATGTCGACCTAAAGCAACACAGAAAACATTTCCAGGCTGTACTATAAGAAATACTCCATCAGAACCTATACATTGTGTAGTATGGGCTAAGCATTTATTTAAGTAAGTGTGCATAGTAATGAGTGAAATTTAAATATCTGAATGTTATTTGAGGGTTGAAGAATCTCCAAAAGGATGTCAGTCCAAAAATAGTTTGATTCTGCATTTACAAAAGAATTGAAAAATTTGTCAACATTCATCATCCTCTGCAGATAATATGAACAGGTTATGTTCAAAAGACAGCTGTTAACTTTTTGAACCCAATGGTCGGTTTTCCGGCTAAGGTAATAACATCTATATTAGGGCTTCCATCTTAAAATTTTCACTGCGGGGCATTTTTGATAACACACGAAAACTTTGCAAAGTAAATTAATATTTCATGTGTTTTATTCATGGTACGGTATTGTGAATTCACGTGTCTATACCACTTTGTCAGCATGGGGTACACAAAAAATTATATATTGGACTTAAAAATGAAATATTAGTAAGGCTTATGATAATTATTTATTAATTAATTGTTCCCTTTTGGCTACTTAAATAATCGAAATAGCTGAATTGGCCATAGAAAAACCATTCCAGTAGCTGACACGTAATTACCACATGCTCTATAGAAAACGCACTGACCTGGATAATTTTGAGTTGTAATACAATAACTTTGAAATGAAGATAAATATATAATTTATTGGTTTTAGACCATCTCTTACGGCATTACGGACTGCAGAATTGTGATGTAAATCATAATAATGAATAACTGAATAACTAATGGATAACTAACTTCACAGCTAGCGACACTAGCGACCCCTGACTATCGTCGTGTATAAGAGTTACTATATACATATATGCACAACATTTTTGCAACATGTGGAATTATTTTGATAATGCCAAAAGTTATCATCCGATCTTTGTGAAATTTATATGTATTTTTTAAATTAGTGAAACGGAGAATCCTATTGAATTTGAGCAATTTCCGTTTATTACGTCTACGAGTTATGGCTCTTGTTTCACTTTATTGAACCTTGTGAACACTCTTAACACCAAAAGTTATCATCCGATCTGTATGAAATTTATATGCATCATTTAGATTAGTGAAACGACAAAGCCTATTGAATTTCAGCAATTTCAGTTAATTACTGCTGGAGTTATGGCCCTTGTTTCATTTTGTTCAACCTTTTTAATGCTCGATTGATGAAAGTTATCATCCAATATGTATGAAATTTATATGCATCATTTAAATTTGTGAAACGGAGGTCTATTGAATTTCAGCAATTTCAGTCAATTACTTCTACAGTTATAACCCTTGTTTTACTTTGTGAACCTTGTGAACATTTGAATGACAAAAGTTTTCATCTGATATGTATGAAATTTATATGCATTATTTAATTATTAGTTTAACGAAAATGCCTGTCAAATTTCAACAAGTTACTTCCAGAGTTAAGGCACTTCTTTCAGTTTGTAGAACCTTGTAAACCCCTCAAATAATGAAAATTATAATCTGATCTGTATGAAATTGTCTTGTAAATGCCCCCAATTACCTACAAAAAAATAAATATGCGACAAACCTTGTCGACCACTTGAACAGTTTAGCTGCTGTGGGCATATGTTTTGTTGCCTGGCAGTGTCAACCTATCTTATATCTTGTCACTGAAAATTGTGAAATTTACAAATATAATTGAAATTTAAATCATTCTATCAGGGATTCTGATACCTTTACGGTACCTGTAAATAACAATAGACCAGTTGTACACGTAACACATCAATTTATAGAAAATTGGCAATCCTTGGAACGGATGAGATTTGACGTGTAAATACTGAAAATATATTGTGCAGTACGATGTTTAAATAGACTAAAGTCACAAAAAATAAAATCTGATCTTATTAAATCCAAACTGTGCTAATCTATTATGTAAAGACAGACTTTTAAAGTTATTGTATTGTACATTGTATATATCGGTAATTGTTTTATAATAACCTAGCTGAGACATAAAATTGTTAGATGTTGTCTTTTTTATCACACAGTTTTGGCAGATAAAATATTCCAGTTGTCAGAAAAAAATATGAACATTTTTTTATATAAAAATTATCATCCTTTTGGCTGAAAAAAATTGAAAGCCAGTGTGAGCCCTGATTTACAATATATATGCCAGGGTTCAAAGGGTTAAACCCATATCAATTTGTATTACTCATTATGTTAAAATCACAATTATTTCTTCTAGTCAGTTGTTTGGAGAAGATGATCCAGATCAGGATGTTTCTCCAGATACAGAAGATCCAGAATTAACAGGTATATAATGTGATCAGACAATGTTCTTTGGTTATGACAAATCTTTTCTCTGTATATTTTTAATTAACACATTATGTACATTTTCAATGTTTCTGTCATTTTAAATATACCAATAAAATTTGAACACTTTATAAAATTAAATAGGATTAACATTTATGTCTTACTAGCTGAAGCAGGAGAGAAGGCTCTAGAGAAAGAGACAGAAGGCAATGGAAAAGATCTAGAGAGAAAATCTACAAGAGTATGGGCGATTGAAAATGGGTATAATCCTGAAAAAATATTTTCAAAGGTAGATCATATATTTCTAATCTCTATTTCATACTAAAATTAGATGTCATATGATGAAAATCGGATTGTGAACAGAGCATAATAGATATGTTGAAACCCTGAATTTAAAAATTCTAATTGTATTTCTTAGGAGACAAAACTATTATTCAAAATTTGGTCAGTTTTCTTTTCTTGTATGAAACTTGTATGAAACTGGTACTTATTTCGATTCAGACATTGTCTAATTATTAACCTATTAATGTTTTAGTTATTTAGAGATGATATCAAATATTTATTGTCAATGGAAGCTTTATGGAAGACACGACGGCCACCAGAGCCATTAGATTGGAATAATCTTTCAGATGGTACGATTTACTTATTTATTAAGCAAGGCGTGTAAGGCATAAGCAATTTATATTTTCTGAATTCTGAGATTAATAATGATCATTTTCTGCTTAGGCTAAGCAGATATAAGCAATTTGATTTGTTGACACTTATGGCCATGATACCCTTGAGTAAGAGTGATGCTTATTTCATTTCCGAATAAGAAATTGTGCCATTAGATTGTTTTTCTTTCTTAGCTACACCAAGTTCTGCAACACAGATGAGAGATCAGAGAATATGGTCTATGAAAGAGTGTGGTGAAGTATTTGCTAATTGTTTGGGTAAATTAAAAATAGATTTAGCAGCACAGGGTGATGATGGTATGTTAGTGTGGGATAAGGTTAGTTACTGTACATATTTTATATTAACTAGTTTACTACCATTATAGATACATAAATACAGCACACAGTTAGGTTATCATCAAACCAATTAACTTATTCATGTAGCTCTGAAGGTAAAATAAAAAAAAACTGCTTAGTTTTTGTCAGTAAAAGACTTTTGTATAAGTTGTACAAAGACTTAATACATTTGTTTTGATGTCTTCTGATTTTAGGTGTGCTGTGTCTACGTTATTATATGTCATCACTTGCCAAGTACATTACTAAATGGATAACATATGCAACATCCTAAATGTAAATACACATTTAATTAGTAGACAATTTATAAACTTTTTTATTAAACATACCCCAATATTTTATTAGACTATCATCAAATCATTGGCACTTATTTTTCAGGACGATGAGACTGCTTTGGATTTTGTTGTATCTGCTGCCAACATCCGTGCCAATATCTTTGGAATCTCACAAAAGTCACGATTTGATATAAAGTGTAAGTGAGTTTATAACATTTACGTACTTACATTTCTTATTATATAAATAGTTATTTTGAAATTGAATTTTAGTTTGCCAAAAAAACAAGAAATTAATGTAAAGTATTGATAATTTTATGCATTTTCTTTAAGTATTGCAAGATTCTCATTCCAAAATGGTATTTATAAAATCCATAAACATATGCAAAATTGTTCACAGTATATCACTATAGATCTGGTTGTATCCCAATATATACTGCAATACACAGTTCTATCGTTGGATCTCATTAGTTTAATGGCATATTATTATATTATGTTCTAGCAATGGCAGGTAATATTATACCAGCTATAGCAACGACTAATGCTATTGTAGCAGCTTTAATAGTTATGGAAGCATTAAAAATAATAAATGACCAGTTTGATAAATGCACTACAGTAAGTTATATCTATTTCTAAAATTAACTCATCAGTTAGTTTTTATTTCTACAAAACTGAAATTGTAAATTTATAAAAAAAACAATAACAAAAGAACATCAAAATTGATTAAAAGAGAGTATATGTAGTAAATTTTTCCACCCTAAGATGTATATTTATTTATTTGGACAGGTATATCTAAACAGAAAACCTAACTTCAGAAAAAAATTACTAGATGCTGGTCGATTAGATCCACCTAATCCTAAATGTTATGTCTGCTCAGCTAAACCAGAAGTCACAGTAGTGTTAAATACACAGAAGATAACCATCAAATTCTTAGAAGAAAAGGTAATATCTTCATTGAATTGAACATTTGATTGATGCCTTTGATGTTACTAATTAGCGTTGAAGTTCATTATCACATTGGACTAGAATTAATTCTAGGTTGAATTGTGAGACCAAGAATACTTTGCAGAAATTTTAAAACCAGATTCCCTCTTTCCAAGAAGAGTATTCAAAAGCACTGCTTTCCAATTGTACATGTGACCACAGTAAATGAAGAATAACCATGTATGTGTATCAGTCTCAGAATGACAAGAATTATTGTGTTGATGAGATGTTAAAGTAGCTAAGTCTTTAACGCAATATCATTCAAAGTCTTACACGTTGAAAACACGAATTATTTGTCAATTCAAATCAACATTGATGTTGTGATCTTACCGGGAAAAGGTAGGCTTTTGATATCCAATATTTAAGACAAAATAAACATTTTACCATCAGTACACGAATCGTGTACCATAGTGCGTTTCAGCGTCATTTGTAACAAGTGACCAGGAAGAACGAGGCTAGACATATTCCACAACTCATGTCAAGCAGTGACGCCATATCTTACCTGGAGAGCATGCACAATAGACTGGAATAACCAGACACTAAAATTTGCCAGTCGGTTGGGACTCGTGCTGTATTTCGCTGGACATAACTGATTTGAAATTAGAGTCAAAACGGAAACAATTGAATGTAAATCAGTTTATATACAATCAGATTACATTATTATATGCGTTGCGACCCATTTGGGTCAATTTCGAGGTCCCAAATATTTCCTTTCTTTACCAGATAGAAATGATTTAAAGACAGAAAGGTTAAAGCGAATAAGGGGCGTAATTGCAAAATGTGGTATATGTCATTTCCGCCAAAGAGAAGATAACTGCACAGTGAGATATCGTAGGTCAATAAATAAATTTAAGGATGTTAATTTGCATTCATCATGGTAAGACCAATAGGATGAAGCACCCGGTTTTAGAACTTATCAGCATGCCAAATACTTTAATCTTATTCTTAAAATGTACTGCATTATAAGACATTGATTCATACAAATATTTTCAGATCTTGAAAGGTGATTTAGGCATGGTAGCACCTGATGTAGAAATAGATAATGGAATGGGTAAGTTGTTGTTATTACATATATCATCATTTTACAGAGACATATTTGATGTACTCCCAGCTATTGATATTGCAATTATGTGTAAAATGAATATTGAGTAAGATATTTTATCAGCAACTAAATGATTTAAATAAGAAGATAATATTAGGAATAATTTGAAAAGCTTGTGGATATACATCTATATTCTGGTGCTCAAAATGTATATTCTCGTTGCCACCATTAGGTTTTTGGTTCTTATTGACATTAGATTTTTCATCAGGTATTTTTGTTTTATTAGGTACTATTATCATATCAAGTGAAGAAGGAGAAACTGAAGGTTTGTATATAATTTCTTATTGATATATAGATATCCATTGTTGAAATTTCAACAACAAAGCTGACAATTTCAATACTATTTTGTTTTGATTATCTTTAGGTGATACTAAGCCAAATAAGTTAAATATTCTGGTTCACAGACAATCTGTACCAAAAATCTGATGAGTGAGGGAGGTTTTTATTTCTGTGTTATTATTTTGTCAAATAATCACTACTGGGCTAAAGACTTCTCATAAACATAGCATTTCATGGCACTAACATCATGTTGTTTATAGGATGTATGGATTATCCACTATTTATCAGGGTTGTGTACTTGATAAATGAGTCTATGCCAAATTTCTGGATTCATTCAAATTACTTCCAGTAACCAGGTTATAACATTTACCTACGGTAATTAATGAGACTTTTTTTTTGTATTTTTATATTTTTTAAAATAAAACAAAATATTAAACACAAAATTAAGGCTAAATAACATGACTTTTTTTGTATTTTTATATTTTTTAAAATAAAAACAAGTCATGTGACCCTTTTTAAGTGACACAGGATTATCTCAACCAAAATAATTTTTTTTATTTAGCCTTAATTTTGTGTTTAATATTTATTTGTTCATATATTTGTTTCTATTTTTATTTCAGAAAACAACGAAAAATTATTGTCCTCATTTGGTATTATTAATGGAAGTCGATTAAAGTGTGATGACTTTTTACAGAACTATAATTTAAATATAACCATTGCCCATGTGTAAGTTATAACAATTTCCCTTCACATCAAGTCTTGATTTGTTTAAACAGGGCTGTTGAAATAGCATTTTCCAACTTACCCCAAAATATAACATTAAATAGGAAGTAACCCTATGTTGAATACTTTGCATCTTGATAATCCAACCGTCTGTCCGTCCGTCTGTCACACTTTTTGGGACACAATAACTCTCTTTCTAATTGAGCTAGAATGTTCAAACATGGTATAGGTGTTTATTAGATCAATGCCTCAATTGAGTTCGAAGATAAGCATTTTCTGCTACGGGTAAGCAGAGATAAGCAATTTGATTGGTTGATGCTTTGGGACATGATAACTTTAGTTCTAATTAAGTGAGAGTGATGAAACTTGGTGTATAGTTTCATTACATCAATACCTTGACTAAGTTCGATAATGAGCATTTTCTGCTCAGGGTAAGCAGAGCGATAAGCAATTTAATTGGCCAAGACTCTGGAACACAATAACTTTCCTTCTAATTGGGCTAGAATGTTCACACTTGGTGTAGATGTTTATTGGGTCAGTGCCTTGATGGAGTTTGAGGATGAGCATTTTCTGCTCAGGGTAAGCAGAGATAAGCAATTTGATTGGTTGATGCTTTGGGACACGATAACTTTAGTTCTAATTAATTGAGAGCGGTGAAACTTGGTGTATAGTTTCATTACATCAATACCTTGACTAAGTTTTCGGCTCAGGGTAAGCAGAGCGTTAAGCAATTTGATTGGTCGAGACATTGTAACACACTTACTCTCTTTCTAATTGAGTTAGAATGTTCACACTTGGCGTAGGTGTCTATTAGATGAATGCCTTGATGGAGTACGAAAATGCAAATTTTCTGCTTAGGGTAAGCAGAGATAAGCAATTTGATGGGTTGATGCTTTGGGACACGATAACTTTAGTTCTAATTAAGTGAGAGTGAGGACACTTGGTGTATAGCTTTATTACATCAATACCTTGACTAAGTTCGATAGTGAGCATTTTCTGCTCAGGGTAAGCAGAGCGATAAGAAATTTGATTGGTCGATAATTTAAAGTCAATCAGATATTAACCTTATTTCAAAATGTTCAAGGGCTATAATTCTGGCAATAAGTATCAAAAATCTTTGACAATCGATAGGATTTTTCCTCTCATGACCTTAAACATTGTGTATACATGTAAAGTCAATAAGATATTGACATTAGCCTCTAGAGCATCCACAAGATATTGCAAAGTGATCAAGGGCCATAACTCTGGCAGTAATTATTGGAAATCATTGAAGATCTATAGGCTTCTTCGTCTCATGACCTTAAACACTGTGTATAAATTTATAGTCAATCGGATATTAACTTTAGCCTTTAAAGCATCCACAAGATATTGCAAAGTGATCAAGGGCTATAACTCTGGCAGTAATTATTGGATATCATTGAAGATCAATAGAATTCTTCGTCTCGTGACCTTAAACACTATGTATAAATCTTATATCAATCGTATATTAACTTTAGCCTCTAGAGCGTCCACAAGATATTTTAAAGTGATCAAGGGCCATAACTCTGGCAGTAGTTATCGCAAATTGTTGACCTTCAACACTGTGAATTATATTTTCCAAAGGGATCCAATTGAATGAAAGTATCTTCTTTATTTATATAGAGAGAAACTTGAAGATGAAAAGGAGTTTATGGTAGTAGGAGATATGGCTGAATTACAGGCTAAATTAGAAGAGAATTCCAAAAAGAAAGAAGAGGGGACTGGTGCTGCTCTTGAAAAATCAAAAGGTATATATTGATTTATAGAAGGTATATCTCTTGGGCTGGGTATACCCTATGGATGCCAAATCTTAAACCCAACTTAAACCGATCATCATTTGCATTTTTCGGGCAATATCTAGATTTTTATGACCCCGTACAGAGTACACACTAAAATGTACTCAAATTAATTATTTAATATTTAACTAAAAAAACAAAATAAAATATCAACGTTAGATAACCTGCGGGCTTGGATTCCATCGAAAGCACTGATTTATTTAGACCATTTCCAGTCATATCTGCAGAGGATGTCGAATGGTCATAGATTATCTATTTATCATATCATTGTAAATACTGAACACAATTAAATCACATTTGGACTGATATTCATTTTAGAGATTCACCTTTCACAATATTATAATTTACAAGAGATTCAAAATAAATATATTGAGCTTACAAAAATTACACAAAGTTACATGTATATAATTCTATTATTGATGAATCAGAAGCTACTTTTTATTGCCCTTTTATTGTAACTGTCCTTTGTCATTTATTTCACAGAAGAGGAGGAAGATGATTTAGAAATAATTGATGATATTGAAGCTATGGAAACAGGGCCAACTGATACTAGTCCAAAGAAACGAAAAGCAGATGAACTAGACTGTACACCTACAGCTAAAAAACAGAAAAAATCGGTTGGAGGTGATGGGGATGCTGATATAGTAGAAATTCTATGAAGTTTTAATTAGAGAACATTTTTTTACACGTCTTTATGAAGTGCTGCAAGGGACCAATCACCTCCTATTATCTGTAAATAATCAACCGAGTTATTGGAGAATGTACATCCCATGTCAAAGAACAAAATTAAAACTGAGTTAAATCTTGCATCAAAATCTTGGTTATTTTCTGCCATTGGCTAAATGTAGAGTCTTGCAAGGAATTTTGAAGAAGTCATTTAAGTTCACATCTACAGAAGTTTCAGCTGATGACAAGAGTTCCCTCATGAAAGTAGATTTCCAAATATTTTGATATTTATATTGTACTATAACCAAATCGACTCAATAGTCAGATCTTAAAATTCACTATGACATTCTTCAAGTGTCACAATACTACCCCAAAAGACTCTCCGAGCATCCACTCCAACCCTTTCTGATGAATAAGTTTAAAATGTGTGCGTTTTATGATTCTTTACAATCAAATTAACATCTTATTCAGTTTTTTTGTAGATGATTGTGGAAATTTTGTTAATTAATACATTTGATAATGTAATTATCCCACGACTGAGTGCTCTTGGAGTAATGACAAAAAGTTCATTATGTTTCACTTAATGTTCAAGATAGACACTAAGTGATGCCCTCGTGCAGTATCAATATATTATGTAATACCTTACCAGGAAAAGATGGGCTTCTGATATCCAATATTTAAGACAAAATAAATATTTTACCATTGGTACACGAATCGTGTACCGTAGTGCATTCAAGAACATATTCCACTAGTCATATCAAATGGTGATGTCGAACATAACTGATTTGGAATTAGAGGGAAAACGGAAATGATTGAATGTAGTAATTCAGTTTATATACATTATTATATGTGTTGCGACCCATTTGTGTCAATGTCTTGGTCCCAAATATTAGGGATTTAGCTCCTTTAATATCCCACATTTAAATGAAATCATGCAAATCTATTTATGAAATATTAATGTATAGCCCCGTTTACGCTTGGCCACAATAAGCATGCCCTTCTCGGCATGGTACCAGGCCGTGATAAATTTCAAGAAATTGACCATTTACATTACTCTATAATAACTAGTCTCGGAACTGTGCCAGGCACGCCAAATGTGGAACTCGCCACAGAAAAGTTAATTTCAGTCCCTATGCAAATTACCTGGATGAAAACAATTATGGCGATTGATTTAGTTTGAGCAGCCATTTTGACAGAACTTCAAAGTTCGAGGGGAAAAAGGGTCAAGGTTCATTTATGCACAGTAATCTGTACTAAGAACCATTCTCAGACCAGATAGCGTTTACACTGCGAAAATTTAATTGTGCCGTGCCCGAGACCACCTCACTTCAGAGGGCCAAATTAGCATGGCACGGGGTTACGATCGGTACATTTGAAATATGGTCTGCCAACATCAAAGGATGAGGTCACATCTGTATTTTAAGAGAACATAATTAATTGCAAAATAAAAACACAATATTTTATTATAAAATTTCAAAATGAAACATGATGTAACAAGTTTGTACTCTTATTCACAAAAATACCAGCATAATTCTATACATGTACTATTTTATTACATATATATATTTCTCAAATATAATTACACAATACAACCATCATCTTCTTTATACTGTCCATTCCATAATTAGACATGACTGACAAGTCAGTTACTTTTGTTTAAAAGACAGATTTTTATTTAACAACAAATGAACAATATAAAACACAATTAGTAAACTTTAAAAACAAAATAGGTCATAAAAAATAACACTTTTCTTTCAATATTTTGGTTATCATATACTATTAAATATGCATTATGTAAGAGCTAAATCTTCCCATTGCATGTCTTTTTTCTGGCTTCCAATGTGATATAAATTATTATAATAGATATTTATTCACATGACAAGCTCATGCTCAATTCTCTTAATCATTAGATGGCTGAGATTAGAGATATTAAGTGGATTAGACTTGTTTATTATCACAGTAATCAAGAATATATACGCTATTTCTCGTCAATTTTCAAACATTCATAACTTCATTCATAATATAGTAATTTGACTGAACTTTTCAATACATTCATCTTTGATTATCTATTATAGCAAGAATGACCAACTCTTTATCTAAATCTTACATAATGCATCTTTAATATGGACGCATGACAATAAAAATGTAATGTGCTAGAGGAAAATATTTTGAGCAATGTTGTTTTCTTTCTACAAGGCCAACTTGTTTCGACATGGATGGTGTTTATGCATATACCTGAATTGTACAAACACTCCATACCCTCAACATAAGAGTATCAGTGAAATTCAATATGTAAAACTTCGTATAATGCAGATAATATTCAGTGTTCTGACTGCAAATGACACAATTAATGGCAATAACAAGCTGACTCATCACATAAATGCTTCTACATTTAGCTTGCATATGTACAAAGCTGAATATATAAAATACATGTGACTAGTATATTATTTATTTCTTTATGTTTGTAATTGTTAGCCAGCATCTGTAAAGATATTGGCAGATTTGGGTTAAAGATTAATCCAAAACTTGTTTTGGATATATAGTAAACTAAATTCAGTTGAACTACATTTTCTTACTTATTCTATTTGAACACTTCCTTAAAAATCACACAAAACATACTACATTTCTGTACAAAACAGAAATCTATTTAATATGTTTATTCCTTATTTGGACAAATTTTAAGGCATTCAATTTTACTTGGACCCTCTCCTCTCAATATGAATATCACTCCTGATTTATGATATGTGTCTAATTTACTTCCTAAATCAAGAAAAAATATACATAATCAAATATTTATCCTAAAATAGTCAATAATATTATTCTATTTCTTTAAAGTTGAATCTTTTTTTTTTTTTTTTTTTTCTCGGGTTACATATAACATGTTTTCTTTTATTATATAGCCATATTTACAGTAATGTACAGTGTACTTTGGTTGTTTTTATGCAAATGTCATGGTTTGATTATGGAGGGTTCCCATGTTAATAATATAATAGTCATGTACATAAGCTAATATAGCAATAGGTTGACCCATTATTAAAGACAACCACATAATAACATTGCCCCAGGTTCCTTGTAGAAATTTATACTTGGATGTCAACAAGGCTAAAGGCACCTGTAATATAAAATAATTGAATTCTTTATCTATTTTAAGTCAGTAACTATATGAATTGTAATTTATTATTTATTGCCAAGTAGAGAGACCAGTATTACTGCCAACCCAAGCATCATTACACAAAATGGATACAACAAGCCAACAGTGAGGCAGGGAACAATTAGACCAGGTGGTAAATAGTGTTTATGAATTTACCATAAAACATCTATTTTTGAAATGAGCATTCCAAAATAGACCAAATTCACCTTAAAAGTTATTTTGCCACAAAATATCAACCAATGACATATTGCCTATAAATCTCTGCTTACCATAAGCAGAAAGTGCTTATCATCGAACTCAGTCAAGGCATTCACCTAATGAAGACCTGCACCAGATTTGAACATTCTATGCATTGTGTGTCAGACTGAGAGACAAACAAACTAATTTTAATAGTACACAACTTTCCTCAACGAGTAGGGGAACAAAAAAAAAAGATCACAAAATGGCAATGTAGCATAATTGTTGGCCTTACCTGTCCAATCATAGCAGAGAATGCCCAAATTTTAAACATTCTCAGAGGTATGGATAACAAATACTGAAACAAAAAGAAAACAGTGTTTCATTCTCTATAGGTAATAAATCATCTCATTATTTACATTAACCCTATGACCACCAAGTCCCTGAAAATTTTATAGACTCTACACTGGATTCCTGAGAACAAGAATCCAACATCTGGATGGAAACAAGTGAAGGTCGCACCAAGAAATCTGGTTGCACGTGTTCAAATAAAATGCAAACCAATTAAATAAATATTCATTGCTCAACATCTGCTAACTTGTTGATAATATTTAAATGGTCAACTATATAAATTACAAAATTATTACCTCATGAAAGAAGGCCGACAAGAAAAAAACTCCAATGGATGCATTAACTTTTGAGAATCCAGCTCGCATCATTGGCTTATACAAATGTCTGGAAAAAAAAGAAACAAGCTGATAATGAGTTGTCTCCCCTTAGACCACAAGATTTATTATAATTTCCACATTCATTTATTTTTAACATTTGATCAATTCTCCGATATCAATAGTGATCTGTCTTAATTAGAACACCTTCACAATGAATGGCATTTTCCTATTATATGAATTTTAAATTGACCTATAACAAAAATAATAACATAATAGTCAAACATAAATTCGCATAAAAATTGAAACGTTTTTCTTAAACACTGAAATGTTTTTCTTACCGCAACGCCCATCTATGAACAGGAACATTCCAGTCTTGCCAGAATCTTGAAACAGTCTCGGCATTCCTGAAGTAAATTACAAATGAAATGAATTACAAATGGGCTAATAAATTACAAATGATTTCTTAACTGAAACAAATATTTCTATATATTTAATGTATTTCAATTTGTGCATGGTGTTGTTTTAAATGAAATAAAAACTGCACTAATTTACAAATACCCTTTTTTCTCTCAGATTTGTTGTCATTTATGTAATTTTATGTAAAAAAAAATCAATTTAACCAAAAGAAAAAAAAATGTATTTTTATGATTAATAAAAGATCCATCTTATTTCATAACCAGCAGTTGCCAGGCAGGATACGCCCACAGATGGATAGAGAACAAGCTAAAAACAAAAACGATTTTTGGAACAATCAGGGGCCATAATCCAGAAAGTTATGGTCTGAAATGTGCAAATATCAAATGGGACTCAGATTTTTGGAATATAAAGATCTATTTTAAGTTTTATCAAAATCGGATAAAAATTGTGAGCTCTAGAGGGTCCATAGTCATTTTGTCAGTCAGTTTCATTTTGATTTTCCCTCAATTCCAATTCAACCTTCATTATGTTGGAATGGTGTTAAATCTAAACAGTTTTTAAAATCAAAAAAAAATTGTGATCTCTGGAGAATCCACAATTTGAATCTAAAAATATTTGCTCTGGCCAACTCAGTTTTCCATTATGATTTAATATTAGTTTTAACAATGCTGTTAAATTCCTGAACGTTATATTTTAAGTCTTCGGTCTCTCGCAGAGGCGGAGTCCTTGGCGAGTTAGACTGTAATACAATGTGATCTCTGGAGAATCCACAAGCTAAACATGCAATTTTTCGTGCAATCGGGGGCCATAATCCAGGAAGTTACATTCAGATATGTGAGATTATCAAAAGGAACCAAGGTCTTTATGATAAAAACATATATTTAAAGTTTCATCCAAATCGGATAAAAAGTTGTGACCTCTGGAGAATCCACAAGCTAAAAATGCAATTTTTCGTACAATCGGGGGCCATAATCAAGGAAGTTACATTCAGATATGTGCGATTATCAAAAGGAACCAAGGTCATTATGATAAAAACATATATTTAAAGTTTCATCCAAATCGGGTAAAAACTGTGGCCTCTATATGGCCCACAACCTTGATATACCATATTTTTACACTATTTGCTTACAAAAGGCAGCCATTATGTCTGTCAGTTTTTTCTGATTTTCACGAAATTCAAACTCAACCAGCAATAGTGTATAACTGTGATATATTCACACATTTTTTTTTAAATGGGATAAAAATTGTGACCTCTATAGGGACCACAAGCTCAAAGCACGATTTTTCGTACAATCAAGGGCCATAATTCAGGAAGTTACGATCCGATATGTGCAAATATCGAAAGAACCAAGACCTTTGGGTTATAAACATGCATTTCAAGTTTCATCAAAATCTATCAAAATTGTGACCTCTAGGAGGTCCGTAATCTTGATATACCATATTTTACACTAAATGAGTTCAAGGGGCGGCCATTTTGTCCAGCAGCTTTGGTCCGATTTTCTCGAAATTCGAACTCAAAGATCATTAGGGATAAAAACGCAATTTTTATACAATCCGGGGCAATAATTCAGGAAGTTACGAATATCGAAAGGAATCAAGATCTTTGGGTTATAAACATGCATTTCAAGTTTCATCAAAATCCGATCAAAATTGTGACCTCTAGAGTGTCCACAAGCTAAAAACATGATTTCTCATACAATCAGGGTCCATAATCCATAAAGTTATGGTCCAATACATGCCAATATCGAAAGGAACCAAGATCTTTCGGAGATAGACCTATATTTCAAGTTTCGTCAAAATCAGATAAAAATTGTGGCCTGTAGACTGTTCACAAACAAATTGTGGATGGACGGACGGGGGCGACGACAATATACGTCCACATGAAATGTGGGCGTATAAAAAGCTACTTACCACCAATCTCTATAGAATACACGATCACCAAATCGAAGTACTTCTGCTATCACATTTAATGTTGAATGAAAGAACCAGTAGAAAAATAATAACCATATAAAATGATTGGGTATCTGTAGGTTAAATAAAATATAACAAATATATCATGGGTGAATATCAATATTAATTAATTGCACATTTATTTTTCTCAAAAGTATCAAGCAATCCAAATGATTATCAACTATACACTAAGTTACATCACTCTCTATCAGATAGAATCAAAGTTATCTTGTCCCAAAGCATCGAGCAATGAAATTGCTTAGCTCTGTTTAGCTTTAGCTCCAAATGTTAATCATTGAACTCAGTCAAGACATTCAAATTGCTTATCGTTCCTTAGCCTAAGCAGAAAACTCTCATCATCAAACTTAGTCACGGTAATGATATAATGAATCTATACTCGGAGTTTCATCACTCACACTTAATTAAAACCAAAGTTATTGGCCCCCAGAGCATCAACCAATCAGACTGCTTATCTCTGCTTACCCTAAGCAGAAAATTCTCATCTTCTAACTCCAAACTCCACCAAGGCATTTAATAATAAACACCAACACCAAGTGTGAACATTCTAGCTCAATTAGAACGTGATTTATTGTGTTCCAAAGTCTCAACCAATCAAATTGCTTATCGCTCTGCTTACCCTGAGCAGAAAATGCTCATCTTCGAACTCCATCAAGGCATTTGCCTAATAAACACCTACACCAAGTTTGAATGTTCTAGCTCAATTAGGAGGGTTATTGTTTGTAAAGTCTCGGCCAATTGAATTGCTTATCGCTCTACTTACCCAGAACAGAAAATGCTCATTATCGAACTTAGTCAAGGTTATGATGTAATAAAACTATACACCAAGTTTCATCACTCTCACTTAATTTGAACTAAAGTTATCGTGTCCCAAAGCATCAACCAATCAAATTGCTTATCTCTGCTTACCCTAATGCTCATCTTCGAACTCCATCAAGGCATTGACCTAATAAACACCTACACCAAGTTTGAACATTCTAACTCAATTAGAAAGAGAGTTATTGTGTCCTAAAATGTGTGACGGCCAGACAGACAGACCGACGGACGAACCCATTTGAATAGACCCCTGCTTTCCTCGAAAGGCGAGGGACAAATAATTATTTCATATTTTGCAAATTCAATAAAAAATTTTCTCTGATGTATATCCTAATTTTTAGAAGCACAGGCAACAACTGGGTTAAAGAGATGGATAGAGAACAAGCTAACAACAAAAACAATTTTTTGTACAATCAGGGGCCATAATCCAGAAAGTTATGTTCTAAAATGCGCAAATATCAAAAGGGACTGAGATTTTTGGAATATAAAGATATGTTTTAAGTTTCATCAAAATCGGATATCTAGAGATGGATAGAGAACAAGCTAAAAACAAAAACAATTTTTTGTACATTCTGGGGCCATAATCCAGAAAGTTATGGTCTAAAATGTGCAAATATGAAAAGGGACTGAGACTTTTGGAATATAAAGATATGTTTTCAGTTTCATCAAAATCAGATATCTAGAGGGTTCATAACCTGTGTATTACAAAACTTATACACAATTTGCATACAAAGAGCGGCTATTTTGTCGGGCAGTTTCATTTGGATTTTCCAGAAATTTGAATTCAATCTTCATTATGGTGGAATGGTGATATATCTAAACGGTTTTTATATCAGAAAAAAAATTGTGACCTCTAGAGAATCAATCAGGGGCCATAATCCAGGAAGTTACGTTCGGATATGTGTGAGTATCAAAAGGAACCAAGATCTTTATGATAAAAACATATATTTAAAGTTTCATTCAAATCGGATAAAAACTGTGGCCTCTAGAGGGTACACAACCTTGATATACAGGGTGACACAAAAAAAACATTCATCAATAAAAATCGAATAACTTCCAAAATTTTATTTAGATTAACACAAAAGTTCAGCTACAATTTAACCAAAAGAAAAAAAAATGTATTTTGATGATTAATAAAGGATAAATTCCATCTTATTTCATAACCAGCAGTTGCCAGGCAGGATACGCCCACAGATGGATAGAGAACAAGCTAAAAACAAACAGGATTTTTTGCACAATCAGGGGCAATAATCCAGAAAGTTATGGTCTGAAATGCGCAAATATCAAAAGGGACTGAGATCTTTGGGATATAAAGATATGTTTTAAGTTTCATCAGAATCGGATAAAAATTGTGACCTCTAGAGGGTCCACAACCTTCGTATTGTATACTTTTACACAATTTGCTTACAAAGAGCGGCCATTTTGTCGGGCAGTTACATTTCGATTTTCCAGAAATTCGAATTCAACCTTCATTATGTTAGAATGGTGAAATATTTAAAGGAAATATCAAAAAGAACCAAGATCTTATTGTGTAATCCTGATAAATTCACATGTTTTTTTAAATCGGATAAAAATTGTGACCTCTACATGGACGACAAGCTAAAAACGTGATTTTTTGTTCAATCAAGGGCCATAATTCAGGAAGTTACGAACCGATACGCGCGAATATCGAAAGGAACCAAGATCTTTGGGTTATAAAAATGTATTTCACCTCATCAAAAGCAGATCAAAATTGTGACCTCTAGAGGGGCCACAACCTTAATATACCAGATGCTATGCACTATTTGCGTACCTTACGGTGTAACGGTGATATATTAAAATGTTTTTTTAAATCGGATAATAATTGTGACCTCTAGAGGGACCTCAAGCCAAAAACGCGATTTTTCGGACAATCAGAGGCCATAATTCAGGAAGTTACTATCGGATATGTGCGAATATTGAAAGGAACCGAGGTTTATGGGTTATAAACTTGCATTTCAAGTTTCATCAAAATTGGATCAAAATTGTGGCCTCTAGAGGGTCCATAACTTTGATATACCAGATGTTGAAAGGAACCAAGGTTTATGGGTTATAAACTTGCATTTCAAGTTTCATCAAAATCGGATCAAAATTGTGGCCTCTAGAGGGTCCATTACTTTGATATACCAGATGTTTACACTATTTGCGTACGAGGGGCGGCCATTTTGTCTGGCGGTTTTAGTCCGATTTTCATGAAATTCAAACTCAGACAAAATTACTGTGTAATGGTGATATATTCGAGGTTTTTTTAAATCGGATAATAATTGTGACCTCTAGAGGAACCACAAGCTATTTTTCGTACAATCAGGGGCCAGAATTCAGGAAGTTATGATTCGATATGTACGAAAATCGAAAGGAACCAAGATATTTGGGTTATAAACATGCATTTGAAGTTTTATCAAAATCAGATGAAAATTGTGACCTCAAGAGGGTCCACAACTCTGATACACAATATTTTGACAATATTTGCGAACGAGGGGCAGCCATTTTGTCCGTCAGTTTCGGTCCGATTTTTACGAAATTCGAACTCAACCATCCTTAGGGTGTAACGGTGATATATTCACACGTGTTTTTAAAACTGGATAAAAATTGTGACCTCTATAGGGTCCACAAGCTAAAAACGCGATTTTTCGTACAATCAGGGGCCATAATTCAGGAAGTTATGGTCCAATATGCGCAAATATTGAAAGGAACAGAGATCTGTGGGTTATAAACATACATTTCAAGTTTGAACCAAATCGGATAAAAATTGTGACCTCTACAGTGTTCACAAGCTAAAAACGTGATTTTTCGTACAATCAGGGGCCATAATCCATGAAGTTACAGTCCGATACATGCCAATATCGAAAGGAAATAATATATTAGGGTGATCAACATATATTTCAAGTTTCATTGAAAACGGATAAAAATAGTGACCTGTAGAGTGTTCACAATCAATTGTGGACAGACGGACGGACGGACAGGGGTGACGACAATATACATCCACATGAAAATGTGGGCGTTTAAAAATCATGAATTTTTTAAGTTATATCTTTTTTTCTACATGTATTTGCAGAAGTTTACAACAGCTTAAGTGCTGTGCCTTGAAATAATTCAACAAGCTTATTATATGCAGTTGGCTTTTGTCATATAGCAGACTGTAATAGGGAACTGATGTGAAAACTTTTTGAGCTGATAAGGTGTTCATATAATTAAAGTAAAGCTGATCTGCCTGAGTAGACCATAACTTAAGGAAATATACTTACAGATAATTTCAAGAGTCTTTCAGCTACTCTGTATAAAGCCATATCAGCTAATGGTTTCATGGCATTATTGACAGTTGGTATAATCCACTGAAATGTATGTTAAAACTGGATTGAAGGGGGCTGAGTAACATTTTGATAACTTAACCCTTAACCAGTTGACGTCATTTTGACGTCATGACGTCAAGTGGTCAGGCTAAATAAAGGCTGACGTAAATATTTTGTATGCCTATTTCAATAGACTACTGCCGAATAATTATAAGTGATAGACTCTTGAAGGGGATAAGTTGATCCATAATTTGAAAATTATTCTAAATCCTTTTCATCAGAAATATAGTCTTCAGAATCGGTGTCATCGATATAATCCGGATCGGAATAATTCATAAGTATTTCAACCACTTCGCACATCTTTTACATTCCCAACATCGTTAAATTACGTTTTTCGTCAAAACATTTTGAACAAGACAAGTTCCTGTCTGACATGCATGCGTGGCCATATCAATTAAATACGAAACGAAATACTCAAATGCGGCTTATAAAAAAGGTTCTTGCTTTGGTCGACTGTGACCACTTAGCTGTATAACGTTGTGGTGACTATAGTCGACAATGACCGGTTAAGGGTTAAAGTGGCATATGTATCAATTGCCTTTGATCTGATTCCTCCATTGATTTACATATAGATGGATGTAACAAAGTTTGTATCTTACCTGTTGTATGAGAGCCATTATAAGTTGAGACAAAAACAACTGTAAAAAATTCAAAACACCTTAGTACAACTATACAGATGAAAATTTATTCTTTGAAAAACATATACTTTTGTTAACATTTTCAATTAGTTCAATTATAAATTGCCAGTGACTAACAATACCTCCTTTATGAAAGTATCAGATGGTCTAAAAAAAAATAACTGAAACTATATGTATATCCAACCACACATTGATTTGAATAGAATAGAACGAGGTTTAATGTCTCTTCAACGCAATACCTGTGTCATTTTTTTGACAAACATTATATAGGGAATTTTTATCTCTATGTTTATGTGTGCTATGAGTATGAAATGTAAGAGAATTTTCCCCTATTTTCAACTGTCATGGGTTCTTTTACGTGCATGTCAATGCTTACACAGGTACAACTCAGTTTTTAAATAACTAAGACGCACTTTCCTTGTAAATCCCATAGATGCCACTATTGGCAAGTTAAGGCTGAGCATGAAAAACCCTGAAGGATATTCTTTACTTGCACTGGGATTCAAAGCAAAGTTTATAAGAATAATTATTTATGATAGATAAATTACTATACCATTTCAACAATCCGTTTGACGAGAAACCTCTTTCTAATTCTAGCAGATCTGGGAAAATTGAGTTCATAAACCAATGTAGGTGCAATTATAAAATAATAAAGATCTGAAATATTAAAAAATAGAACGATAATTATAATACAGTAATAAAATACAAGGCACATATAATTTAAATAAAATCTACTGTGCCATAAGGAACACGTTAATAATTCATTTAAGATGATCCAAACACCCTGTTAGAATATCATGACTGTCTAACACAATGCATTTTAGTGTGGTTTTCTAAACCATGGATTGATTTTTGATAAATATTGTATTCAATGTACATTTAGTTAATATAAAATAGACATACCTTTAAAATTGATATTATCTGGATATTTAACCAGAAAATCATTCATTTCATCATTAGAGACTTTCGTCTTTTGATCACCTAAATAAATTACACATATCTATAATAAAGCATGTTTTTTAATGGAATATTGTCATAATGTCCTAAAGAAGTTTCAGAAAAATAAAATTTTATCAGAATTTTGAAAACTATTTACAACAATAACATGGATATAGGACTGGATATATATGAAATTGGGTTTAGAAATAATCGTTTAACAAAATCCCTCTCCTCTGCTCCAATGGGGCTAATGAACACAGGTATTCGCATGCAGTGTGCTATATGTGAAATTTTGCATGGACAGCAATTGAATTCCAACTGTCAAGGGTTCCTTTATATGCACATGTACACAGGACCTCATTTTTTCCATACCATCTGAAAGACTACATGCCATTCCTTGCCAGGCCCATTGTCCTGCACCTCTAAATCGGGATGAACTTTCTTTGCCAACACCAGGATCGAACATGCGACCTCAAGGTTAAAAAGCCAGTGCCTTACTCACTGAGCCACCACAACTCGCCAAACAATATAGGTAAATTAATTTCCTACCATTTTCTGAGACACTAACAGTCTTCCTCCTTCTAAAATCTTTCTTGGCATCATTTTTAAGATTATCACGACACCATTTGTTAACACAGGCATATGAGATTAATTTTAATGAAACTACTGTTACAAATGACAGTAAAACTGATGAAAATACTGAAGAGAAAAAACAAAAATATACTTAATAATTAACAGATAGTCGGAAATGAGACTTAACATCCATTAAGCACAACCAGGTCATTATGGGGCATACATTTGGACCTTTATTGCATTAATTCATGTGTTTAATGAGATCGGAACTTGAAGAACCCTGGGCAAATCAAAGAGAAGCAGGTAACAATACTCCTTATGGCTACATACATTTTCTCACTATTGACACCACAATTGTCAATACCAACAGAAAGTAATTAATTATATCTACTGGTATACACAGAGTTTGTGTATTCTCTCAATACTGACTACAGCCAGGTTAAGAATGATCTTTATTGCCTTTTTAATGTATTAAATATATAAGTGATTTTAAAGGGTTACTGCCTGATATTACAGCTGCTTGCATTATGAACCATAAATGTCCAAATAATAGTAAGTACTGTGAACTGTCAATGTCCAAATAATAGTACTGTGAGCTGTCAATGCCCAAATAATAGTACTGTGAGCTGTCAGTGTCCAAATAACAGTATGGTATGTCAGAACTCAAAATGATGCATGTAAGGCCCAGTGCCTGGATAATTGAAGTAATTTTTCAAATTCTTTCATATCTAATGCATAACTGCCTTGAGGATGGTCAACATGGCACATGTAAATGTATCTGATTATTCAGACTATCTGTATTTTCAATCACTGATAGTGTAATTGATGTTAAGGTGGCAATAATTCCTTTGTCAATAGCTTTTGAAAGACCAGGGCCGAGAGGTAATGTTTTGAAAACAAAGTTACAGAACATGGAGGTATACAGTTATGTTATTTTTCCTTGTACAGAAGAGGCTGAAATACAATGTACATAAAGGTCACAGCTATTACTGTAATCAATAACAATTCAAATTTCAATGTAAAACAATCAGAAAATTGTTTTAGGGTTAGGTGACATTATATTGTAACCATGCTGTTGTTTTGACATAGACATTTCAACTCAATATATTAAAAAAACAAAACCTTTTTGATGGAGATTTATATTTCATGTAAATGTAATAACTTACTAGGGTTAGGATGTAAAATGTAGATAATTGTAGCAGGTAAAGATAATAATGTAGCTACATTCAAAGCCTGAAGTATTGCTCCTAATCTCTCTGATAAGTATCTCTGTAATGTATAACATTATATCCATATCCATATTAAGAAAATCTTAAAACAAAAAAAGTCAGGCTAGCAGAATAACCTATTATCTTTTACTATTTCTATATTCAAGCACATGTGTAACACCGCTGGATGGACACAGTGCAATGTAATATAAAAGTACAACACAGTAGAAAAAACATTAGAAATAATGCAAGATAAATATCTGACCATTTCAAATTGTAAAGGCTAGGAATTATTTTACAAACTTATCTTATGTAATTTTGATATTCAATTTTCATACCCATATAATGGGAATACAATTGTACTTTTTTATATAAATTTGTTTAATTTATGCAAAGCAGACCTTTAAATTATTTAAGTTTATAATATCATTTACATCAGATATTCTGACAATATAGCGTGGTTATCCAATTTATACGAGTTTACTGAGATATTAGTCAGATAATCCTAATATAATATCCTTAAATGACATTTAGAAGTAGAGGTATAATATTCATAATAACACAACTTTATGGATGTACTACTTCTTAGTTTATTACATGCATCTTTATCTTTAAAGGTATCTTTATCAAGCAATGAGTATTGAAGAGTATTGAAATGTTACATGTAATAAACTAAGAAGTAGTAAATCCATAAAGTTGTGTTATTATGAAAAATCCTAATATAGATAAAAAAAATATATTTATTTTAAAACTTATATTATGTGATTATGATATTCAATTTTCATACCCATATAATGGGAATAGAACTATACTTTTTTTTCTAAATTTAATCCATGCAAAACAGATCTTTAAATTATTTAAGTTTATAATATTATTTACACCAGATATTCTGACAATATAGTGTGGGTTATTGAATTTATACAAGTTTACTGAGATATTAGTCAGATAATCCTAATATAGATAAAAAATTGTATATTTAAGACTTTTTATCTGATCTTTTTATCTGAAGTGTTTTGTTTTGTCTATCATAAAGATCATTTGAATAAAAGTTAAACTACCATAAAGAAATATGCCCCACTTGTGAAGAACCATCATATGATTAAGATTATCAGTGCTTATTATTCACAAGTACCTGTCTGTAACATTATCTTACAGACAGTCTCTGATAAAATTTTAATGGGAAAATATTAATTTATCAAGCACGTATCATGCCATCTTGACATGATCAACGACAAAGAATGTTTGAACAAGTAATCGTGCACAAAAAATTGCTGAATGATATTTTATCAAAATTATTAATATCTGCTCTGAATATCTAATCTCCTACGAGTCTTTTTTGATATTAAAGATATCAACACAAGTCGATAGTGTAAAAAAGAACCAGGCTTTGCCGAGTGGAAGATTGTATTTATCACCCAACCCTTTCTTACACGCACAAATAAATAAATAAATATAAATCTTTGGGTATAAATCAAATTCATGCAAAGCGATATCTCCTAGGAGATATCGCAGTAGATTATGAAAGTTATCACACAAGCAATATCTACTGTAGAATGTGCTATTGGGTGATAAATGTTTGTAAATCAGAACCACACAGAGAAAAATAAATCAAGTTATAAGTTTATTTAGATTTGAACTCTTTTATCTTAAAATGTGTTATCACCACAGCCATTAACAAATCAGCAATAAATAACCAAAACCTAGGATTGCCATGCAAGATACGCCCACAATTTGCAAGAGATGGATAGAGAACAAGCTAAAAAAAAACCGTGATTTTTTGTCCAATCAGGACATCTTTGGGTTATAAACATACATTTCAAGTTTCATCAAAATCAGATAAAAATTGTGACCTCTTAGAGTGTCCACAAGCTAAAAAGGTGATTTTTCGTACAATCAGGCGCCATAACCCATGAAGTTACGAACCAATAGATGCCAATATCTAAAGGACCCAAGATCTTTTGGAGATAACCCTATATTTCAAATTTCATCGAAATCGGATAAAAATGGTCAAAATCAGATAAAAGATTGTGACCTGTAGGGTGTCCACAAACAAATTGTGGACGGACCAACGTCTGGACAGACAGGGGTGACGACAATGTACGTCCATATCAAAATATGGGCGTATACAAGCTACCTTAGAAACAAGGGTGTTTTTGAACTAAGAGAGTGCAGGGTTCACACATAATAAAATTAAAACCAGCTGAAATGCTCTAACTGCCATGGTCAGAGGTTATAGTTTATTATGCACACATACTACTTGAAACAGTAAATTTCTCAAAAATGAAATATGTATGCCATAAGATGACTTTTTCAGATGGGCAAGAAAACCAGCACAAAGCTTTGGTTTTTAAACCAGTTTATTAGTCCCACCTTTGCTTTCAGATGACAAAGTTATGCCAGAGTAACTTAAAGATGCATTATGTAAGATTTAGATAAAGAGCTGCACGTTCTTGCTATAATAGTTCAAAAGTAGACATTGAAATTATTTAAAATTTTACTCAAACTATTTTGTCCAAGCCCCGGTTTCACAAAGCATTCCCAGACTTTGATCCAGAAACACAAACTCATTTCGATACAAGGGCCACATGAACTAAAATATTACATCAAGTGGGTCGGAGATCTACAAAAATATCAAGATAAAGCTAAACGTCCTTGAACTTTACTTAATTCTAAAAACAAAGCCAAACGTCCTTGACACAGGTAATTTTTTAGACTGGTTTCCAAATTGCCAAGACATAATATTGAACACAACATTCTCTTGTATTACATACATGATATCATGACATACAGTACAAAAGTATAGGTAATCTTAACTATGTTTATATAGAACACTAATCAGGCACTTTTGCAGTAATAGTGGCCTTCAGATTTGTTTTCAAAATCAAGTGAAAGGTGAAGGTTATAATTTAGTCTCAGTTTATACTTAATAGCCTATGATAACTGACCTATCATCATATATTATAATGGAAACAATCATTCTTCTATTTTATGAATCCTTCCTTGACATAGTTATGTAAGTGGTAGGCCTACGTGATTTGCTGACACAACTACTTCTGAGATCTACTTACGCTTATCTGTGCCAGATCAACACTTTGTAGGACCCTGGGCTACAAGTACTTTGAGGCCACCAGAAAGACAGTTATGTGTTTTGAATCTATGAAGTTTTTACCCACCGGCCATCACTAATAAACAGTAGAATGTTTACCTTTATAATGCTACATTTACTAAAAATAGATATACACGTACCGTGTATCAAGTTAACTTTTTTTAAATAAATAACTTAGAATACTTATACGCAACTGAAATAATTTAATCTTATTCTCATGAGGCTTTCCATCTGTTGTAGGCCCAGGGCCCTTATTCACGAAAACTTAAACTAAGATACAATCGAAATTTTAAGAAATACTGCAATTCGATTGGCTGACCAATATGCAAATTGGATATATGCAAATTGATTTTACTGGTCAGCCAATCGAATTGCAGTATTTCTTAAAATTTTGATTGTATCTTAGTTTAAGTTTTCGTGAATAAGGGCACTGGCCTACAGCCTCTAAAGCAAATGTCTTGATCTGGGCCCAAAGCAATTCTGGGCATGAACATAAACACTGTGTATAAATATAAAGGTACTTGAAAGATAACTTTATATTGAGCATCCACAAGTTTTTCAAAGTGTTTTTTTTTTTATAAACTCTGGAAGCAATTATTGGAAATTGTTGAAAATCAAAAGGCTACCTTGCCTGAAAATATTTTTGTGTGAACAAATTTCATGTCAATCGGATGACAAGGTTGGACTCTGGGTTTTTAAAGTGATCAAGGGCCAGAACTCTGGCAGTAATTATCGGAAAATGTTGAAAATCAATAGGATTCTTGATCTGAACTTAAACAAGTCAATTGTGTTACGATAGGTTTGCCCTTATTGAGTCCATGAACTGGTATGTGAAGATACGTTTCGATACGATCAACACGATTGCCACGACTGACCTCAATAGATAAGACCTGATAGGATCACCACGATTACACCAAGATTAAAACTACCATTTCAATCCTTGCCCGAATCCTGATAGTGGGGACCTAGCATTACAAATCAATAGCAGGCCTACAATATCGTAAGTCTCCAGAGCGTCTACAAGTTGTTGTTTTTTAATTGATAAAGGGCATTAACTCTAACAGTAACAGATGGAAATTGTTAAAATCTCGATAGGCGTCTTTTATGTGTCAAATATAATATGAAATGAAATGGGGTTTATTTCCCAACTGTTCTGCTTCGATAGGGCTAATGAAGATGGGCATATACCATACAGTGTGCTATGAACTACATTTTGCCCTACAACCTATTCTTATCAAATTCCAACTGTCAAGGGATCTTTTACATGTCAATTTGTACATGGGACCTCGGTTTTTCGTCCCATTCAAATGACTAGACAGCTGTCATTGTCATTCCCTCTGTGCTGCACCAATGACAAGGGGAAATCATGCCGGAACTTTCTCGACCAACACCAGGATGGAACCCGAGACATTTGAGCTAGTGTCCTACTGACTGAGTCACCGCAGCTCAGTCTCATAAATATGTGTATAAATCAGTGTTACATTTACTGAATGAACAGGTAAGCCTCTATGGACCACACTAATGTAAGCCCTAAATAACATGGAAAAGAGACATAATAGATATTGTTGACCATGTCGAAGTACACGTCTATTGATTAAATAATCAAATGTCAAGAAAGTCTAACAGAGATAACACAACTGATAACATTCTTCATTGACAATAACTACCGACAGATCTAACCGAATCATAAAATATGATGATTATTCAGCTATTTTACAATCTTTTACTTCATGTACTCTTACAAGGATGTTATTATGCACTGGATTCATGATTAAGATTGGCAATTTCTAAAGGTGAAGGCCACAAATACAATTTATGAATGTACACATTACTATGCACTAGATTCAAAGGCCACAAAATATAAATTGTCCAATAAAATGATAACGGTTTAATTTCTGTTCAACACAATACCTGGGTCAATTTGAGATAATTTTGATAAAAACATTTCCATGGAAACAAAATGAATTTAATTTTGACACAAGAGATAAACAAACATTAGTGGGAGAAAGTTGACTTTAAAACCTACCTTGATGTAAAGATGCTCCAGAGATAATGAGAACAAAATGAAGATATTGATAGCTACAATAGAAGAATGACAATATAGATATTAATTTTAAAACTAGAAAATAACTTCATATTCTGGTAGAGTACGGTAAATTTTTGAAATTAAAGTGATTAATTAAATTGATGAGACTTGCAGGAGGGTGACATAAATGTGTATTGAAATTAATGTCACCCTCTACAATCTACTCTTTTCTTAGGAGAAAGTCAATTGCAACTGACTTCTGGTGGGTTTAATTAAGAAGTAACTATGTCACTGTTATGTTATCAACAACATTGATTATTCTATTGTCTAATTAATCAATGTTGATTATTCTATAACTTTAAGGTTCTTATGGTTGACTATACCATTGATGCAAGTAAGTAACAGAAATTAATGTCACTGCTAATAAATGGCATTCAGCACAATCTATTTCTTGCTCACATTAGTTTTTTATTACAGTACCTTAGTTGACCAACTAAGCCCATGTATGCTTCTGAATGCCATACAATATAAATTGGAGCTTTATTTGGTTCTTTCTGCTAAAAGCAGACAATGATGGTAGATAAGTAATGAGGGTAACAGAAACATAAATAATAGTCAGGGGTATTTTTGCAAATTGCAATTTTTGAAGTAATTCTTTAATAGTAATGGACTGCTTATTTGCTTGACTTTTAGTATGAAATGACAAAGGTTTCTCCAAATGCATAAACATTTTGGATTTTAATTAATGATTGAATGACAAATTAGATCAGAATACACTTACAGAGAAACAGTAGAACATTAGGCCAACTATATGGTTGTTTTAGAAACAGATGTAACCAGTCAATCGGGTTAGCTAATATGCCATATCTGATAAAAAAGATTCAAATCATTTATTATATAAAAAGTTTATTATTCATTCTGTCATTTATTTATCCAATGACAGTTAGGCTAGGTGTTTATTTTGACAGAATACTGACACAGGATTGAATCCATAGAATGGTTTATACAGATATCTAGGAAAAAAAAACCAATACAAATGAAACAAGTTATAATTGTTTGTAGACATGGTATGTTTCATGTCTAGTTTGCATATAAAGAGCTGGCAGTTCTCACTACTATAGTTAATGGAATGTAATAGATAATGTAAATGGAATAAGCTGAAAATTTCCGTCAAACTACCCCACTCTGAACTGAGATATTAGCTATTGAATTTTAGTCCTAGCCTAGATCATTATTACTAAAGTCGGTACGATATAGAGCATAGTCTCGATTGTCCATTTTTGCATGTAATCATCAATGAGGGTTGAGCAGCAGATCAGATTCAAATCCAGTGAAAATCCAACAAATAAGATGAAATCGAGAGTTGATTAAGGTCTTTTCATGTTAAACAGACAATATGCAAGAGCTAAATCTGCCTATTGCAGGTCTTTCTTTAGGCCTGAAATGTTATCTAAATTATTAATTAGACATTGATAAACTTATCCAAACCATAATCAACTCTTGATGTCATCGCTAGCCTGTGATATTTACTGGATTTGAATCCGATTTGCTGCTCAACGCTCATTGATGATTTAATCAAAAAATGGATAATCGAGACTTTTTTTTATCGTACCGACTTTAGTATTGATATTCGAGTCTAGGCCTAAAATTCAAAAGCTAATATCTCGGTTCAGAGTGTATCAATTTGACTCAAATTTTCAGCATATTCCATTTACATTATCTAGTTTTTAACTAGTGAGGAATGCCAGCTTTTTATCTGATCTCCCATACTGCACCTTTAATAAATGTCTAATTAATAGCTAATATATTTCAGACCCAAAGAAAGACCAGGGCCCGATTCCTAGAAAATTCTTAAAGTAAGCAAAAAGTCATGCTTCACTTTTTCTTACGCAAGAAACTTTATAAAATACTGTCTCTTGAAAATTCTTAAGACCATTCTTACGTAAGCACAAGTCAGGAATGAGTCAAAGCACATTGCGACTGTTAAACTGAGACTACAATGCTCTCTAACGTCATAAAAACAACTTTAGTATGCAAGTTACGTCATAAATTCATCGGTTGCACAGAGTTATAAATAGATCAATGACATTAACTTCCCGGCAAATGATTCGATTTAGATGCATTTGAGATGTCCCCTATACACATATAAAATGTGCCACAAGCTAAAAAAACCGCAAGCACATGCAAACAGACAGAATAATTGTGAGAGCGCCTGATCTTAAAGTAGCCTGTGTTTGTGTTGTTTACTAATTTGTAAATAAATAAAATGGTTTCAGGGTAGGAGCGAAATTTTCTAACTATAGCATTCTTCTCGAGAATATGTTTCCAACAGATTTTCTCTGTTATTTAATTGTCTCTTTGGTATCAAAAGATGTAGGAAATGCCGTCAAATATCTCTACGGTCAGTCATCTTTGAAAAAAAAACAGATTTAAGGTTGGTAAGCAAGCTGTATACCTTGCTCGGGACTTGTGCTTAGATTGACAATGTTTAAGAACAAAGTTGTGCAATAGGCAGATTTAGCTCTTGCATAATGTATGTTTAATTTGTTGCATGTGACATTTGAGTAGTGACCAGATTCTCCTATCTTGTTATATTTTCTATTAAAAAAAACAATTCAAATACAAAAGAGAAGTAAATATAATTTTTCATAATAAATGTCATTTTATCTTTACTATCAGAACAAGATTAAAATTCTCTATGTTTTAAACCTTCTGATGGGACTTAGTGAACACAGAAATAACTTACTTGATGATATTTTCCAAAACTAAACGGCTATTGGACACCACCTAAAATATAAACCATACAATTTATACTGTGTTACACAAATAGTGTGTGAAGTTGATTGAGTTATGCCCCCTTTTTCAAAATATACATAATACTTGTAACATCCTCATATCCTATACTATATACTATATTAATTCACTCAATATAGTTGCACTTTGAACATGCATTATAAAGCTATAAAGCACACTATTCTGACATCTCAAAAAACTATATCAGGACTGTGTGGAGGCGAAGGGGTTGGGGGGATAAAGAGAGAAAGACTATACAATAATACTTATTAGATATGGAAATTCAAACTAGAAGAGGCTTTAAGTTATAGGATACATTGTTTGTATTTTGGTGAAAAATTTATGTAACTGCCATTTTAATTCCTCTATCCAAATTCTAAAGATATTATTAAATAATGTTGTTGGTATTTCTTGTATACATTTAGTTTCTTTTGATATCAGTATAGTATATTCAATACATTATAGAGTTACATGCACTCTTAACTTGGATGGTGAAAATAGTTCACAGGTATGAGACATAAGAAAAACTTACTAATAATATCAAACACAGATTTAATAAACCTCTGTAATTTGTAAAACCACTTGAAGTACTGAAGAAGGAATCTGCATGTCTATGTACACTGAAAAACATAATACCGGTATAAACATTTTTTAATTAATCACTTTACAAGCAAGACCTATTGCATGAACTTTATGAATATTTTTATGATAACCACAAAATTTCTCATAAAAAAAAAGAAATGGTTGCTTTTGTTTACTTTGAATATTTTTTTTTAACCAAAACAACCTGTTCTTTGAATGTGCAGCACAATTTAACATAATTGGATGGCTGTGATCGGAGTGATTACAGAATCTGTCTAACAATAGGATTGGAATCACAGAATGAGGTTTAATACCTCATGAACACAAAACTTTAGTCATTATGAACCAAACATTTGGAAATGTTTATTCTATAATTTCTATGGTAACGTGTACAATGTGTTGCAGGATAATTTTGTCCAAACAAACAGCAGCATTTCCACCTACTTGGTTTTTTTTTAACTGTCAAGGAGTCATTAATTTACCATGCCAATTTGTAAATGGGTGTCCCATCTGAACAACTAGACACACGGTCACACACCTTCCTTTCAGCCTATGTATGTGCTATGCAATATAATAATGTCAGTGTTGGACAGATTCTAAAGTCTAGCTTAAAACAGGCATAATGTAAGAACTAAATCTGCCCATTGCAGATCTTTCTTTGGGCCTTAAATGTTATATAAATTATTAATTAGACATTTATTAACATAACAAGATCATAATCAACTGTTATAGTAAACTAGTATCCTACAGTAAAGTCCATGGTAATAAATATTGAGATTCACATAGGTATTAATAAATTTATATTATATTTCCCAGTTTTCTGGTTTTGTGAGAAGATGAAAATAATGCATATTCTCAAAGCCAAATGTTCCTGATCTTATTGTACAGTAGCCAATCACATTTTTTGAGCTGTATGGCCTATCACTCATGCTAGCCAGCTGGAAAGGTTAGCATACAAATATACCATTCAATACCAGCTTCATCTAAATAGGTCAAGCTGGAGGAAATAGGTCAAGGGAAAATCCCTCTTAAGGTGCATACTGCTTTCATGATTCTGCTGTATGCCCATACACATATTAACAATGAATATTACTGTTAAAATTAGCATGTACATGTATATCACTTGTGAAGTAAGCCTTTAGTATAGCCTAAGAAGTAAACATACATGTATATAACTTGACACATATCAAAACAGCTGGAATCGGGTATTGTCAATGGTTAGTAGCAATTTTGAAATCACGAAAAAAGGTAGCAGAAATGATAATGAGCTGTAGTGGGAGCAAAGCTCCTAAAATTTATTGGGGGACCATTCTATAACTGGACTGGGGACACAAGCTCCCTATCCCAATGTCTACGGAATGGGAATATCTAAAAGAAAAAATCCTCAAAATCAAATTATGGCTGTTCCTGTTACACCTTATCTACACATTATGATATATTATATATATTTTGTACACAGTAAAATATATCATCAAAAGGTCATTGATCTGTCAGGTCAATAAGTCAAATTCAGTACCATTAGTAGAATTATAGGTGAATGACCACTGAACACAGAAAGCATGGCCTGTACATGTTTGATCAGCATGTGTCTTTTAACATGCTGGCAATAGCTGATAAAAAAATATATAGAGGATATTTGTCGTTTTAGAGTGAATAACATATTTTATTTCACCGAGAAGCAAGAAAACTTATATTTTCACGAATGCGTAGCATGAGTGAAAATATAAACGTTTTCTTGCTTAGAGATGAAATAAAATATGTTATTCACGACAAAACGACAAATGTTCTATTTATTTTATGATTTTACAATCATTTTAGGTAAAAACAACATGAACTACTGCTAGCCAGTGGAATAACACTTTTATTTCACTGATAAAACGCGGTATTCCACTACTGATCATAAAATAAATATATATATATCATAAATTCTATTTACATGTATTAATGAAATAAAGGTAACACTTGATATTACATTATTAGATTAGTAGCCTAATTCTGACTTGATATGACTTATATAAACAACTTAAATATAATGCTTATTAAATGTCCACTACAAGCTTGATTTCATAAAAAAACATATTCGCCTCGAACTTGGAAGTTGAAAATTGACTAAAATACATTTATAGTACTAACTGCCACATTATGTGCATGTGGCTATGGAAATAATGAAACAGTGGAACTGATGAAATGTTTAATACTTTGATACCTCCATGTACAAAATTAGCAACTGATGATGAAAGTGATATAACAAAGAAAATTGAAAGAAAAGTGGAATGAAAAGGTGGAAAAAATAAAAAAATTAACTGTGATTAACAGAATAAAATGAAATGGGGTTTAACGTCCAACTGTTCTGCTCCGACTGGGCTAATGAAGTTGGGCATATGCCATACAGTGTGCTATGCGGCCTACTCTTATATTGAATTCCAACTGACAAGGGATCTTTTACGTGCATGCCTATGTGTACACAGAACCTCATTTTTTTGCCCCATCCAAACAACTATACGTTGACCCTTGCCAGGCCATCTATCGTGCACCACTGACAAAAGGGAACCATGCCAGAAAATCCCAATGAACTTTCTCAGCCAACACATGGATCGAAAACGGAACCTCCAGGATAGTGAGTCAACGTTTTATTCACTTAACCACCCTGGCTCCCTGTCATTAACAAATGGACAACACTAAAAAGTTAACGTTGATAAATTAAAGTTGAAGTTTCTTAATGTCACCAATTTCTTTGTTTCATTATTCCGTTTGTGTATTTTCAAACTATAGACCTTAGTACTATTAACCATATTCTAAGCTGTCTCTCAATCTTGTCATTAGTCCATGTCCAAAAATGATGTCTTATATTATCTTCAATGCCATGACATTAGGGAGAGTATTCAGATGTGATAGAATTTAAGAAAATAGCTAAGATCAAAGTGACTCTTTGTTTTTTTAGATCAAGACAGCATTAGGAAAATAACAGTCTTTCGTAAATCAAAAGCTTTAAAAAAGATACACCGTTTTATCTGAAAAAAAATAAAAAATTTTGAACTGTAGAATACCAGAATAATATTTTTAAAATAAAAAAGATGAAATGATACCTATAAGGATCTTTTTCCTTTCCCTGCATCATATATTCAGGCGCATAGATCCATTCTGGTAAATTACGTCTAAAGAAACCTTTCTCCGTCACTGTTTCCTGAATGACAGTAGTCTTTACAAGGTTATTTGTGTCACTCTCTTTCACAATACTTTCTTTGATAATGACGGCGCCAACAGATAAATTCAAAGAATCTGATGCCACAGTTCGGTTGTCCTCACTACCAACTTTTGTTTTACTGTTTTGTCTTGATTTTCTTTGACGCAAACTTTCTGACTTTCCGGTATTGACACTTGAAGTATACCCATTGCCTACTGCTGCCATGTTTAGATCTATTATGAATCACTAGTGACTTTGTATAAACTTTAAAGCATTATATTAATTAAAAGAGTTAAACTTTATATCTTCACACTTAATTCAAATTAAAAACTTTATCAATATTAAAACTAAAACTCGTCTAACTGTTCAGGCAATGAAAATACTGACAGTGAAAATACTGACAGTGAACATACTACAGTAGGCTACTACTACTAATGGCTGCAATGTATCTTATTTATATTCTGAATTATTGATGTCCTGGATTGGCTGAATATTTTGTGTTGTCACTTAATACATATTCACAGTGCAAAGTCTTGTCGTCGGTCTGTGCAGGACACTATTTATAGTTCTTTGATAATCACACTGTAAAAGTATAAATATAACTATTTCTGGTCTTCAATATTTCCTTATCACTATGTGTACTTCTTGCAGTAGAAAACTGCAAAATTCTGGTTATTATTACGTCACCCGTGTTCTTGCCATTTACATGTAGGCCTATCCATAAACAAATCAATCATAAACAGGTCTATTAGTATTACTGTCTAATGATTTTGACATCATCTTGTTCTTGGTCGTTGATACTTCTACTCGAACAATAAATAACTGTAAATATATTTGTCACCCCTCTGTTCAAAAGCAACATTTACAGTAGGGTCAGCTTTCTTCAGTCTTGTAATAATAGGGCCGGTTCGTGGACGTAAACAATAGTCATTGGGATTAGGCGCTGTGTTTCACGTTTTTTTTAAAAACAAGAAACCGTGCCACCACTGTGTTATGGTTGACCTCTTCTTTGGCATTTGGATCTATTAATAGACACAAACCACGTGCCCAAGACGTGAAGCCCACGTCTTTTACACTCTCGTTTACTCGCTTCCCCAGACGTAATATTCGCCATGTCGGGGAAATCCCTCTGATCTGGTCACGTTCGGAGGCACGCTATAAATACATACGCACTACGTGACTGCGCGTTGAATTGCGTTTGTAGGATTCCCTCGTTAGAAGATAACTGAAAATCAAGTCGATCGAGAATAATACATTGAAAACTTTACTTTACTTTTATATTTCAACTGTGCTATACTCACGGATCGTCCGAACGCCATAACATTTCTTTTCTCTCTTCTCCTTTTCTTTCTTCGACTTTATACATACTTTTTGTACGCCGAAGCCTTGGGTTAGTAGTAGAAGCCATCTCGATTTGATACTAACTAAATCGACCTTTGGATTATCGTCCGAAAGGGACAACCGATCGACCTTCGAGTACAGTTTAATCATAATATTAATACCTGCGTAATTACCAGTTATTTCCCCTGCATCGCAAAAAAGGTGCTCCCATGATCGAATTATCGTCGCAAACAATCACGATTTTAATTACGATTATATATAGGCCTATATATAAAATCATGGGAGGTCAGATCAATTATTATTAATTATTAGTATCGAATAACTTATTTCTTGTTGAAATCCTCTATAACTATCAGGGATTTATAATATTGTCTTCGAACAGATTACTGAAAACTTATTGGTTAGAAGAATCAAAGCGCCCGGGTACGCTCTATGACCCCCCCCACACACACACACACACACACACACACACACGACACGACCCCCAATTGTTTTTCGGGGGGGGGGGGGGGGGGTCTGAATATACTTGGACCCCCCCCCCCCAAAAAAAATAAAAAAATTGCATAGTAAGCCCTAGCTCCTATTTATTTACAACAATTATTAGGATTAGTTAAGATTCTATCTGTATAAAACAATGTACAAATTAAAACACAAACACTTATGTTTACTTTTTGAAATCCATTTATAATACACAAAATGTACAAAATACTTCAAATATCTATACAACTGTCGTGTAAATGTCAATGTGTATATAGTATTGTAGTTATAAACAAGGTGGTTGTCAAATATGCATCCTCATAAACTAAAGTTATGTGATCAAGTTTTGTTTCATTTGGACCCTCCTCATAAAAATTCCCCATCTAAACTTTCTTTTTGTCGTGTTATTCATAACTCAAGCGTAACATTCAATATGTAAAGTCATGAAAAAAATATGAATACGGCACCCCCTGACTTAAACATGATAAACATTGTATTGGTGTGATGTTTTAGTTTAACCCCGTAAAATATGCCAAAACAGTGTTTAAAGAAGACTGAAACTTTAAAAATAAATTATGGGGGTGCCCCCCCCCCCCCCAGCGAGAGGGTGACCCTCCCACGCTCTCCCTATCGCGCTCCCTTCACATTGAAGACAGTAATGATAGAGATGCCCAGAAATTGCTTGACCTGATTTACCTTATGGGACTAACACAGCATATTAAATTTGCAACTCATCAAAAAGGCCATAATATGGAGGTCTTGATAACACGTGCCCCCGATCAAAGCCCTATTGGCATGTCTGTGGATAATACGCTACCATCTGACCACAACCTTATCAAGTTTTCCATGGACCTGACAGCCCCAACGCACAAACGGATGACCAGAACGTCCAGAAACATAAAGGCCTTTAACTGTGAAAATCTGACCCACTACTTCATAGAAAATCCCCCCCCCCCACCATTCATGGACAAAGATGCCAACGAACAAGCCAGTGTGTAGTGACATCAGCTTAGAAAGACGATCGATACTTTGGCGTCTGCAAGTCAGGAAACGTTTATAGACAGACCTCGTGCTCCATGGCATGAAGACCACCACCGCCATAAGCATCGAGAACTCCGCAATTTCGAACGCGAATGGAAAAGATCAAAATGCTAGATAACGCCCACACAATGTATCACCTCAATCCAATATTGGAAGCAAATAACAGCAAGAAGCTCTTTGATTTGGTAGATGAAATGACAGGTGACAAAAAGCAGACGATGTCCATTCTATGTTAAAACTTATTCGGATTATGAAATCAAAATCGTGTAAACTGGATCCCATTCCCACAACTCTCCTCAAAAAGTGTATTGACTACCTCATTCCTCAAGTAACTTCCGTTGTTAACTCGTCCCTCCAGTCCGAAGTTTTTCCAGACATACTTAAAGCGGAAATTGCAAATTTTTAAGTTATATTTTTAAAATTTATTAAAATAAAGCCTGAAAATAGATGGTATCCATAAACAGTCCTACCGTGTTAAAGAATAATCCTATTAATCCTATAATTCACTATTGCCAGCTGAGAAATTGGCAAAAATATCATTTTCCTCTTCATTTTCAAACGTTTGAATATCGCTACTCCATGGTGGAGAAGAGAAAACAAGGGAGGTAATTGTGTTATTATTTCCTGTGTAAATGAAACTTAAGTGTGAGAATGACACCTATGATCGTATAATTGTGAGTTGACAACCTATTGAGCAAAAGACATAGAAATAATTACGTTTTGACTTTCTTAGAAAATTTGCAATTTCCGCTTTAAGGAGGCAATAGTTCGCCCTCTTCTTAAGAAGACAGGGCTTGATCAAAACGAACTCTCCAATAACAGACCGGTATCGAACATTCATTTAATGAGTAAAGTTATCGAGAAAGTTGTTTTAACCAGTTGCATATTCATTTATCGTGTTTTAACTTGTATTCAAAATTTCAGTCAGCATACAGAGAATTTCACAGTGTTGAAACGGCACTAGTAAGAGTTTATAATGACATTTTAATATCCATTGGTAAGGGAGAAGGAATAGTTCTGGTTCTTTTAGATTTGACACGATCGATCATGATATTTTATTGTCACGTCTTAAATCGCGTTTTAATATTTTTAAATGCTGTTTTAAATTGGTTACAATCGTATATGAGAGGTAGGACCCCAAAAGTTTGTGTAAATGGTTCTGAAATAATATGGTGTACCTCAGGGGAATGTTTTATGTCCGATTTTATTCACTCTATACTGTGCCCCCCTAGAAGATATTATTGTACGTAATGGCCTCGATTTAATGCTTTATGCCAATGATACTCAACTTTATCTCAGGGTTAAAAATGTAATAAATAATATACACAGTGTAGAACCAGCGGCTGCCAGGCACGATGCGCCCACATTTTGCAAGAGATGGATAGAGATCAAGCTAAAAACAACCGAGATTTTTTGTACAATCAGGGGCAAAAATCCAGAAAGTTATGGTCTGAAATGAGCAAATGTTAAAAGGGACTGAGATCTTTGGGATATAAATATATGTTTTAGGTTTCATCAGAATCGGATACAAATTGTCACCTATGGAGGGCCCACAACCTTCGTATTGCATACTTTTACACAATTTGCGCACAAAGAGCGACCATTTTGTCGGACAGTTTCATCTCGATTTTCCCGAAATTCGAATTCAACCTTCATTATGGTGGAATGGTGAAATATTTAAACGGTTTTTAAAATCGGGAAAAAAATTTTATGACCTCTAGAGAATCCGCAAGCTAAAAATGCGATTTTTCGAACAATCAGGAGCCATAATCCAGGAAGTTACGTTCGGATATACGCGATTATCAAAAGGAACCAAGATCTTAGTGTGTAATGGTGATATATTCACATGTTTTTTTGTGTTTTTTTTTAAATCGGATAAAAATTGTGCCCTCTACATGGACGGCAAGCTAAAAACGTGATTTTTTGTACATTCAAGGGCCATAATTCAGGAAGTTACGAACCGATACGCGCGAATATCGAAATGAACCAAGATCTTTGGGTTATAAACATGTATTTCAACTCTCATCAAAATCGGATAAAAATTGTGACCTCTAGAGGGTCCACAAGATTGATATACCCAGATGCTATACACTATTTGCGTACGAGGGCGGCCTTTTTGTCCGGCAGTTTTGGCCCGATTTTCACAAAATTCGAACTCAATAAACATTACGGTGTAACAATAAGGAGGCAGCACAGTCACCAACCCAGATCAAAATGGTGTTTGAGAGGAAATTGAGAAGACACCAACAGAAGCAGACCTGATCCACGCAGTTCAAGCTATTCCAACTGTAGAATTCTTATAGAAACCAAACTGTTGTTAGCAACAACCAATTATTAAAAAGATATGTGGAGGAATCTATGGACCGACAAACTGACAGACTAACTGACTGAAGAAAAAACTTAATAAGAAAATGAAGAAAAAAAAACAACATATAAATGTATTAGATCTATGTGATGATGTAATAAAATGTATTATTTAATAAATTGTTGATATCTCGACTCATGTATTAAACCAAACAAAACTAAGTTGGGATGAGTTGTCTTTTATCTTGGGATGAGTTGTCTTCTATCTTGGGATGAGTTGTCTTATATTGGGATGAGTTGTCTTCAAATGAGTTGTCTTTGGGATAGAGTCTGGATAAACAAGACTGTGTTAATCACATGACAGTCACGGGGCGGTTTTGTGGTTGAAAGCTAAAGTAGAGATACTTTCAAAGTTGACAGGATCGGGGTTATTTATTTAGGAACCACTACCAGGCATTAGCGCCATAATATGTCTTCCTGTTCAGTATGCCTTGTTGGCTTACTGCTTATATGCTTGTCAACAGAGCATATAAATGCCCGACCAAACTTTGTCATTATGCTGATGGACGATGTAAGTATTTTTTTTATTGATTGATGATGATATAATTTATAAATATAAAACTAAAAGTCTACTAGTAGTAGTACTTGAGTAGTAGCATAAAAAAACCCCCCAAAACTTTGAATACGCTCTATTTAACTGTATATTCATGTATAGTGGAATCATAGCATATGTTGAAAAAATATAATTTATAAATATAAAAGTAGTAGTAGCATAAAAAAAAACCCCAGTCTTGAATACGCTCAATTTAACTGTATAGTGGAATCATAGCATATGTTGAAAAATATTTACAAACGACTTCCAAACCTACTAGTGCCTTTATGTCTTCACAAAAACTATTGTTATATTTATAAATATAGTGCTATAGGGCATATAGGCCTACTCTCACATGATAATACTAGCTACGAGAAAGTAGCAAAAAACGTTGAGATACTTGTTTTTACATCCCACTTCTACCTCGTTGCCAGTGGCAACCTTTGATAAAACTCTCCTGTTTATTTCCAATACAGGCATAAAAGTATCCGTGTATCAGAAATGAACAGTACGCTTTCCAGAAAGAGTACTGTTCATTTCCGACAAACAAACACTTTTATACAAGCATTGAAAATAAGCAGGATGAAAACAAACGCCTAGAAAGTCATAAATTTTATTACAAATAAATTTCAACGGACGAACCATCCGCCGATGCACACTTCACCAGGATTGACCCACGTTGTGCAGTGTCCTTTACATAACGTTTAATATAATTGCAGTCCTCTACGCCAGGGACAAGTTGTTTTGACGATGTGGTTGGCTTTATGTTCACCGACTTCGTCAAAACAACCTCGTCTTTCAATACGTAGTGCAGTCTAAAAAAACATGTGACTGTTTTACGCTCAGGGTAACGCAGCAAGACGCATGTGTAAATACTACTCAGGTCATTTCTCTTCTTCGAAATCAGTCTACTCTGAAATGTAACGTGAGGCACAGAAAGGGATAAATGAAAGAGCAGAAAGTATTTGTCACATTTCGCTTGACATGACTCGATAATAAATACAATTTTTCACATTTCGCTTCACAATACTCGATAGAAATGTGATGTAAGTGACTTATTAGCACCTTTCCTCGGTGTATCGGTGAAGATCAGGACAGTTTTGGTCGGGGGCCGCCCTCGACCAAAACTGTCCTGATCTTCACCGATACACGTCGGAAAGTGTAATAATAACTACTACTTAACTACGATTGGGTGCCTTTAGTTTTAGTTCCAAGTGGCAAACTCAATTTCTTTATTAATGGATGTAACATCTTAAAAATAAGATAATTTTATACTATATTATGACTAATTGAATTTACAGAGGCCAATGTAGTGGCACAACTATCGCCTAACTCCAAATTTTCGAGTTTAAATTAATGAAGCGTTGTTTTTATCCGACATACACCGTCATACATCTCTCGTTTAAAAATGGCGTTTCTAGTGTAACGGCTTAATGCCTCGATTTTAAATATGATGATTTATACCCTTTTCAGATAGGATTATATGCTTAATTGTAGTTGGATGGGGCAGAAATGTTATAAATAACAATAATCAGTCATTGTTTTGATGAGAAATATTGTCAATTTTGCTTACTGAGGTCCTATGTGATTTGCGTTCGACTTTGCTACGTGGAACTATATAGCACCATCTCTTATCTCGAAACACGGAATGTTGAGAGATGAGTTTTTATTTTATCTAATTATATACATGGATGCACTATATAGAAAAACATTTCAAAGAACTAATTGCTACCCTACTTTATCTATGAACTCATAAGTAAGTATGGAAAAGTATGGAAAACTTTGATGTTGCTTAACTCACAGGCTAGAATAGCACAAAAATGCATTTGCAGTGACTAATTTCCAAAATTTTCTCTGGGAGGGCAAGTCGGACAAGTCCCCCATACCCCATGACGATTGATTGATTGTTTGGGATTTAGGTCAGCCACACTGAAGTTGCTGCATTAAACAGGGAAACGATTCTGCGACAGTTAAATTTTCAAAATTTTCTTCCAGCGGTCATGTCTCTATGGACTGTAAGTGATTGCTTGTTTGATTCAAATTCAAGTCAAACACCTAAATTAGCCTATATTAGACCACTTTGAAGTTGCCGTGTTCTCGGACTAGAATAGCAGGAAAATGCGTTTTCTGCCATCAAATTTTCTTGGGGCATCCCTACGCAGTAAGCTCTACTCCTTCGCCTTCGCCGTCTGTAACACGTAATGCTTGAACTTAAACTACAAATCAGATCATCTTTATCTAATAAAAGTTAAGTTCTATCATTTTCCTCATATAAAACTAATGATATATGAGTTTGTGTAGTTATCCAGTTAGTTATCAGTAACTTCAAAGATAAGTAATCAATCAGTTTAATATTATTAATAAATGTCCTTGAAAAATGAACTACATGATGACATCATTTTTTACATCTAGTTTAGTAGTCAATAATGCCGTCACCATTGCCACCAGGCATGATAACCTAACAATGATAACCAACTGTGATTGGTAATTTGGTATCCATGTAAAGACATACTCCTCGCAGTGTTTTGTTTGATTGGACCAAATCCCAGTTAACATTGCTGTAATTAAAGCAAATTTCTGTTCCAAATTATGACTGGTCAATAGTACGATTAACAACCAATACCTAACTGCGTAACAAGATCATTTGAGTTTAAACAGAGCTCCAGATATGTTTACATTACATTACATCACATCATGAGTATTAGGCAAATTCTGGGTGAAAATTTGACGCTTTGTTACATAATTTAACACGTAGGCCGCCACTGTCGCATACATTTCTGTTCCGATGCATTGCACAATACGTCTTGCACTCGAATTACGTCTCGAACTATATTTGTCAAGTGTAGCCATAATCGGGTGAAAAAATCAAATTCTAAGCCAATCAGAAACCATAAAAGCAAAGATCGTCATAGGTCAAGGGTCAGTAGCCATAAATAGACCAGTGAATACCTTTTATGAGACGGAACACGTTGGATTGTTTACCTTTGTCTGAGAGAATTTTTCTGCAAATATGCCGGGATTACTGGATAATACCACCTGTTAAATGTTGCATTGACACGGTAAAGACGACTTACCCCTAATCTGTGGCATAAATATGGCCAATAATTGGGAAATAGCACCAATGATTGAATGAATCTTTTTGTCCCCCGCCTTTCGAAGAAAGCAGGGGACTATTAAAATGGGTTCGTCCGTCTGTCTGTCTGTCCGTCTGTCTGTCCGTCACACTTTTTGGGACACAATAACTCTCTTCCTAATTGAGCTAGAATGTTCAAACTTGGTGTATGTGTTTATTAGGTCAATGCCTTGATGGAGTTCGAAGATGAGCATTTTCCGCTTAGGGTAAGCAGAGATAAGCAATTTGATTGGTTGATGCTTTGGGACACGATAACTCTCTTCCTAATTGGGCTAGAATGTTCAAACTTGGTGTATGTGTTGATTAGGTCAATGCCTTGATGGAGTTCGAAGATGAGCATTTTCCGCTTAGGGTAAGCATAGATAAGCAATTTGATTGGTTGATGCTTTGGGACACGATAACTTTTAATTGAGCTAGAATGTTCAAACTTGGTGTATGTGTTTATTAGGTCAATGCCTTGATGGAGTTCGAAGATGAGCATTTTCCGCTTAGGGTAAGCAGAGATAAGCAATTTGATTGGTTGATACTTTGGGGCACGATAACTCTCTTCCTAATTGAGCTAGAATGTTCAAACTTGGTGTATGTGTTGATTAGGTCAATGCCTTGATGGAGTTCGAAGATGAGCATTTTCCGCTTAGGGTAAGCAGAGATAAGCAATTTGATTGGTTGATGCTTTGGGACACGATAACTTTAGTTCTAATTAAGTGAGATTGATGAAACTTGGTGTATAGTTTCATTACAGTAATACCTTGACTAAGTTTGATAATGAGCATTTTCTGCTCAGGGTAAGCAGAGCGATACGCAATTTGATTGGTCGAGACTTTGGAAAACAATAACTCTCCTACTTTGATTGTCCCCCGCCTTTCGAAGAAAGCAGGGAACTATTAAAATGGGTTCGTCCGTCTGTCTGTTTGTCTGTCTGTCCGTTCCGCTTATGGTAAGCAGAGATAAACAATTTGATTGGTTGATCTTCGAATTGAGTAAATGTTCATGCTTATTGTCCCCCGCCTTTCGAAGAAAGCAGGGAACTATTAAAATGGGTTCGTCCGTCTGTCTGTTTGTCTGTCCGGTAAAGATATACTGTTTGATTGTTCAATACTTTGTAAAAGATAATTTGTGATAAATTTATATGTGTCCTCTAATTATTTTCCTATTTCGGCGGGGGACATCAGCCTCACTGTTGGCTTGTATTTTCTGGAAACAAGTATTTCTTCAAAACTATTTCAGTGAATGAAACAATATCCAAGAGAGATATATACTTAATACAGATGAAAACGATTTTGGCATGCTTGAAATACTAGTTCGGTCTTATAATTATATATAAAACAAAAATAATAATACCATGTGATCTGATCGATACAATTAATAATAATTCACCTTCATTAATTTTACTAGTTTTATAAAAAAGAAAACAATAGACTTATTATAAGAGTATAGAGAGAGAGAAATGGGGTTTAACTTCCACTCGACACAAACTAGGTAATTTTGGTTCAATTTTATTCCAATAATTCGCTTGCGTGTAGTGGTCTTTAGCAGTGGGAGGAAACCGGAGGACCCGTAGAAAACCCATGAGGTTGGACAGGCAACCCTTCTCCTTGTCAAGTACAACCGTGAAATCTAAACCACGCCAGTGGACTCAATGACAGACCTTATGATACAGCGCGCATATGCTACCCCTTCGGCTACCCAACCCCCTATAAGAGAGTATAAGATTACATTTATTTAAAGAAAGAAATTAAAAAAAATAAACAAATGCAATTATATAAATTTCCTCGTACACAACAATACCATACACCACTAGTATTAATGAAAAATGTATATAATAATAATAATAACATCATCATTTTTTAAAGTGTATTAAGGTTCTTATATTCACAGAATACATGTATTTACACAGAGATCAGGTCTTGTGCCCATAAACACTGTACAAAATTGAAAGATATATACCAACCAGTAAATAAAAGTACATATAAGAGAAAAACAAACAGTAATTACCTAAGTAAAATGGTTCTAGTAAAATGAATTAGAAATGAAATGGTCTAATGAAGATGGGCTTATACGCCATACAGTGTGCTATAAGGCAAATTTATATCAAATTACAACTGCCAAGGGATCTTTTTACGTGCACACCAATGTATACACGGGACCTCGACTAGACTGCTGTCCTCGTGCCTTGTCAGCCCCTCCGCCTGCACCACAGACAAGGGAAAACCGTCGGAAATGAATTAGAATAAAAATAGTAAAATAAAAACATATAGTAAGCATAAAGTGACAAAATATAATATGAAAATTTATTGACATGTACAGTACATTTAAGTAAAACATATTTAAAATATGTAATATTTAAAAACCGCTTACAAAAATACATGTATACAGGTGTAGGCCTACATAATTTCATCAATATCATCATCACTATTAAAATCAATGTCACTGTCAGCATATGTTTGGCTGTCAGTTTTATATTCGAACAATATACACAAAACCATACAAGAAAGTTTTCACTTGTAAGAAGTACATCTATTACTGATCTATCTGCAAAAGTGTAATGCAGCTTGATTTACATTCACATTGAAAATTTTGTTTGGTGCTTGATCTCTAGTCACCCTAACCCTGTCATTTGTTCAATAGAGTTTAACAAGAGGGGTTTAAATTTCCACAGCTACAATCAGGCAACCAGGGAGGAATGCGCCAGAATATGCCCCCTTTTTAACTGGTGATGCAAGGGCAGAAATAATTCTTCATACATATTTTTTTCAAAAAAAGTAAGTGCACTTGTACCAACTCATCTATTTCGGTTCTAATTTTCTCCATAACATGGGGGTTGGATGGCCGAATTGTTAGCACGTGCGCACTGTATCATAAAGTCTGTCATTGAGTCAACAGGCGCGGTTTCGAATCCCCTGTTGTACGTGACAAGGAGTAGGGTTGTCTGTCCAACCTCGTGGGTTTTCTCTGGGTACTCCCGTTTCCTCTCACTGTTAAAGACCCCTACGCGCAAGCGAATTATTGAAATAAAAAAAATTAAACCATATGTTAGTCCCAAAATGACCTAGTTTGTGTCGAGTGGACGTTAAACCCCATTTCTCTCTCTCCATAACAACTTGGGTATGAGTACTGCACATTGTATTTCACCTCAATAATGGTGACACAGTCTTAACCATAATGGTCTTTCTGTCTTTGACTGAGTGGACTTCTCAATTGGTCTGAGTGGTCTTGGGCAGAGTAGTCCTTGGTCTGGGTTGTCATGCATTTAGGAGAATATCTTCATCAGCTTGCATTTGCAAGAAAATGGGGAAAATGTTAAGATATGATCCGATCCCCTTAAACAAATTAACCAGACCTATTATTTATTCTCTTTCTGTTTTTTTGCTGCTTGTTCTTGTTTCTAAACATCACTTTCTTCAACAATTTAGGAATCGTGATAATGTTTCATACACAGTTTTGTTAACGTTGGTAACGTGGAATGTGAGAAGTAGTAAGTAGCCTCTACCATACCCCAGTGAGAGTTTTGTCTTCACATTCCTGCCTGGAGTTCTGATTCAGTTTTGTCCAGCAAATCGGCATTTGTCTCCGGCACATTTCCATCTAATTTGATCCACTGGATAGCACAAACCTTAAATTTTTCCCAGCTTGTCGCAGTGAACGGTTTTAGCTCAATGTTTTAACAAAATGTACACGAAGTATGCAGTTTTACTTGAGCTATCTTTCCACCATGTACCGTTAATAACAAAACGTAAACAAATAGCAGGTGACCTTTCACCACATGACCTGTTGAACTTTTCGTCGTGTATGTTTGATTGACCAATTATGTCACGTGATCTGTTTAAACCGAGTCACCGCTAAATTCAAATACCATTGCACATTGACAAGTAAGCCCATATTTAATTTACGTTTTCTATCAAACGTCAAAGAATTGATAAAAGAAAAGTTGTGTAACAATACAAAGTAATACTAGAAGAATTAGATGATGTAGTTTTTTTTTTCACCCGAAAGTGGTCGGGACGGAGAAACAGAAGCAAGCCAGCTAGAAATTTCACACCACGGCCTATATGACTCAAAAAATTTATTACGCCCAATTAACCAGTGCATAGCAGAATATTGCAGAAAAAGATAATTGCGTGACAAACGAAGCTACAATGTAAACAATACTGCTTGGAGACGAACAATACTTTCGCTGTTTTTAATGCCTTAAATCACTGTCCAAAGTTTTAGCGAAGACCCCAGATTAAACGAAGGGCTGTCATATTGCTGTACTTAGGAGAGCTTTGATTGAACAGGAAGAATAGACACACTTCCTCAAAAGCTTAAGTATCAGAAGTCTATCCAGCAATGGCCAGAGAGGGACGTCTCGGGCCAATGCTTCAGGAATATGTGTGAAGAAGGATATATGAGAGTCATTGAGCGTCATATTAATTTCAGTGCACAATAAAGTCAAACTTTTTTTTTAAGATATTGATTTGTATTTATTGTAGATGGGATGGGGTGATCTAGGAGTTTATGGAAATCCTGAGAAAGAAACACCAAATCTTGATGCTATGGCTGCAGAAGGAATGTTGCTTCCTAATTTTTATTCTGCTAACCCATTATGTTCACCGTGTAGGTATTTTTTTATACGCCCACATTTTCATGTGGACGCATATATTGTCGTCGCCCCTGTCCCTCCGTCTGTCTGTCTGTCCATCCACAATTTGTTTGTGGACACTCTACAGGTCACAATTTTTATCCGATTTTGACGTAACTTGAAATATAGGTCTATCTCCTAAAGATCTCGGTTCCCATGACTTCATGGATTATGGCCCCTGATTGTACGAAAAATCACGTTTCTGGCTTATGGTCCCTCTAGAGGTCACAATTATAATCCGATTTAAAAAAACGTTCGAATATATCAACGTTACACCGTATTGTTGGTTGAGTTCGAATTCCATGAAAATCAGACCAAAACTGCCAGACAAAATGGCCGCCGCTCGTACACCAATAGTGTAAAAATATGGTATGTCAAGGTTGGGGATCCTCTAGAGGTCACAGGTTTAATCCGATTTTGATGAAACTTGAAATGCATGTTTATAACCCAAAGATCTTGGTTGCTTTCGATATTTGCGCATATCGGATCGTAACTGCCTGAATTATGGCCCCTGATTGTAGAGGTCACAATTATTATCTGATTTACAAAAACGTTCGAATATATCACCGTTACACCATAATGTTGGTTGAGTTCGAAGTTCGTGAAAATTGGACCAAAATGGCCGTCCCTCGTACGCAAATAGTGTAAACATCTGGTATATCAAGGTTGTGGGTCCTATAGAGGTCACAATTTTGATGTGATTTTGAAGAAACTTGAATTATAACCCACAGAACTTGGTTCCTTTCGATATTTGCACATATCGGATTGTAACTTCCTGAATTATGGCCCTTGATTGTACAAAATTTAGAGGTCACAATTTTTATCCGATTAAAAACAAATATCACCATATATTTATATGGTAAATATATCACCATTACACACTAAGATCTTGTAGTCCGATTCGGTTTGTTACATAATTCCCATCCGTCCACTTTTCGGGTTGAAATCGTGGAATAAGCTTTATTTTGAAGGTTTTGATGTTTAATGACAAAAAACCAATGTTGACATTTTTTCTGAGTTGGTCTTCCGGGAGGTCATTATTTGAAGGTAGCCATTTTGCGATAATATTCCAACTTACTTTTTTATTTTCACCTTATTTATAATGTTCTCGACATATTAGCTGTGATTTGGCAATGTATTAATATTGGCAGGGGTCGTGACTCAGATAGTTTTCCATCACATCATATATCCAAAATGGCGACCATTTTTGGCAGGAAAATCGGATGATGTACTGATTTTCATTAAGTAGTAGTGTTTGGTGTCAATACATATGTTTTCAGGGGCACAGATTCCATTTCTAACAGTTACGACTGTGTAGAATGATCACATGTTCACCTATTTTGCATATGTCAAAGATGGTGGCGATTTTTGGCGGGAAAATGGGACGGTGTGCTGATATTGTTTAAGTAGTCACCTTTGGTGTCAATATATATGTTTCAACGGCACAGATTCTATTTCTGCCAGTTACAACTGTAGAAAATGATCACAAGTTCACCTATTTTGCATATTTCAAAGGTGGCCGCAGTTTTTGGTGGAAAATGGGATATGTGTTGATATTGATTAAGTAGTGGGCTATGGTAACAGAATATATGTTTTCGGGGTGGAGATTCCATTTCTGTCGTTTACAATTGTGTAAAATGATCACATGTTCACATATTTTGCATATTTCCAAGATTGCGGCTATTTTGACGGCAAAATGGGATGATGTGCTGATATTGATTAAGTAGTCATGTATGATATCAGGAAATATGTTTTTGTGGCGCAGATTCCATTTCTGCCGTTTACAATTGTGTAAAATGATTACATGTTAACATATTTAGAATTTGGCTGCCATTTGTGGCGGGACCTTTCCTAAACACATTACTGAAAAGGTTTCTGAATCCAATTCTGCTATGTATAAGCTTGTAACATGTTCCTGGAAGCAGTGGCGTGTTTTACCAAATATGTATATTATCTGACAATGAAAATTCCTCATCCAAGTTGACCACTAATATCGATTTCCCCGGAAAATAGCACATTTACTTGGTCGATCGCGTTGTAGTAGTTGGACTCAAGTCTGATTTTAAGACTCGGTGGCGTCATCGAGACTTTCAGTTTATGTTGTCTGTCAGTTATAGATACAAAATTAACGATAGTTAAAAATTTGAGAATTAATAAATTAATAATAAATTAAAAATAGATCAGAAATGTATGATATACAAAGAAATAAAAACAAGGACTGCAAATGAAATAGTAATACCTGCTATAAGAAACCTTCGTGGCATAGATTATATTATCAACTGACCCCAAGCTGCAGGGGAGAAGTCTTTGAGAGGAATACTGTTGCATTGGAAAAACAAACTATATCACCACTTACATGACAGTGTTACCCGTCATTTATGACATCTCTGCCATCACTATTGAAATAACTGGTGCCAGTGATGTCAAAGTAGCCGGCCACATGCTCGTTCCACAATCGGCTTGGAGGTCAGTTGATAACATAATCTATGCTATGGGGGCTTCTTAGCAAGTATTTCATTTACAGCCACGTCCCCACCACGCTCAACCACGTTGCCGCCAGGCTGAAACGAAGCTCCTGGTCACATGCTTGCTGTATATATAGGGAAGATACTGAACATTGTCCATCAGCTCCAGCTTAGCGTCCAAAGAGGAAACATCAAAAAAAACCTAAAAATTGTTTTTGATTGCTTGACTTTTGATTGTTCTCTGCTTTGAAAGTTAATGAGAATGTAATAGGCGTGGCGACAGAGCGTCTTACGCCTGGTAGGCACGTCACGGAGTGTGGTGAGATCGTATCCCGATCTGACTGCCAATGGCGAGATCATGGTGGGAAGACATTGCGCATAGCCATGAGACTGTAGCAGGCACTTGGTTGGTCGTGGCAGAAACATGATGGTTGCGTGTCAATTCTTGCCACGTTTACTGGCACAAGCCCAGCGCTTCCGTCGCGCTCTCTTTCCTTCATGCCAGGATACCGAATGAATGGGCTATTCTTTCCCAGGAAAATCGATAACAGCTCAGTGGTCATCTCAGATAAGGAATTTTCATCGTTGGATAATATACCAAATGGGTACGACACAGTACCGGCTTTCAGGAATGTACTACAAGCTAATAGTCTACTTAGCAGAATTGGACTCAGAAACCTGTAAATAACAACAAGTAAATAAATGATAATAATGTATTTAGAAAACGTTCCGCATTCTTGGAAATATGCTAAATTGGTGAACATACCATCATTTTATGCAGTTGTATATGGCAGAAATCGAATTTGCGCCCCCGAAAATATATATTGACACCAAAGACAACTGCTTAATCGAAATCTGCACATCGTTCGATTTTACCGCCACAAGTGGCCGCCATCTTGGAAATATGCTAAACATGTGAACATGTGTTTATTTACAAGGTTGGAAATGTCAGAAATGGATTCTGTGCCTCCGTTAACATATATATTGACACCAAACACTACTACTTAATCAAAATCTACACATCTTCTCATTTTCCCGCCAAAAATGGGCGACATCTTGGAAATATGCTAAGTATGTGAACATGTGGTCATGTTACAGGGATGTAAATGTCAGGAATGGAATCTGTGACCCCGAAAACATATATATTGAGACCAAATACTACTACTTAAAGAAAATCAGCATATCGTCCGATTTTCCCGCCAAAATGGTCGCCATAGCTTGGAAATATCTTCATGAAGTGATGGAAAAAATCTGAAATATGGTCATGACCCCTGTCAATACTAATACAGTGCCAAATCACAGTTGATATGTCGATAAGATCATAAATAAGTTGAAAACAAAATATAAGTTGGAATATTATTGCAAAATGGCTGCCTTTCAAATAATGGCCTCCCATACTATGAAGACCTTCTCAGAAAAAATGTCAACATTGGTTTTTTGTCATCAGACATCAAAACCTACAAAATAGATATTGTTCCATGATTTCTACCCGCAAAGCTGACAGATTTACATTAAGGATCGGACTATGGTTCCTTCTGATAATCGTGCATATCCGAATGTAACTTCCTGGATTATGGCCCCGGATTGTTCGAAAAATCACATTTTTAGCTTGCAAATTCTCTAGAGGTCACAATTTTATTTTCCGATTTTAAAAACCATTTAAATATATCACCATTCCACCATAATGAAGGTTGAATTCGAATTTCGGGAAAATTGAAATGAAACTGCCCAACAAAATGGCCGCTCTTTATATGCAAATTGTGTAAAAGTATGTAATACGAAGGTCGTGGACGCTCTAGAGGTCACAATTTTTATCCGATTTTGATGAAACTTAAAATGTATGTTCATAACCCAAGTATCTCGTTTCCTTTCGATATTCGCGAATACCAGACCATATCTTTCTGGATTATGGCCAATGATTGTACATAAAATCACATAATTGTTTTTTAGCTCATTCTCTGTCCATTTCTTGCAAAATGTGGGCGTATCTTGCATGGCAATCGCTTGTTTAAATGGTAATGTACATGATTTGTTTTATAGTTTGAGTAATTTCACTCTTCGATACAGAATTTAAGTTTTTTCATATTCTGACTTTTAAATTTTGATACACATAAATAATTTGATATTATACGATAAACATAGTTGATACCGGTAAATAATTTTTATGTTACATTTTTTAGCCAGAGCATCTCTGCTGTCAGGGCGTCTACCAATCAGAAATGGTTTCTATTCAAACAATGCACATGCTAGAAATGGTTAGTGAATATTTATCATCTAGATGTTCCAGAATTTTCATTTATTTTTTTGTAATTTTCTAATTTAGCTGCTGCCAAAAAGCAGAGTTTGAATTGCACCCTCCGAAGGATGGAGATTAAAATTACGATAGCATACAGAATTGTTGTCCATAAATCGGTTAAGTCAGTACACGTGGGAAGTGCCCAAAATTAATACCCTAGACATGACACATGGAAGCAGTCACTCAAACAAGCTTGAAAATGGCAGGAAAAAACAGACCAGCCCTTTGAGTCCCGCTGCTGTTGAACTAAATAACGACTATTATCCGCTGTGGCACTTGAATTGTGAAAACCGTGTGAAGTTCACAGTAAATAAGCATAACAGGAGTAACCACAAAATCACATTACGAACACTACATCATGAATAATTGGAAATTTTCACTTTACAGTCACCTCTAATGATTTCCTGTAAAATTACTCCAGCCAAAGATATGAAGCGCCCCCTGTGAAAAGTAAACAGAGTTATCTACTGTTGTATAAATGTCGCTATTTTTTAAAGAATGAAATCTCAAATCTGGAATATCTTGATAATACTGCATCTCAGTTCTTTCAAAACTGTGTATAATTATTTACCAGGAAATGTTAAACCATATTATTTATTATAAATGACATAGTCAGGTCCTCAATGTCGGCTTTTTGGGTAGAAATTGTGGATCAAGTTTTATTTTGAAGGTTTTGATGTTTAATGACATTAAACCAATGTTAACCAAAGTAGGTCTTCATATGGGAGGCCGTTATTTGAGGGTAGCCATTTGATAATATTCCAACTTATTTTTTTATTTTCACCTTATTTATAATGTTATCTACATATCAACTGTGATTTGGCAATGTATTAATATTGGCAGGGGTTGTGACTATATTTCAGATTTTTTTTCCATTACTTCATGAAGATATTTCCAAGATAGCGACCATTTTTGGCAGGAAAAACGGCCTATGTCCTGATTTTGATTAATTATTAGTGTTTGGTGTATATATATATGTTTTCAGGGTTGGAGATTCCATTCCTGACATTTACAACCTTGTAAAATGATCACATGTTCACATACGTTGCATATTTTTAAGATGGCGGTCATTTTTTACGAGAAAATGGGATGATGTGCAGATTTTGATTAAGTAGTAGTGTTTGGTGTCAATATATATGATTACAGGGGCGTGTACTCCATTTCTGACATTTATAACCTTGTAAAATGAATACATTTTCAGCAATTTTGCATATTTCTAATATTGATGCCACTAATTGTGGCGGGAAAATCGGACAAGGTGCTGATTTTGATTAAGTAGTTGTCTTTGGTGTCAATGTTTTCAGGGGAGCATATTCCATTTCTGCCATATACATCTGCGTAAAATGATCGTATGTTCACCACTTTGGCAAATATTCAAGATGACAGAATGTTTTCTGAACACATTATTATCCTTTATTTACTTGTCATAGTTATTTAGAGGTCCAATTCTGCTACGTAGGCTATTAGCTTGAAGCACATTCCTGAAAGCCGGTGCTGAGTTGTACCCATTTGGTATATTATCCAACGATGAAAATTTCTCATCCGAGATGACCACTGAGCTGATATTGATTTTCCTGGGACTGAAAATCCTATACACTCGGTCTCCTGGCATGAAGGCAAAGCAGCGTGGCAAGAAATTGACATGCGCCCATCATTCTCTTGCCACAACCACACCAAGCTCTTACTACGCCCAGCGCGCACCACTCAAGATCTTACTACACTCATGGCAATCCTCTGGCTACGCGCAAAGTGTTCCCACCATGATCTTGCGGTTAGCAGTCCGCTCGGGATACGTCCTCACCACACTCCCGTGATGTGCCTACCAGGCGTAAGACGCTCTCTTACCATGCCTATAGAGACTCTGCCATGGCCACCCCAATTACCTTTTCAAAAGTTGTAAGTCTCACATTTTTAACCATCGTTAATTTTATTGAGGAAATTTCATTGTTGGATAATATACCTAATGGGTAAAACATGGCACTGGCTTCCAGGAACATGGTACAAGCTTATACATAGCAAAATTGGATTCAGAAACCTTTTCAGTAATGTGTTTAGAAAACGTCCTGCCACAAACGGTGGCCAACTTGGAAATTTGCTGAATGTGTGAACATACCATTATTTAACGCCTCCGAAAACATATACTGACACAAAAACATAACTACTTAATCAAAATCAGCACATCGTCCCATTCATGTTCCCCAACACAAATAGCAGCCATATTAGAAATATGTAAATATGTGATCATTTTACACAGTTGTAAAGGGCAGAAATGGAATCTGCACCCCCGAAAACATATATCCTGATACTATAGACGACTACTTAATCAATATCAGCACATCGTCCCATTTTCAAGCCATAAATGGCTGCCATCTTGGAAATATGCAAAATTGGTGAATTTGCGATCATTTTACACAGTTGTAACTGGCAAAAATGGAATCTGTGTACCTGAAAACATATACATGTATATTGACACCAAAGACGGTAGAAATGGAATCTGAGCCCCTGTAAACATATATTGACACCAAACACTACTACATAATCAAAATCAGCACATCGGCTGATTTTCCTATTAAAATTGGTTGCCATCTTGGAAATATCTTCATGAAGTAATAGAGAAAAATCTGAAATATAGTCAAGACCCCTGCCAATATTAATACATTGCCAAATCACAGTTGATATGTCGATACCATTATAAATAAGGTGAAAATAAAAAAATAAGTTGGAATATTATTGCAAAATGGCTACCCTCAGACAATGGCCTCCCACACTATGAAGACCTACTCAGAAAAAATGTCAATATTGGTTTTCTGTCATCAAAACCTTCAAAATAAAGCTTATTCCACAATTTATACCCGAAAAGCCGACGGATGGGAATTATGTTAATTTTCAGCATACACACCACAAGATATTGCTGGAGGTATTCCTGACGCAGAAATTTTATTTCCTGAACTTTTACAGAGTAATGGCTATAGAAGCAAAATCATTGGAAAATGGTATAAATATTTGGTCTTGGATAGCATGCTTGATGTTTTTGTTATCCCCTACCTTTCAAAAACATCCAAAAACTATTAAAATGAGTTTGTTGGTCTGTCTGTCCATCACACATTTTGGGACTCAATAACTCTGCTTGAGGTAGAATATTCACTACATGGGGGAGATGTTATTTAGGTGAATATTTGGACTGAATTCAATGATGGATATTTTCTGGTTAGGTTAGACAGAGATAAAGAAATTCAATTGGTTGAGACATTAGGACACAATAACTCTGCTTCTAATTGAGTAACTTAGTGTATAAGCACAAGACCCCTTAATTTGGTTAAAAAATCAAATAGTTGATTTTATCGGATTTGAAGTGTTCATTTGTTTTGTCAGGTAGCAATTTGTCTTCATTTAAAAATTTATGTCCATAGATAAAGCTAGTGTTGAGGTATATAACAGATTTTGAGACCTACAAAATCGTAAATGAATTGACTTTTGTTTAGTCTTTAAAAGTTTGATCCTTTATCGAGTTTGTCCCATGATCCCATCACTAATCGACATTAGATCAACCCTATTGAATACCTTATGTCATTCTAAATCAAATTAGTCTGGGTTATAATTGAGGGAGGTGCCACCTGGAGAGGTAGAAATTCTCATGTGTTTTTTCTAGACCAGTTTTTTTTTTATTCTAAACATGACTATATGGGGTAAACAGGCTGTATCCTGAACCATTTTCTGTGAGGACGCTTTTTCCAATTTGGCCACCAAAATCTGATATATATTGACTATGTGGGTTAAATAAGTAACAATTTTGCATGCTTGACCACTTTTTGCATTCATTTTTTTTTTAGTTATTCCCAAACAAGCTACAATTGTGTGGTAGAGTGAATTTATTTATGTTATGGGTATTTTAATGATCACTATGCAAATTTAATCTTAAGCAATATGTCACACATCACTGCACCTTTAAACTCTCCTGTTCTGTACACTCTTCTTAAAGTATCCAGTGAGTTCGAGTTCATCCTCTGCTCACTTGGGTTCATTTTCACCTATGACCTGAAGGTTTCTTGTATTTGTATGTTTAATCACCTGGGTCACTCTTAGATAGAATTTTGTAGAGTAAGGTTGCATGTTTCATTCAATCTTTGTATCAGTTTTATACTTAGAGTTTCAGTATTGTCGATTTTTATTTTCATCAATCGTGTGCATTAGTAGCATTATTATCTACAGATTTGTGTTTACAGTTTAAGGAGAGCATATAAGGTACTCCACCTCATTCCAGTCTCTGGCTACTTTCATTTAAAAACCCCTTCTTGGGGCTTTTTACTGTATAGTAATAAATAAACCGCTGTTATACCGAACCCTTGTGTGGTTAATTTATTCATAACTTGACCCCCTACAACAACTGTATTCCAGACTCTAGAAAGTGATAAAAAGTGAGAATGCTCTTCAAAATGGCTGCCAAAATCATAGATAAACTGTATATATTTTTTAATAAGCATTTATTAGGCCCCGAAATGGTCATATTTTGCATTAATTGTGATTAGAGATAAACACAAAACATCTTCATATACTACCACACACACATTTTATAAAGAGTTAAAATGATGAGGACGCTCTTCAAATGGTCGCTAACAGTTCAGAGAAAAAGATATGGGCCTGTGTAGGTATAGAAAAGATTATTGAGGCACATTTGACCTCTTTTTGCATTAGTTTTACATAAGAGTTATTTGAAAAGAATCCACATGTGTGACAAATAATCTATATGATGGTGAAAAAAGGGGGCGTTCTTCAAAATGGCCACTAAAATCCATTCTAAATTAAAATTAATATGTCCATTTATATAGCTCTAAATCCACAAATCGTACTCATAGCGCATACAGCAACAATACAAAAGTCTTTTGGCTCTACGTTTATTTGTCATTAAGCTTTAAATAAGCATTACAAAGTGTAATATGTTGATGTGTCCAGATAGTAAGTTAAAATTTAGTAAGTTGTTTCTATATGATCACAGAAAAGATGTTTGACATCTCATTCTTGAGGGAGCTTAAAGGGTAAGGGCTTATACTGAATTGTCCTTATAATGTATCCTGGTATGACAAATCAATCGCAATGTTATATCACAACTCCAAAGCTGTTTTAGGTGGTACAGATTTCAGCTAATCTAGCCTAGCTGTGGACTGGAAATTAGATAACTCTTGTCAGGGATATTCTACCACTACAAATGTCTGACAATTACATAGCTCTGTCAGGGGTAACCCACCACTAGAAATGTCTGTTAGAGTGTTTTTGTAACACCTGAAGATGTACGGTACACTGCTGTATGATTTTCATGTGGTACACTTTTGAGCTAATCTAGCCTAGTTTGGGGGCATGGCATTTTGGGCGTGGAATACCACACCCACCACCAGAAACCCGGCAGACTTACATTCTGATGATACCAGATATACATGCATTGATACCATATATGAGAAAATTGGTACACTTTTCAGCTAGGTTAACCCCCTGGGCTCCTGCTCTATTAAGTTCAAGTTACTCCTCTTCGTCTTCAAAGCGTTCAACGGCAAAGCTCCATCTTATATAAAAAGTCTTGTAGAACCCTATACTACCAGCAGATATCTCCGTTCTCAGAAAAAAACACTTGCTAAAATCTCCAGCCATTAAGTTAAAACTTGGAAAACATGCTTTTTCTTATGCTGGTCCTTTTCTATGGAATAGACTACCACAATCAATGAAACAATTACCATCTGTGGGCCATTTTAAATCTCAACTTAAAACATTCTTATTTCAAAACCCTGATCTGTAAAAAATCAGTGAATATAAAAATCAACCGCGCCTTAGAAACTGTTTTCTTCAGTATTAACGCACTTTATAAATGACGATATTATTATTAAGTGGATGGCGACAATGCTGTCTGAAGATGTGCAGGAACTGTTTATTGACGTGCGAGGACAATTCAGAATGCAGTGATCTGAGCGACTTTGAAAATTAATGTTGAGAGTGATTTGTCATACCAGGATGCCTTATGTTTACCTCTAATCAAAATTTATGCAAAATATGACCATTTCGGGGCCTAATAAATGCTTATTAAAAAATAATCAAAACTCTAATCAAAATTTATGCAAAATATGACCATTTCGGGGCCTAATAAATGCTTATTAAAAAATATATACGGTTTATCTATGATTTTGGCACCCATTTTGTAGAGCGTCCTCACTTTTTATCACTTTCTAGAGTCTGGAATACAATTGTAGCTTGTTTGGGAATAACTAAAAAAAAACTTATGCAAAAAGTGGTCAAATATGCATCATTGTTACTTATTTAACCCACATAGTCACTATATATGAGATTTTGGTGGCCATTTTGGAAAAAAGTGCCTCCGGGAAAAAGGTTCAGAATACAGCCTGTTTACCTCATATATTCGTCTTTCGAATAAAAAAAAACTGGTCTAGAAAAACCACATGAGAATTTCTACCTCTCCAGGTGGCCCCTCCCTGAATTATAACCCGGACTAAATAGGTTTAGCTTGTTTAGTCGGTATATTATTTGTTCTATTGTCTAAACATTTAAACCATCTTCAGCTACTCAAAATCAAAATAACTAGGTCTTCAATATATAAAGATACTGATATTGTATGAAAACCCTAACCTAATTATGAACAATTTTCAACACTTTAATTGATCATTATAAACAAATGAAGTTGCTTAATCTCAAGTTGGCTCTTGTTTTTAAGGCATTTGGGGCAACAACCACAATACCACCCTTTAAAACATGGTTTTGATGAATGGTTCGGTGCTCCTAATTGTCATTTTGGTCCATATGATGACAAAAAGACACCTAATATACCTGTATACAGAGATGCTGACATGGTAGGAAGGTACTAGTAAACTTCTCTAATATATTTTATTTTACTTGAATTGAGTAGAAATAGATATTTGTTAATGAAATGTTACTTTAGATTTTCCATTGAAAAGTTTGTACAAATTTACAAATACTAACCAACAATGATGAAATTACTGTATCACTAATGATTTAAATTACATTTTGTACAGTTAAATCAGTGATTCTCAACCGATGTGCCGTGGAACACAGGTGTGCAGCGAGATCTCCCTAAGTGTGCCGCAAAATTTTGAACGACACCCTAAAAAAATGCGAAAAACCATGTGATCCCAATTGACTATTCACTGGTGTGTACTGATGAGTTCATAGCTGTGTTTTTCTTTATTTAATTTGAGTCATTCTATGTGTCTATGACTAGTCTCTGTCTACGGTTGTATGCCGTTTGACTTGCCATGTTTTTATTTTGTAAACTTCAAATATTTTTTATATACTATTCAAAAAAAGTAGGGGATATATGATTTTTAAGTGTTATTAAAGTCACCTAATGAAACTGACGAAGAAACAAATGACAAAATGAAATGAAGTTCACATTCATCGATTTATTCCAAATGATCGTTAGACTAAGTAAGGCACAGACTGACCATTATAAGGGTAAAATGATACCCGGAGTCAAACAGCAAAGTTACCACAGCATCACAACCAAGTCAGTAACGGGTAAATCCTCCTCTGTTTGCCAAACAAGCATTGATCCGACGTGGCATACTCCTAATGAGACGTCTAAGGTCATTTTGGTCCAGATTGTCCCATTCCTGTTGCAACGCAGCAGCAAGTTCTTGGACATTGGCAGGACGTTGTTGACGTTGACGTAACCTCTGTCCAAGCATGTCCCAGACATGCTCGATGGGGGAGAGGTCGGGACTCAGTGCTGGCCAAGGTAATGTGGTGATGTTCTGTTGTTGGAGGTAACCTGTAACGATCCTGGCCCTGTGACATCTTGCGTTGTCATCCTGGAAGATGAAACGGCGGCCATGACGTCGTGCGAACGGCACAACATGGACTGCCAAGATGTTGTCCCGGTAGTACTGGCCTGTAACACGCCGTTCTTCCAGCAACAGTGATGCCTCCCCACACCATAACAGAACCACCCCCAAATCGATCATGTCTGATGACGTTAACGTCTTGGAAGCGCTCGTTTCGACGACGCCACACCCTCCTACGTCTGTCCAAAAAATCAACAGTGAACCTTGACTCATCTGAAAACATCACATTGCTCCAGCGTCGATTATCCCAGTGTTGACGATCCCTACACCAACGACGTCTTGCCTGAATGTGATGATCTCTCAAACAAGGGATCACGCGAGGACGTAGGGCGCGAAGGTGACCCCTATGCAGTCGATTCCGAATCGTCTGGCCACTCACTCTCACACCAGTGTCTGTTTGAAGACGAGCGCTGATCTGATTTGCTGTGATGACACGATTTCTCAAGGCCAAGGTACGGATAAATCGATCCTGGGCTTGAGTTGTCGCCCTTGGTCGACCTGAGCGTGGTCTGTCCTGTACAGATTGTGTATCACGGTATCTGGACCATAGCCTGCTTATGACAGACTGAGAAACATTCATCGTCCGCGCCACAACCGCCTGTGTTGTGCCGATCTGTAGCATGCCAAGGGCACGTAACCTTTCATTTTGGGTAAGCCGACGCATATCAAAATTTGTTTTTTGGTCACTAAAACAATTAAACTGATGTTTCCACCCTGGAATTCAATGCCACAATGACTGTAACATTCAAAGTCAGAGTCGTGCAAATCTTGGGTTGGACCCCCATGATGATCCCAAGCATCACCTGCATTCCATGCGGTAGCTATTGGTGCGTTTGGGCGTCACATGTAACTGGAAATGTTTCTTCTGTTAGGTTCTATAGTGACTTTTTTCGTAGTCATTTGCATATTTTAGTATTATGCCCCCAAAATCAAATATCCCCTACTTTTTTTGAATAGTATATATATTTAGCAAGGTGTGACGCTATTTTTTTCATGTGTTCCAAGGTGTGCCATTATCAAAAAAAAGGTTGAGAACCACTGAGTTAAATACTGAATAATGAATAATAAGATAATTTCTGTACGATACCCGTGATAAGTGTGTTGATTTGTCTATATTTTGTAGATATTATGAAGATTTTATGATAACATCTGATGGAGAATCTAATTTAACACAAATTTATATACAGGTAACTGTTGACATGATATGCCATTCCTCTATATGTATATATATATAGAGAAAAATTATTTGCTTGTTAGTTCATTATTATATCAATAGTAAACCAAACATCAAACTTATAAAATAATTTAATGGTGATATTTATGTTATATTTGGTGTACTATTTAATTATGAAATTGACAATTAATGATTATAGCTATGTTATGTATGCTAGAAAGATATTCACTCCTGTAACACCTGCTAACTAGGCTAGTACATGTATCTATTATAACAAATAAAGTTTGTTTGATTTTTTGTCATAGGAAACCAAACAGTTGAATTTATTAATTTTAAAATATCCTATAGTAACCAGTTTCTTGCAAGTTATTTTTTTTTGAGTGGTTTAATATCTTTTGTTGTTCATTGGTTAGTGGTTGAAAATTTATGGCTAGTTATATTGCATGTATCTGTTGACTGTTACAGATTTGGTGTCTCCGGTCTTCAAATGTTGTTGATTATGATCTCACTGAAGTTTATTTTTGTAGCAGTATTTATATATTACTTTAGCTACAAGAAATGACAGGTGTCATGCAAGAATAAGGCCTTGACAGAGCATACATACCAGGGCTTGCCACGAGACGCCAGTGATTACTCGTGTGCACACAAAACGCATACAGACTTGTTTTTGCGTGAGTAGATAGTCGCTCGCGCACATCGTTCAAAGGATAGTTGTTAACGTACCAAACTCTTTTCATCAATATTTATCATTTTTACAAATCAATTGATTTTTGGCTAAATTGCAATGCGTTCATTATAATTTGTTGATTAAGAAGTCAAACATCTTACTTATTGACTACAATAACAGTCATATCATCTGGTTCATAATCCGAGTAATTAGCACATTTAACAGTGATTTTGATAATTCGGTAAAAAAACAAAACAAGTAATCTGATTATTCATAAATGGTCCAGTAAGTTGCCTTTTTTTTAAAAATAAGCCACGTGGCGAATGAAGGCGTTCTCGGCATTGTGAATCTCGGGATTGGCGCCATCCTTGACGCTCGATCCGTATGAATTCCAGGTAACAATTGGATCATACATTTAATGAATACACTGACCAGTTGTTAGTTAATTTTAAATCTTCATTGAATATAATCCACTGATAGAACACCAAAACACAGAGAAACAGTAATTAATAATATATTTTTTCCAACAGAATCTCCAATGCCGAATCCCTAACACACGTGACATGCATCGGTTGGAATTAGGTCAATAAATCAAGCGATGCTAGATTTAGTTTTAAATAACATTCACCATAATGATTATTCATTTTATAAACATGCTGACAGGTTTAATTTTAAATATTGTTGTTATTATTGAAAGCTATGTCATAGTGGTGTGGTACGGAATTTTATTTTGTAAAACAATTTCAATTATGGTTGTCACGTGGTCATTGTGCCTTTTGTCTATCATCTACGAATGAATAAAAACTTTGCAAGTTACGTGATAGAAAAAAACAAAAATTTGTGTCAAATATGAAGAAATACCATGGTGCTGTGTCTGCTTATTTTGATAAAAAAAATCCTTATTAAGATCGACTGATGAACTACTATTATTATTACGAACATTTCGCTTTATCCATAGAATAAACAAAGACAGTAATTTATTCGTGAATAAGCTGGTACGTGAAATAGATATGGAAAATTTCCGGAAAGGTGTACAATGTACCTAAAAAATTCAGAAGGATGTACAGCGTACCTTATTCTTTGTGGTAATCACATATATTAGCCTATTCAGAATATGGCATGCTCCATAACAAATTACCAAGAATTATTTTTGTTGAAGTATGGTTATTTTAAAGGGAATGGGACCTTATACTTATCCTATTTCCTACGGGGAGGTCATTTGTCTCAATTCTGGCAGGTTCATTTCAAAATGGATTAAGAACCCTGATTCTTCACTCATTCAGTTTGTTACTGATAAAACAACTATTTTATTCCACATATGATTTTTTTGTCTTTATTGGTATGCAGCCTATTGCTCACATAAAAGCGAATTTGCGTGAGTAAATTTGAACACTCGCCATACTTGTGCAAAGTTAATTTTGCTCGAGTGTTTGATTGCTTGCCATCATTTTCTTTGTGGCAAGCCCTGCATACTTTTTTTAGAACACCCATTCTACTTTTTACTCCTTCTAGAACACCCAATTCAACTTTTATTCATTCGGAAAATATTAACAAAGTCATCCTGTTTTCTAGGAGGCACTAACATTTATTCAAAAAGAAGCTGCTAGTAAGCAACCATTTTTACTGTACTGGGCAGTTGATGCTACACATGGTCCTGTATATGCCTCCCCAGCCTTTATGGGAACCAGTAACCGAGGAAGGTATGTGTGACAATTAAATCAGCTATTTTAACATCTTTTTTTTTTTTGCTATGGCATATTATATTGCACACACTTAGTTCATTGTTCTTTGTACTTGTAGTTATAATTTTATTTTAGTGATTAAATAAGGTGGAGGGAGGGGACAACAGGATTATGTATTTTTTTGTCTTTGTGTTGCAAATCTTTACAATTTGAAAACCCATCTGGATGTCTAAGGTCCTGAAAAGATATCCTCAATTGAAGGCAGTTGTCTAAGTTTTATATTTCAATACTAGGTTTTACAAGCATCATTATTTGTATGAATCAAAAGAAGAAAGACATAAATACAGAGGAAGAAATAGGAAAAGTTAAACTCCCAATTATATTGTACTAATTTGTACGATCCTTTGCAGGTTGCCTATCAAAAAGGTTTGTTGTCTCTACATGTGTCCTTTGTGATCCAAGAAACTATTAACCATTTCCACGAACGCTCAACTGATATCTCTATGTCATTTTTGGACAGCACCAAAGCTTTTGGTTCCGTGTGGCATGACGGACTGCTTTTTAAACGTTATGACGCCCCCCTCCCCCCTCTGGAATCTTATTGACTCGATGTATAGGAGTACGACTAGTAGCGTCAGATCCGATGGAGCTTACTCCCGTGAGTTTGTCCTACAGCGTGGAATGCGACAGGGCGGTGTGTTATAAGCAAAGTTCTACCTCCTCTATATCAACCAGCTTCTTGACGATGTATCTAGTTCTTCGAAAGGAGCATTTGTTTTGGACATAAATTGTAGCTGTCCAACACAAGCTGATGATATCACCATAGTTAGTCCGAGTGAGAAGGGCTTACAAGACCTAGTGAATAAGTGTCAGACTTACAGTTCAAAATGGCGTTTCAAGTTGTGGACCAGTAAAAGTGTTCTCCTTAAGTTCCAATGTAAACCGAACAGAATTGTAACTAAAACGTGTGTGTCACTTTTTGACTCATATCTACCAGTCAACGAATCTGTTAAACATGTCGGTGTTATCTTAAATTCCAGCAGAAATAACAAAGACCGAACTGCAGAAGCCTGTAGAATTATTCCATCTCATTTGGCTGTAATACAGCACTCGGTTGTTTAATAGTTGTGTATATCCCAAAGCCCTGTACGGCTGTCAGCTTTGGTTTAACCTTCCAGAATCCGATATTGTGTCACTAGAACGCTCCCAAAGATATGTCTGTAAACGCATCCAAAATCTTCATAATAGAACACGAACTGATATTTGTCTTAGTCTACTCGCCTGGTTCTCCATTGAGTCATATATCGACCGCCAGAAGTTGCTATTCTTTGGTCAATTGCTAAATCTTGATCTTAGAAACTTACCGTGTCACCTTGCCATCACCAGAATCCTTGAATACGAGTTCTCCTGCAATTCCATTAATATAGGATTTATTCCTGATATATTCTGTATACTCAAGAAATATAACTTACTACCATATATCAGTAACTTCCTAGATTCGTATGTGTTTGTCAAAAATCGTATTTGGAAAACAGTCGTTAAAAATGCTATTAAACAATTCGAAATAGATCAGTGGAATATTCGCTTAAAGTCTGATCCAACGTTCGACTTATTCCGATGTGTCCAAATATAATTCTCCCCCCATCAGATATTTTCATTCTGGCGTTCCCATCCCCAATATAAAGAATGTTGCCTTATATTCATAAAAGCCCTTTCTATTGTCCGGATAAGCTGTTATAATCGCCAGGTACTGTGTGAAAAATGTGGTCAGGTGTTTTCTTGTATTGTCATTCACGCATTAATGTTCTGCAACTGGTTTGAAAACATAAGAAAGATATTCTTTTTAAAATTAGAATCACTGTTACCCCCAAATGATCTGTTCAATCTCATACATGCAAATGAACAAGAATTTTTGTCTTTCATATTCAGTCTTCATCCGTACAAAACAATACTTAAACATGCATTATGCAAGAGCTAAATCTGCCTATTTCAGGTCTTTCTTTAGGCCTGAAATGTTATCTAAATTATTAATTAGACATTAATTAACCTATCCAGGCCATAATCAACTCTAGATGGCAGCGCTAGCCTGCGATCTTTAGTGGATTGTAAGCCATTTACTGCATAACTTTCCTTCTCTATTAAACGATTAAATGGATAATCGAGACTATGCTGTTTATCGTACTGACTTTAGTAATGATGACCGAGGCTTATGGGAATTTCAGTCGCTTAGTTCTTGGTTCATAGTGGATCAATTTGAATGAAATTTTCACCAAATTGCTTTTACATTATCTAGTTTTTAACTATTATAGTGAGAACTGCCAACTCGTTACCGAATCTCCCATAATGTATCTTTAAATCAGACGCATATCTTCTTGTTCAGAAAAGTATTTTACACTTTATATTTGGTGCTTTACGGAAGGTTAGATTGTCTCCTTAAAATAATGACCAGTATTTTTTGTGATGCAAATTAATAATCTGAATACATTATTAAACCATGTTTAACTTATTTTTGTTTAATTGCAATTGTATCTAGAATCTTTTATATTTATAATCGTATGTATGTATCTATTATTTATTATGTAATTATTTTTGAAAATCTTCAGAATTGGAGGAAATAAAGATATATATTTATCAAACAATTGATCAAATAATATTTATCATCAGATATGGAGATGCTGTACGAGAGCTAGATTTTGGAGCTGGTGCAATCTTAAAACAATTGAAAACTCTGGGAATCGACAACAATACATTGGTTATTTTCTCTTCGGACAATGGTGCCGCTACTTATGCTAAAACAGGAGGTTATAATTTACTTTGTGTATTAGACTGTACTAAATGTATCTTAATAGCTAATTATAGTCATCGGTTTATGAAAGAAATCTTGATGTAAATGAGCTTTGCATTAAAAATATCTAAGACAAGAGAGGAGTAAAGGAACATTGACAGAATTTTGTTTGTAATATTTAGGTTTCTGGGTTGTAGAAATCCTGCAAATGCCGTGGTAATATGATGATTTATTTAAGGTGTTTGCTTGATAAATCCTGTATTTCTTATTCATCAAAATGTGTCTTATAATGTCATGTGGATGTTGCAGGTGGAAGTAATGGTCCATTCCTTTGTGGAAAAGAGACAACATTTGAAGGTGGGATGAGAGAACCAACAATAGCATGGTGGCCAGGAAAAATTGGAGCAGGACAGGTAAGATGACAATTCAACAAAAAATAAGCTGATACTGCCATCATCTACAGAAAGAAACAACCAGACAACTTACATCCAATAGAATGGTATCCTCAATTTGAGGCAAGACACCGAAATTTCAATTTTTTCAACCAAAAAAGATGACAGCAGCAAAAGATCCATTTAATATCTCTTACCAACATGGATTTTTGTATTCATGAGTTTGGGGGATCCCTTATTTTATGACCAACCTTGTTAGATTTTATGACCAACCTTATTTTATGACCAACCTTGTTAGATTGTTATTTAATACTTTACTGTTGAACACAGTTTTTATATGCCACCATTGGTTATGGTGTCATAACCACAACTTTTTGTGTATCAAATAATAAATATATTTTTTTGAGGATACAGTGTATCCTCAAGAAAATATATTTATTATTTGTATCCTCAAGAAAATATATTTATTATTTGATAATAAATATATTTTTTTGAGAAAAATATTTATTATTTGTATCCTCAAGAAAATATATTTATTATTTGATTTTCTTGAATTTATGGATTATTGAATGCTTTGTAAAATCTTGTGAGCATTCTAGTGGTAAGATTTATTATGTGATCTTTTTAATGCATTAGGTTGGCGAGATGAAGACGCCTATAAAATTTCAACAATTCCTAATAATTACTTGATAGAATCTTGAGAAAACTATATGAAACTATCGTAGACCAGGAAGTGTGGTGAAATGTTAGATTTTAAGACCAGAACTTAGTCTGTTCTCTTATTTGATATGTTAGTTTTAAGTAAACTTAGCTGGAAGTTATTTCTATGAATCTTTTTCATAGGTATCACATCAGTTGGGCTCTTTAATGGATTTATTTACTACAATATTAGAATTAGCAGGTATACAGAGCCCTACGGATCGTATAATAGATGGCATCAGTTTAACTAATACACTCTTTAATAACCAAGAAACAGACAGGTGGGTTACAAAATTATTCATAACCTACTAGATTCTAATGATACACATTATATAAACATGTATATTAAACGATTACTGTAATAAATACGCAATACAGGGATAAGGTCATTAGAAGTCACTGTCAGTTTCAGGAAATGGAGTCATAAGCTCCCATTTCCTTTAATAGACTTCAACCACAAATATTTCTTATGTTATATAGCATATCAAATTCTGAATGGTGTTTATAAGTACACCAGGTTATAGCAGTACTCATTATATTTTACACACAGTAAACATAGAACCTGTACTCAGTGTGCACCAGTTTAACAACGTTTTATAGCAGTTTCATCCCGTTGTTCCACAAAACCACTTCCAATAGTATTGACATCTATACTAACGGCTGTTAAAGAGGGTATTCAAAAATACTGTGACAAAATATACTCTCGTAGCGGTATAAATCAAATGTGGATATTGAAAAATTCCCCATAGTAAATTAAAAGCCTGGTTGAAAGACATTATTCACAGTGTCTTTTCATCTAAATCAGGTACTGCTAGATATCAATATTTAGTTGTAAATTACAATTCCACATATTTCGTTAAGAATCACAGTGATTCCAAAAACAAATTCACGGCCATCAAGATAATTCCGATGTTGGATTTTTTAATTGATAACATCTTTGTTGAATTTGGAGGGGAAATATATCAGCAAGTGGTTGGCATCCCCATGGGCACCAACTGTGCACCTTTGCTTGCTGATCTGTTTCTCTATTCGTACGAAGCCGATTACATACAGACGCTCGTAAAAACTAATAAACGATCAGTCAGACTTTTTACTTTCACTTATCGATATATCGATGTCGTTTTATCACTTAATAATCCTAAATTTAGTGATTATGTAGAATTCATATATCCTGATGAGCTCGAAATTAAAAACACCACTGACAGTGACAATTACGCTTCCTACTTGGGTCTGCGTCTCGATTTTGACAATTGCCATAAACTGAGTGTTAAATTGTACGATAAACGTGATGACTTTGACTTTCCGATTGTTAACTTTCCATTTATTAGTAGTAACATTCCAATATCACCAGCTTATGAAGTGTTTGTGTCTCAGCTAATTCGTTACGCGAGAGCTTGTTCCTTTTATTCTGATTTTTTAAGTAGATCGAGGCATTTGTCATCTAAGCTTCAACTACAAGGATACTTGCGCACTAAACTTATTAAAACCTTCAAAAAGTTTTATTGATTTGATTGGTAAATATAATGTGTCTCTCTCGGCTATTATTCTAGATATATTTAATTGACACGTATACTATTACTATCTCCCTGATAATGTCTACTACATCGTTAACACACTTCATCGCGTGCATTTTGCATACCGATAGTTCATTGGCCAATCACGCTATTTTACCGACATTTCGCCTAATAGTTTGGATGCAGCTATGGCGGGTGTGGCGCCAGGCAGGGTAAGCTTACTCTTCCGGACACCTGTTACCACTGTTTGTCGTGTATTTTGTACACGAGGAGCAGTCCATTTGCTGATTACACTATTTTGCATGAATACACTATTTTGCCTAGAACGTTTTTTAGGACTTCGAATTCTGTCTTATGGTTTGGATTGTTCGTACTTGGTTTTATTTTATTAAATACTAGACATAAAAAAACCATGTATGGACACTAAACTCATCATACACTCGATTACTGTAATACAGAAGAACTTGTACATATATTTTTACTGGATGCCATGTATAGTTCTGTAACCTAGCACCTATGATCTTAGTTATTAAAGAAATTAAAAGATTAAAAAGTGTTTAGCACCTGTAATGTATATTTAATGTGTATTGATAAGTCAGTAGTTACTCCCTCATAGCACACTGTATGGCATAGCGCATGCACGCTATATGATAAGGTCTGTCATTGGGTCAACTGACGCGGTTTCGATTCCCCTGCTGTACGTGACACGGAGTGGAGTCGCCTGTCCAACCCTCGTGGGTGTTCTACAGGTCCTCCTGTTTCTTCCCACTGCTAAAGACCCGTATGCGCAAGCTAATTACTGATATAAAATTGAACCATATGTTAGTCCTGAAATGACCAAGTTTGTGTCGAGTGGACGTTAAACCCAATTTATATCTCTCTGTAATGAGTGTGTATTTATTACAGGCTGTAATGTATATTCAATGTGTACTGATCAATCAGTATTGAACACCTGTATAGATAATATGTATTGATAAATCACTTGCAATGAGTGTGTATTGATTTTTTACCTACCTGTAAAAAGTGTGTATAGCTAAATCAGTAGAATAACAGCAGCGCAAAGTCTGTACATGGAGTGGACCAGACAATTGATGAAAGCCATTGGCACCTGGAACCACACTCTCAGAAAAGCCTGGCGCAATCCATCGGCTGAGTTTGGTCTCTGTATGACGTTATTAAGTCTCTGAATTTCATCCCAAAGATGTTCAAGTCCGGACTAAGGGCTGGCCAGTGCATAACGTTGACACCGTTCTGCTGTAGAAAGTCCCAAGTAAGTCTGGTGGTGTGGGCACGGGCGTTGTCATGCTGGAAAACGTTATTTCGATGACGTGCGAAATGTGGCATGACATGGGGTCCGAGAGCTTGATCGATGTAGCGCACTGCTGTGATGCCGCCACCTCTCCCTGGACCAAGAGTTTGGAACACCACAGGACCCACTCTCTGGTTCAGGCCGATTCCACCTCAAACCATTATGCTTGGACCTCCCCACTGGTCTATCGTTTCATAACACATTGGTCAGAAGAACGCTGGCCACGTCGACACCATATTCTGGTCCTGCCATCTGCAGTTGATACGGAATACCGACTCCCATCTGTGAACAGAACAGTTCTCCTTTGCCTGTGTCACCAGTTCTGGTGTTGTTGGGCAAACTGTAGACGTTCATGTCGATGGCGAGGGGTGAGGATCGACACGCGGTAAGGTCTACGGCAATGGATGTTTTCTCTGGTGAGACGTCAGCACACTGTATCGGTACTGATGGGTCTTCCGTGTGTTTCTGCTGTCTGACGTGCTGTGTCAGATGCCTGTGTGAAGGGATTCTGCAAGTGCTGTCACACATTTTGGCGGTCTTGTCGCCTTGTGGTAACCCTTGGTCTACCAGTTCGGGGGCGATCATCCGTGGTATGTTGGTGCCGAAAGCGTTGCTGAAGCCTGTAGATGGTCCGAACATTGATCTGGAAGTGATTGGCAACGGCTTGGGCAGTGTGGGCAGCGTCGAGTCTTCCAATAGCCTGGTTCCTCTGAGCTGTCATGAGTCGTGGCATGCTGCTGATGTTGTAGTGAGAATGATTCAACCAGGTATGGGGGTGCATTTTATAGGGCTGGTCCTGGTGAACAGCACGTGCAGCATGAGTTACATAAAAATCATGGAGAATACATTACCATCTCAGAAGTCAGGTTGCGTTTTTGAGAACATTTCCTTGGTTCAATTCTGTGTTTGGGAAGGAGCCTTATTGCATCTATTCAGTGTGACATACCAACCTGACGTTTCTTTTGCTGCTTAGTATATATTGATAATTCAGTAGTTCACACAGATAATATGTAGGCCTATTCACATAATCACATATTTTTTATTATGGGGAATGAGTGTATAGAATATATAACCACAGACTTTTTTATTTGTTCATGTGCCTTGGTCTTTGAATATATAATTACTGTTACACAACGATTTTACTTGGTATTTCAATTAGTTTTAAACTTGTTCTTTCAGAGAAATATTTTACTATAGAGGTGATGAATTGATGGCAGTAAGACAAGGTTTATATAAAGCTCACTTGTGGACATGGACCAATTCTATAGAAGAATTTAATAAGGTAAGTACTAAATCACAGCAACTCAACAAGTGAACATTGCCAAACTTAATTTATTCTTATGTTGTCACAAATTTTTATCAAATGTTTGTATTTTGATAAGGGTGAATTTAAAATCTAAATATCAAATCAGTGATAATATGAGACTGAGAGAGAGAGATGTCCACTCGACACAAACTAGGTCATTTTGGGACTAACATATGGTTCAATTTTATTTCAATAATTCACTTGCACATAGGGAGGAAACTGGAGGACCCGGAGAAAACCCACGAGGTTCGAAGGCAACCCTACTCCTTGTCACGTACAACTGGGGGAATCGAAACTACACCAGTTGACTCAATGACAGACCTTATGATGCAGCGCACACGTGCAAACCAATCAGACCCCCACCCCCGTGTAATATGCACAAAGAACAATGTTTAATAATAATTTCTTTTAACAGGGTACAGATTTTTGTCCTGGTCAAGAAATAGCAAATGTTACAACACATGACCAAGTCAACAATACCATGCAACCGTTATTATTCCATCTTGGAACAGACCCAGGAGAAAAATATTTAATCCAGTAAGTTGTATCTATAGCCATATTCTATAAGTGTTTTCATTGCTTCTTTGAGTGGCATTTAATAATTGAACAGTAACACACTAACACTATTTATGGAATAACAATTACTGATTTATTAACATGCAACATTTCGATGATGATACTCTCGTCTTTATCAAGCAATGATAACCTATATGTAAAACATCATGTATTTATATGGGGTTATTTCTGATACAATCTGTAATTGACAATTGGTGCAGGGGGATGGGCATTGATACAGACACATAAAGCTAAATGGCTTTGCATTGAATGGTATAATCAAATATCAGAAGACAAAACAATCCAAACAAAGCTGCATTGAATTTTCAATGTTCTTAATCAGATTGCATGCTTTATTGAATATTTAATTAACCACAGAGATAGCATATTAATGATCATTTTTAGATGAAAATGAGCAACTTCCAGGAGGCAATACCCTTTTCTGACTCCAGGACAATGTGGATACTGGTGGGCATGTTGTTGTTACCAATATTAGAGGCATTATTGTATTAGAATGAATCCATTACAAATTACTGTAATTGTTGAAATCCTTAAAGTTATAATGAATTGGGTAAATATTTGAGTTAACATACTGATGATGTTTTTTCAGTCCTATGTCACATGAATACAGAAAAACAATTCCCGGAATACAGGCAGCCATCATGAAACATAAACAAACATTAGTACGCGGTACACCCCAGTTAAATTATTGTGATTCGTCTTTAATGGTAAGTATCTATATAACTGCAGGGTAGTCTAATAATGTAAGACACTTTTCATTTATCTCTTCATAATATTCATTTGCAATCGGATTGTAATCATACATCATTTAGATCATGACATCATGGATTTTGATATTTTGCTTCATGATACCAAAAAAGATAATATTGTGAGTTTCCATGGTAGAAAGTCACTTTCCATGAAAGATAATCTATCAACTTTGAATTTTATACGGCCACAATTGCTGCCAGAGTTATGGCCCTTGATCACTTTGAAAAATTTTGTGGACGCTCTAGAGGCTAAAGTTAATATCCGATTGACTTTAAATTTATACACAGTGTTTAAGGTCATGAAATGAAGAAGCCTATTGATTTTCAACGATATCCAATAATTACTGCCCGAGTTATAGCCCTTGATCACATTGAAATATCTTGTGGACGCTCTAGAGGCTAAAGTTAATATCGGATTGACTTTAAATTTATACACAGTGCTTAAAGGTTGTGGGACAAAGAAGCCCAGTGATTTTCAATGATTTTCGATAATTACTACCAGAGTAATGGCCCTTGATCACTTTGAAAAATCTTGTGGATGCTCTAGAGACCTAAGTTATCATCCGATTGACTTTAGATTGATATACAGAGTTTAAGGTCTTGAGACGAACAAGTATATTGATTTTCAATGAATTTTGATAACTTGAACAGCTAAATCCATGATATTACATGTTTCATATACTAAACATAAGCATGTGGCAGAACTAAAAGCTAAACAAATTCTAATGATTTTCTGATAATTACTTAATGAGTTGTTACTCTTAATCAGATTTTACTCTATTATAAATGTTTTATTACCAACAATAGAAAAAATATGCGACAACTCTTGTTGACTGCTCAGACGACTTAGCTGCTGTGGGCTACCTATCTTTATATGTCTTAACCAAGAAAAGTGCTTACATGCTCTTCTCCTTTGAAACTCTCATAATTACAAGTTTGCCTATTTATCTTAAGCTATTGTCTATTTGCTTAACAGAAAACACAAGGAGTTATAATGAAGTGAAATGAAATGAGGTTTAACGTCCTACTGTTCTGCTCCGAACTGGGCTAATGAAGACGGGCATAAACCATACAGTGTGCTATGAGGGAAATTTTGCCCGGACAGCGACACTACGCCCTACTCTTATATCGACTTCCAACTGCCAAGGAATCTTTTACGTGCATGCCAATGTGTACACGTGACCTCGGTTTTCCGTCCCATCGGAATGACTAGACAGCTGTCCTTGTTAGGCCCTCCGTCCTGCATCACTGACAAGGGGGAACAATGCCGGAAAATCTGGATGAACTTTCTCAGGCGATGCAGGGATCAAACACTCGACCTCCAGGCTAGCGAGCCAGCATCTTACCCACTTAGCCACCGTTGCCCCCCAATGAGTTATAAAACCAACACATACCTTGGTTGTGTATTGTGTATTGTAAGAAGTTCATTTTATAGATATTATAGTTTGTGTATTTGAACTGGTGTGATAGACTAGAAGTGTGAGTTATATCAGACAATTTGGTCACCTGTGAGAGTAGGGAGGATGCGACATAAACAACATTCACTTTTACAGTGGATTCTGTGACATCCGATGTCTGATCACTCCGGATTGCTGTGACATCCGACAGGATTTTCAATTTATTTCCTTATTACTTCAGCCAAAAAATCGCTGATAAATCCGGATTCTGTATGTTCCGAATTCCGACATCAATCAGCCGTCCCGTCACATAATTTCCATTGAATCGACACCGTATAATCCGTACTTCAAACGGTGGGTGTGAAGCATCCAATTATCGGTGAGATTAAAACTCAATGGGTGTGAAGCCAGAAAAGATTAACAAGCAATCACCAATCAATTATCGGTGAGATTAAAACTCGCAAGCGCTGGTCTGTGTTGATTACTTTGATAATGTTATAAATTCTTTGTTGATTATTTTACAATTTATAATCTCTTGTAAGAGTGCGCTTGGTATTTGATTTTAGTTACTCATGTCAAATACCGCAACATTATATAAAAATTGCCGTGATTGAAGAATCATTATACATTATTGTATTCAAAATGTCTGAACATCCTGCAAAGTGTGCCAGAACAGACTTGACATTAGATGTAAAGCGGCAACTTATACCAGATTTCGAGAAAGTTCCACGACCTGCATGCGCAGAAGGAATTAGCCGTTAAGTATTCAATTGGCCGAGCTACAGTGTCAGACATATTAAAGCGTAAAGATGAATTTAAACAGAAGTTTGCCGATATTGTTAATTATTTAATGTAATAAAATTTTGAAAGTACAGAAAGATTTATCATTGTTAAATGGAATAGCATTCTGGTGATTCGAAGCTACAATATAAAAATACTTCCGGTTTTGGAAGTAACAGTATTTCCGGTTTTGGAGAAAGCTTGGTATTCTGACACGCTGTGTGATCCGAAATATTGTAACGATCCCGCACGATGTCGGATGTGACACAGTCCACTGTATATTTAGATATTTGTTAGCAAGAGAGAGAGAGAAATGGGGTTGAATTTTATTTTATTAATAAGCTTGCATATAGGGGTCTTTATCAGTGGGAGCAAACCGGAGGACCGGAGAAAACCCACAAGGTTGGACAGGCGACCTTACTCCTTGTCACGTAGAACCGGGGAATGGATATTTGTTAGCAGATTGTGTTACACCTGACTAGTTTTCAGAATATACATGTAGTATATTAATGTCTTTAAATTTTCCATGTTTTTTTTCAGAATTGGGCCCCAACGGGATGTGAAAAACTAGGTAGATGCTTGAAAGCACCTCCATCTAATCGTGAACTTTGTGTTTGGGAGCACTAAAATAAGAAATACTATTGAATTATATTGTTTTAAAATATGGGAATTTGTAGTAACTTTTTTAATGGAACCACACATTTCTTCTCAAATTCATTTTTATATCCACTCTAAAATTGTTAAGATAGAGGAAGATATGCACTTATTGTTGAGCATGTTTCTTTCATGTCACATCTCTTATATTGAATTATTGACAAAAGTACTCATTCCATATAATGATTTTTATATTTGATATATGTCATCTTGATATTTGCATACTTACTGGTATATATTACATGTATTTATATTTTGAGATGTATGTCAAGTTCCAATGTCTTTTCTTTTGATATGAAAGAAGCTTTTGAACAGAATTAAGCTTAAAAAAAAAGTTAATTTACCGGTAGTAGTATTATATGTTTCTATTATGAAATGGTATGCTGCTGTATTCTTTTAAATGTCTGATGCATATCTTACCTGTTGAATTTATTGTTTTCGAAATTTTTCATTTGTATTTTATCTGTTCATTTTATATTTATGTTATTTAAGATACACATACTAGGTCCTATTTGTCTACACCATCATTTTGAAAAATATAGATCCTGGATATATTATACAACTAAAGTCTAATTGGTATATCTGAGGGCTTAGGGCACTTCCATGTGAAAGAGCTGGTTTTCTCAAAAATGCATATATGTGGGAATTTGACATTGTTTCAATTGATTTTATAATAAATTATATATTATATTTGCATAGTTTATAATCTACAAGGGATTTTAATCCTAGACAATGCAAGTTCAAACCTAAAGTGAAACAACTGCACCTCCCACCCCACCCCACATGCAATCATTGTCATAGCACCAAAAAAGGGCTATAATCTTCTCTATTCATGGACACCTTAAAAGGGCAAATTTAGATGTTTCCAGTTTTTTTTGTCATGACCCACTCTTCTCCTGATGGATTACAACTAAAATTGATAGATATATTTCCTTGGTGATGCTTATTCATATTTGTTCAATCTATGTTGCTATGACCCATGGGAGCAGAATAGGGGCAGCCTTTCAGGCATATTTTGTCATTACTCCCTTTTCCTGAACAGCTGGATGGACTTCAACCAAATTTAATAGGTATTGATATTATTATTATTATAATTTCATTTTGTGACTCTATTTATATGAGTTACTAAACAGATGAGTCTTCAGTTTAGATTTAAACTGAGATAGTTGGGTACACTCTCTGATGTTTCTGGGTAGTTCATTCCAAGGTTTGGCGCCCCTAATGGAAAATGAAAACTCGCCCACCTGGCGCTGAAAGCGTGGAACAGCTAGTAGGGTTTTGTCACGTCCTGAACGAAGATTAGATCAGCCAGTGGTGTAAACATTTCCACCATATAATTAGGAGCTGTTTTGGTTATTACTGATTTATAGGTGTTGACGAGAATTTTAAATTTTATTCTGGCTCTCACCGGTAGCAAGTGTAGCTGCTTCATATACAATGAGATATGATCATATTTTGAGGTTCCTGTGACAAGTCTTGCAGAGTTGTTTTGAGCTATTTGAAGTCTATCAAGAGCTGCTTCTGGTGCTCCAGATAAAAGTGAATTTGCATAGTCTAAGTGTGAAATGACCAAGGCGTTGATAACAGTTTTGAGAGCACCTGGATTCAGGTAGTTCCTAATTTTGGAGATAGACTTCATTTGGAAATGCATGCGGCTTATGATGTTGTTTATTTGTGGTACAGCAGACAGATGTTCATTCGTTAGATATCCAAGAATTTTAACTTTAGATTTTGGGAGGATATCACAGTTTCCAATCCGGATTGCATCAGCTTTTATTAAATTATGTGCTTGTGCCTTAGTTGATATTACCAGAAATTCTGATTTACCATCGTTTAATTTTTGTTTATTGTTCAACATCCATTTACGAATGTCCACAAGACAATTTTTCAGCTTCCTTAGGGATAATGTCATTGATACATATTGATTGATTGATACTTGGCAAGATTTGTTCAAATAAAGTTACTTGGTCACAAAGGGTTGGAGCAGGGCACTATGAAGAGACAAATTTAGATACTTTAGATTTTTTTCCCCTCAACCCATTAAATAGATTACAGCCAAAATTGATAGATATGTTGCCTGGAGGGTGCTTATTCAGATCTGGGCAAGAGCAGCTTCAAGGTGCATAATTTGACATTCCTTGCCTTATAACTTTTCAAACATTTCACAAAATTTTGTTCAGATCATAACTATGGTACCTTTTTATGTTGTTTTTGAAAATACTTGATTTAATCAAAGAAATGACAAGGATAAAACGTACCATTCATGTTCTCACTAAGCACAATTTTGGAACATTTTCTTAACCATTTGGCAATTGATCAGAGAATAACTGAAGAAATTAAAATTAACTCCACCCATTATCTACCAATCTGTCATTAACAACAAACGATAGTCCAGGAAAATGATATCTTTTTTAATCATAAATATTTGCACATTAATTCACAGACCTGATAATAAAACGTTAATAACCGTTATGTGAACAGAATCTTGAAGTAATGGGGGGCATTTACAAGACAATTTCATACGGATCAGATTATAATTTTCGTCGTTTGAGGGTTCAAAAACTGAAACAAGTGCCTAAACTCTGGAAGTAATTTACAGAAATTGTTGAAATTCAAATAATGCATATAAATTTCATACAGATCCAATAATAACTTTTGTTCATAGTGTTCAATAAAGTTAACTAGGGCCATTACTCTAGAAGTAATTAACGGAAATTGCTGAACTTCAACAGGCTCCTTTGTTTGACTAATTTAGATCATGAATATAAATTTCAAAGATATTTAATGGTAATTTTGTCATTTGAGAGTTCCCAAGGTTCAACGAAGTAAAACAAGGGCCATAACTCTAGAATTAACGGAAATTTCTGAAATTCAATAGGCTTCTTTGATTCCTTAATTCAAATGATGCATATAAATTCCATACTGATCGGATGACTTTTGTCATTCGAGCGTTCACATGGTTCAACAAAGTGAAACAAGGGCCATAACTCAAGAAGTAATTGACGGAAATTGCCCGACATTCGATAGTATTCTTCACTTCACTAATTTAAATGATGCATATAATTTTCATACAGATCTGATAACGTTGGTCGTAACAGCATTCACAAGCTTCGACAAAGTGTAACAAGGGCCATAACTCTAGACGTAATTAATGGAAACACGCCAATGGTGAGGCTGAAGTCACCCTTCGAAATCACGGAAGTGTCAAAAGGGTGTATCTCGGGGAAATTATTCAAATACACTTTTTTGCATATTTAAAATCTCCCACTTAATATGCACATTTCTGTCTAAGCTGTGTATCTTTACACCAATTAGAACTATTCTGGGCATCATGTATCTTGATTTGTGTAAATTTTGAAATGCAAAAGGTTCTATTTCTTAATCTTTAGAAATTCTTAGATACACCCTTTTGACACTTCACCGATGATATATAAATTAATTGCACATTCATCTATTTCAAAGTATCGAGTAATCAAACTAATTATCTATGCTTAGTCTTAAGCATAAAATGTTCACTATCAAACTAAGGTTTTGAAGTACCTGGTAGTGAGTGAAATTATACACTTAAGTTTTATCACTCTCCATCAGTTAGAACCAAAGTTATCTTGTCCCAAAGCATCGAGCAAAGAAATTGCTTAGCTTTGCTTAGCATTAATGGGAAATATTAGTCATTGAAATTCACCTAATGAACATCTATACCTCAAGTAAAAGCAGTTATGTTGCAAAGTCTTGACCAATCAAATTGCTTATCGTTATTTAGCCAAAGCAGAAAATTCTCATCATCGAACTTAGTCAATGTATTGATATAATGAATCTATACTCAGAGTTTCATAGTTCTCATCCAATTAGAACCAAAGTTATCATGTTCCAAAGTCTCAACCAATCAAATTGCTGATCTCTGCTTAGCCTTAGTGGAGGATGCGCATGAACGAACTATGTCAAGGCACGTACAGCAAGTTTGAACATTCTACCTCAATTAAAGGGAGAGTTATCGTCGTTTTGCTTACCCTGAGCCGAAAATGCTCTCATAATCAAACTTAGTCAAGGTATTGATGTGATGAAACTATAGCCTACATCAAGTTTCATCACTTTCACTTAATTAGAACCAAAGTTTATCGGGTCCCAAAGCATCAACCAATCAAATTGCTTATCTCTGCTTACCCTAAGCAGAAAATGCCCATCTTCGAACTCCATCAAGGCATTCACCTAATCAATGCTTACACCAAGTTTGAACATTCTACCTCAATTCGAAGGAGAGTTATTATGTTCCAAAGTCCAGACCAATCAAATTGCTTATCGCTGTGGTTACCCTGAGCAGATAATGCTCATTATTGAACTTAGTCAAGGTATTCATGTAATGAAACTATACACCAAGTTTCATCACTCTCACTTTATTAAAACTAAAGTTATTGTGTCCCAAAGCATCAACGAATCAAATTGCTTATCTCGGCTTACCCTCAGCAGAAAATGCTCATATCAAGGCATTGTGCCAATAAACACCTACACCAAGTTTGAACATTCTAGATCAATTAAAAGGAGAATTATTGTGTCCCAGTATTTCAATACAGTTACTCCTTAGGACAAGCCAAACAGTCCTAGCATGTTTGATAAAAAAAAACTCTCTAACTCACCTGTAGAGTACTTACAAAGTATCAATGACAATGTAGTAACTCTTTTTTAAAAAAAAATGCTGCATGACTCAATCTCAAAAAACTCTGATCGCCATTAGAAACAATCTATAAATTACATAGAACACAATTCATATATGCTTCCATCATATACAGCAATCCATGGACATTGATGTTAAACTTTTAAATATTAAATAATGGGGGTTTATAACTTGTTAGTTTACTTCACTTTCCTATTGGGTCATATTGACTCATATGTCAAATAACTACAATACTGATACATGCATAGATAAAGTATATAAAATAAATGACTAGTATGGTAACAAATATGATAAACAAAAAAATCTACAAGTACCTACCTAGAGAAATATGACTCAAGACCACTGTTCCTTTTAATATGGTATTTTATCATTGTCAATAAATATTAATTTTAATATAGGAATTTATGATACATATCATCTACATCTAATTTTAATGCCAAAACATGAAGACTTCATAGAATATTAAATTATTTTTAATCACCGTGTAGATGTATTTGATGTAGGTACGTTAATGTACATGTAGGTATAATTGTTTTAACTAAATAAATACATATAATATATAAATAAAATACAACATGCAATAAACCCTGAATATATTTTATTACATTAACACACAATAATAATATTGAGCAGAATGAGATTTCAGTGAATAAATACATATATACCGTACAAATAAATAATATAGACTCAACAATTTTAATAATAAATGGTGAGTAAACTTTTTGTTCTGTTCTTTGTAAATGCAAAATATTGTTTGCTTAAAAATATGAAATATGACTCGTTAGTGATTTGCTATCTTAGATCTGTCAGGACTATCTTGTCGGAACAATTTAATGCAAATACACATTCCATTATACATATAGAGGAATATGATATCTTGCACAAAGTTTATTTTTCCTCTAAAGCTCCTTTATCAAATATAAACACCATATTTTCTAAAAGCTATACTCATATATATATAACATAAAATTGAATAAAATAATAATATTTCAAATTTGAAAATGTATCACGAACTGCATCATGTCAAACTAAACATACAGCCTCTTATTGTAATAAGATTGTGAAGTTGACCATGAGTATGAGCAAATGATCTGTTAAGAACATTATTATTTTGTAATTGCCTGTTGCCATAGCTTTGTCACTTTAATATGCATAGTTAAAGTATTATCATTACTAATATTCAACTACAAATTATAAACTTCAAAATGATTTAATATTGGTTAAATACAGTAATAATACATAAACATAAAGCAAAGAATTAACGTTAAAACTTAAAACTGGCTTTCAATGATTATTTGTTGTACCCTTATTATGAAATGGTTGTACACAATGTCAGGCTGAAAATGAAATTGCTGTTACCTAGTACATTATCTAATCAAGTAAAAAAACAAGTAAATGTAGGCTATTAGCTAAAAGATAAATATATCAACAATTACATCACATATATGATATATAAGACAGATAACCATGCACTTATTTGAAATACATATATTTTCACACAATAGCTCAAAATACAAACAATATCTTTTGAGCAATTTATTAATCGTTAAAAATTTGATTTTATCATATATTTTATACCATGAGATTTGGTTGTGATAAGGTGTGATTTACTTTTCACATTTGTTCATTCTTTAAAACATGTCTTGCCAAAATGTATGAAATCAAAAACTTTGTACATAAATCTTTACACAAAATGGCTAAAAAAGGATTTAAAAATAAAATGGAACACTATTTTAATAAAACTCAAAATTCCCAATGATATGTCTAAATTAGAGGAAAAGTCCAATTATATTTCCATGAGTAAAAGTGGTTAATTCTGCGTGGAAGGCTTGTAGAACCCTTTATTAAAACCCAAGCAACTATCTGAAGCTCTAGCATCAGTTTTCAAAGAAATACAAACATTTTATAAAAAAATACCAAAGTTGTCAAAGAAATGCAGGTGTATTCACAGAAGTACTAATAAAATGTAAAGAAGTTAGTTTGAGTTCGGAAACGTACTGGTTGATTAGCAAACACCAGGTGTTTGGACAAATCTGCCTATATATAGCCCATACACTACAGATTATGCAGATTATTGTTGCCCTTTTGAAAATCACCTCTTGGCAAAGTTTATAAATGGTAATGAATAGTTGTGTTTACACTGCTTTTCCTTACTTTTACATGTACGTAAGATTTTTTTTTTCATTTTATCAAATTTTTGTAAAAGAGATTCTTTTCTTCATGTTGAGTTTTTTTAAATGCATAAAAATTTTGTTGAATATTTTAGAACAAAAATATCAACAGTTGCTTTGTTTTGTATTTTTTCAGTCTGTTAATTACATGTAGGCTAATGAAGAGAAAATGTGCTTTTTCTCATAGCTGCTGAAAGGAATGGATTTGGTTCTGGTTCTTCTTTCATCATAACAATCTTTTCCCATTCTTTTGTTTTACTTGATTTCTTAATTGCATCTATGACAGTTTGCGTGTAAAGAGAATCTTCAAAAGTTGCAGCTGCTACCAATGGCTCTGAACACCAACTTTGACGTACTTCTTCTTTTCCAAATGCAACTCGTACAGCCTCAACGCTTCTAATCATTCCTTTAAGATAAGGATTTGGTATCTCGCGTCTAACTTTTTGCGATATGCCCATTCTTTCTTCTTCAGAGTAATGAACAGGCTCAAACTGCAATAGATCTTCTTTGATTTTATCATGAGCTTGTCCATAAAGATCAGCCCCTTTAACTGTTAGTCGAGCCTTGCTGCCAACTATGATAATTTCTTGTATGAATGGTCCAGGCATATGTGAATTAAGTGTAACAGTTGCACACGCACCTTTTTCAAGTTCCATTTGAAAAGAACAAAAGTCATCACTAGTTATTTCGCGTATACCCTTAATTTTGTCTGTTTGTTTTTGATATGTTTTCAACATTCCATGAACTTTGGTTGCTTTCTGTGACGTCAGGTATGTTATTATGTCAATGATATTGCAACCTATAGTATTCAACATGCCACCTCCCATTAATTCATCACATGTCCAATCATAGCTATCTTTTGCACTGAAATGATAATGTACCTTGGCTTCACAAATCGTAATGTCCCCAACAAATCCATTCTGAATAAGGTTCTTCATTTTTGTTATTGTTGGTAAAAATCTAAGGCTATGACACATTAGTGACATAAGTCTTGGATAATATCTTGCTGCATTAACCATTCGCAGAACCTCAACTTGCCCTGGACCAGATGGGGTTCCACATAAGACGTGTTTTCCAATGTTTAATGCCTTGACAGCTATTGGAGACTGTAGGTGTGGGGAACAGCTAATAACAACAAAATCAACATCTTTATGCAGCAAAACTTCGTCGACTTTCTGCGTTGTAAATGGTATACCTAGTTCCTTTGCAAGGTCGTCGGCTTGCTCCTTGGTTCTCCCCCATAAAGCCACAACTTGAAAACCACTGGACTTTAAAATTGGTACCAAACATTTTATCGTTGTTGTGGTACCAAATACACCAACTCTTGGTAACATTCTTTTCATTGCGATAAAAGCTGCATTAAATATAATAAATACAACAAGTAGATCTAAGTCCGAATTTAGACGATATCAGCCAATAATGGTTTGGGAATAAAACTGGCATTTCGATTTTCATAAATAAAACTTGACAGGTGAATATAATTATAATAATAAAAAAAACAACTTCCTGTCAGCTTGTAAACTCACTTCCGATTGTGGTAAGCTAAAAGTTTGAGATTGAAAATATTTTATTTTATTTATTATGGATAATGATAGTCAAAATAAATAATTGATGCCAAAAGCATTTAAAGCTGTATGTGTAAGTAATATTACACTTATCTGTTTACTGAAACTCATCAGCGACAATCATTTTCGGATCTGTTCAGGCAAGGTCAAGGTCACCAGAACGAAACGCGAATGAATGGTAAAAATAATAAACTTTTTAAAATACAAAAACAACCAAACCATTAAATATTTATTCTCATTAAAAGGTTTATGACATCAAACTATTTTAAGGAAACCACTACGTAGAGCCCGGTAATTAGCTAGACAGATATTCTTATTTGGTAGGAGTACAACTAACAACTCATTAAAAATAAAATAGGCTAGGCCTAAAAAAAAAACACGTTTTGTGGTTGGGGGGTGGGGGTGTTGGATGGCCAAATGGTTAGCGCGTGTGCGTTGTATAAGGTTTGTCATTGACTTGAGACAACAGCTGTGGTTTTGATTCCTCGGTTGACGTGACAAGGAGTAGCGTCGGCTGTCCAACCCCATGGTTTTTCCTAAATTTCCTCCCACTGCTATTGCTAAAGACGGGCCTACGGCTACACGCAAGTGAATTATTGAAATAAAATTGAACCATACGGCATACGTTAATCCCGAAATTACCTAGTTTGTGTCGATTGGGCGTTAAACCCAATTTCTCTCTCTCTCTCTCTCTCACGTTTTAATGCCAATGACCTAATGTAAAAGTAGGCCTACAGTACAAGCCAGTCTTTTTAGAAGATCACAATTATTTATGAGAATCATATCCACTCAAGGAATAGTAATTATTTTAATCAGATGTTACTGTTTAATGATCCGAATCTTAAGAACCATTTAATTAAGAAAAATGATATTCACAGTTTGAATTGAATTAGATAAGAGATTTCATCTCTCAACCCTCTATGTTTTGACTATTTTGAGATTAGAGATGGTACTATACAGATCCACCTCGTAAACCCCAATGCTTATCACATCGAACTTCAAATAAGCAAAACTGACAATTTTTTTCTTCAAAACAATGATTGATTATTGTTATTTATTAGTTTTTTTTATATTTCTGCCACATCCAACTACAATAAAGCAATCCTACATGTACCTGACACCGGTACACATCATCTCTGTTAAATCGAACGCGATAGTAGCTGGCTAACCCACCATTTTAAATTTGACATCGTTACATCATGAAGGCAGGGCGTTGTGTACAACAGCCAATCAAAGTACTGACCTGATTCAAGTGGCGCAGGAATAATACACTATAATTATGAATGTCTGTATCAATTTTGATAAAAACAACACTTCATTTACTTTATTGACAATATTTGCAGATAAACGAAAGTTGTTTCACTACATTGGGCTGTGTATGTTTAATAAGTTCTGATAGTACAAGATTAATTTTATTTTTAAGATATTACATACATTAAAAACAAAATCAAGTTTGCCAGGTGAAGCTAAAGGCACACAATCATAGCTAAAAACAAGCACATCAGTATATCTCAACGTTTTTAGCTATGTTCTCATAGCTAAGTATGAATTTGATTCTAAATGATACCATAAGCCTTACAGGATATTCCAAACATTAGAATAAAGGGTAGATTTGGTATTACAGGCAGGAGGATATTAATACAACTATCACAAATATTAATCATAGAGGCAAAACAATGACCATGTATATCACTTTTCTGTATATGACATGCTTATAAGAATATTAAGATCGATTAGGCTACATATTTTCATATTTTCAGACTATACCGGTTTCTTACTTCTGTAAAGAGGGAAAAATTAGTTATAATTCTGACTGAAAAATAAACCAGCATACATCATTAACATGAATGAACCAAAGTATGATGAGAATGCAGATATGCCTTCTATCCCAGCAATTACTCCATCACAGAGTGATTTGATGAAACTGGCCACTCAAGAATTTGACAAGAAAAATTTTCCTGCAGCATTTAGCCTTATGGGAAAGCTTGCTGCTCAAAGAACAACTGATCCAAAGGTTCTTCATAATAAAGTTGTAGCAGAATTTTACCAAAGTGGATTGAAGAATAAAGATGATTTTAATAAAAACCTTCAGAGTGTGTGTAAACTTATACGATACGGGGTAATTTTCATGTTTTTGTCTTCTTAAATTAGGGGGGTTGGGTGGCTGAATGGTCTAAGATCATAAGACCTGTCATTGAGTCAAATGGCGTGTTTTTGATTCCCAGCTTGTACGTGAAAAGGAGTAGGGTCGTTTGTCCGAGTCCCGGTATTTCCTCCCGGTCCTCTGGTTTCCTCTCACACTTAAAGCCTCTGCGTGCAGGCTTAATTATTTGGATTTAAAATCCATACGATACAAACTTTCTTGTTGGGGCTAACATATTATTCAATTTGATTTCAATAATTTGATCGTGTGTATAGGTCTTTAGCAGTAGAAGGAAATCTGAGGACCCGGTGAAAACCCTACAAGGATGGACAGACGACCCTACTCCTTATCACGTACAAGCTTAGGATCAAAATCTGCCACTTGACTCAATGACAGACCTTACTTACATAATGATTTAAAGCACATACGTTGAACCACTTGACCTGTGAACACCCTGCTCCATAATAAAGAGGAACACTATTTGACTTGATGCCATTTATCTAGAAACCCTGCTCTTTTTGCAAATGGTTTAGTTCAATGAAATTTTCCTCATCAATAAGAAAACTCAAATTCAAAACAGAGGCGGTCAAAATGCATTACCAGTAGTGACCTTAATAGTCATGTACAGATCATATCAATACTTGTTTGTTTTGACCACTTATGGAGATTATGTTGTATTTAATTCGCTGAGAATAGATTTTCAAGTTACTAAACTGATTTCATTTTACAAATAACTTAGGTTCTGTATTTGTCAGATGGAATATTGGATGTGCATTCCCGGTAGATCTGATGACTTTTTGGCAACCAGAACATTTGATTTTATAGAGTATATTGTAGACCTTAATAAATTTTGATATTTTTTTCCAGCCCCGACGACTATCAAGTGAAACCGAGGCGTTAGAAGATGTTGATCAAACAGTTATATTTTATAATCAGTCTGTTCTATTGTATCATCACAGACAATATAAAGCAGCATTAGAAGTTTTGGAAAAGGTGGTTCCATCATTGGAACCATTAGGTAATTTAACATCTTTTTTGCTAGAAAGAAAGCCCATTTCTTGCTATTTCTTGACAATATTTCCATAATACATGAAATTTTTAGAATATCTTAAAATTAAAACATTATTTGTGAGATTGGACTTTGAAGCTAGATACTGTGGTTCAAGGGAGATAACTCTGTTTTAGTGAAACACTAAAATCTATGGTATTAAAAACTTAAAGATACATTATGGGAGATTAGATAAAGTGCTGGCAGTTATCATGTAATGTAAAGGGAATTTGCTGAAAATTTCAGTCAAATTGATCCACTCTGAACCAAGATATTAGCGATTGAATTTTCGGTCTAGCCTTGATCATCATTACTAAAGTCGGTACGATGCAAAACATAGTCTCGATTATCCATTTCATGATGAAATTATGAATGAAAGTCGAACAGGAAAACGGAATCTAATCCAATAAACATTGCAGGCTAGCGATGACGTCGAGAGATGATTATGGTCTGGATAAGTTAATGTCTAATTAATAATTTAGATAACATTTTAGGCTTAATGTATGTTTAACTGAGATGGGGTTTGGCATCCTACTTTTCTGAACCAACTGGGCTAATGAAGACAGAGCTGCTATTAAGTGAAATGAAATTAGGTTTAATGTCTTCTTTTCTGCCATCAGGCTAATGAAGACGGACATGCGCCCAAAGGGAAATTTTGCCCAGACAATGGTGTATCCACCTACTCTTCATCAAATTCCAACTTCCAAGGGTTCTTTTTTGTGGACGCCACCGTCCAAATGACCCCATTTTTTTTCATACCATTCCTAACAACTACATACTGTTCCTTGTCAGGCTCTCTATCCTGCTGGAAGATTCGGAGGAACTTTATCGACCAACACCGGGATCAAACCCGGGACCTTCTGGTTAGTGAGGTAACCCGTAACACAATGAGACACTGCTGCTATTAAAGATCCATTCTTCATAGTATAATGTGGAATGATGGTGCACATAACTGAGTGCACAAAAATCATTAATTTATAAAGAGTATCTGGATAAAATTTAATTATTGAATCCTGGAAAGCAGGGGACAATTAAATTGTGTTTGTCTGTCTATCCCCATATGTCAAGCGTTTTTGAAACAAAATAACATTGCTTTTAATTAGCGATACATGGGATAGCATATTAACTTGGTATAAGACTGGTTCCTATAGACATACAGTAGAATCTGTATGGGTAACCATTCCTGTTCAGCGACATCTCCTTGTAAGCAGTCACGATAAATTCCCCCCGTAAAAATTCTATTGTTTCATCTCTTTATTCAACGGTCACTCCTCTAACGCGGTCAGCGGTCACTATTTTACTAATAAATTTAACAAAACATCGCTGTTTCAACGGCCATTGTTGAATGATACCATCTTGTCGTACTTCGTAACACCCCCGCTAATCCCGTGAGTAGTAGTTAATTAACTGGACCCCCACTGATCAGGTAAAAAGAAATGTGAAAATAACAATAAACCCAGGATTATCTGTTAATCATCTAGTATCTCTTTTCCATTGCCACTTTGTTGTTAAACAGACGTTTTAGCGCCTCCTATAATATTGCATACAGAGTTACACCCCCTGTAAATCGGTGACAAAATCAGCGACGTTTTTTTTGTTCATGTGCTTTTTTGATAAAATAAAATTAATTCATCGATTTTCTTCACAAAAATGGATAAATATTATCGAATGCATCACAATGATAGAAAGTAGTATCGAAGGTTGGTACAAAAATGACAAGTTATGTCCGAGATTTGAGTAATGAATTTTCGTTCCAAGCAAGTTTCAGCGACGGCAAAATTTACCGATGCAAGTATTAGTATTTGCTCCTGATGCATCCAAGCGTAAAATGTACTTGATGTCAGCACAAAAAAACACAGAGATTTTATTAAGAGGCCACTCCCCTCCCGTTAAGCGGTCAGTCGTGAAAATTCCCTTGGGTGGCTGCTTAATGCAGATTCTACTGTACTTGCCATACTAGTTTTGCTTTCAAAGAAATGTTATTGTTAATGCAGATTCTACTGTACTTGCCATAATAATTTTGCTTTTAAAGAAATGTTATTGCATGGAAAATTCCTGCTGAACTTGCAGTTATGCGTTACAGTGACTAACTGAAATCTTATTGTTGCTTGGTTTGCCATATCCTTAAACTGTCCTGGATGGTCTTATTTTCAGGTCTTAAGGATGTTGAGCAGCTTAAAATGCACATTTTAAAGCTAGCACTGTAACTTTTATTGATAAGATATGACATTTTTTGTTATTTGAGATGATTAATTACATATTAATAACCCCAAAATTGGTGTTGAAAAGTTAGTCTGTATCTTCGACTACTCAACACCCTTAATATCTGAAAGGGGCACCCTGGCCAAAATCTGAAAAGGGCTGGAAAGTGTTATTTTCAATACGCTTAGTAATTTTTAAGGATTAAAACACAGTTAAAGATTGACCAACATAAAGCTGAAAAACTTGAAATTGATAGGGATTTATATAAACAAGCAATAATAAACTAATATTCTCATCTCTTCGTCAAAACGCAGTTAAATTTCCAATAGTTTTATCCAAAATAAGAAAAACCCACATCAAATCTATAAGCTTACTTCCAGTTTTTTAAAGAACCAAGACCAAACATTTCAAAATACAAGTAATATTAAGTTAACCGAAAAAAAAAATCATGGTCAAGTAGATAGAATTTGTTCTGAATTTCCTGAACCTAAATATTTTCTCCTGCTTCTAATACAAAATTGAAGGATTTAATAAGTAAATCTTCATCTTCTTCGTGTAACCTTGATCCAATGCCAACATGGTTACTTAAAGATACATTATGGGAGATTTTTATAAGGAGTTAGCCATTCTTGCTATAACAGTTCAAAAATAGATGATGAAAGAAGAATATATTGAAAATTTCAGTCAAATTACTTTATTCTGAACATAGTTATCACCAGTGTAATTTTTGAATAGAAATGGGATTGAATTCCATCTTTACTGATTCTTAGTATGGCCGATCGTTTGATTGAAAGGCGTTAACTCCACCTACATAATCTCTGCTGTCTTTTGTCATCATATCCGAATTTGTGTTTTACCTTTTTGGATTTTTATAACAATTGGACAAAATGAGTGAGTGAGTAAATTTTCATTCTTACTTGTATTTTGGGTATGCATTAAATCAATTGAATATAGGATATAATATTATAATACAATTATGATAAATCTATAGGTATACACCAGTGGCGTCGTGCCTATTGGGGAAATAAAAATATTTTTATTGATATTATTAAGACATAAGACCTGTCCATCTGTATTGGTCATCACACGGTCTCCAGGAATTGTATAATTTGTCATTATCTGTGTTTAGTTTATTGCACTTTAAATACTTTAGATGTCATTTGTTAAGGCATCGCTCAACAGCGGCCTCGCTTCATACACTCTATCATTTAGCCTCGATCCGGGAGTATGACGTCAATGTAACGGTTAATCTACGCTCACGACACCATTCAGTCAACGAAATCCTGTTTAAATCCAAGCTGAATCCAAGCCATCCATGGGTCTACAGAGTTGATTTTGTGCTTGTTGTGTCAATAAAGATCTAATTTATAATTTGTATGATATCTGAAGCCTAAATAAAGACTTGCAATAATCAGATTTAGCTCTTGCATAATGTATGTTTAAACATACATTATGCAAGAGCTAAGTGCTGCCTTTGATACGATCGATCATGATGTTCTATTAAACCGGTTGCAAACGTTTTTTGGCATTAATGAATAATGTTTAAAATGGATACGGTCTCATCTCATAGGCAGGTCACAATATGTAGTCATGGATAATGCAACATCATCTCCTAAAACCCTACGCTTTGGAATTCTGCAAGGGTCGGTTCTTGGCCCTCTTTGTTTACAGCCTATTCGTGATATCATCCGAAAACATGGAATTTACTTTACTCTGACGAGACACAACTATATCTTGCTATGAAACCAACAAGAGACTCAACTGAAATCTGTAAACTTGAGGCTAGTATAGATGACTTTAAACACTGGATGAATCTTAATTTCCTAAAACTAAAAGATGGTAAGACAGAGGTCATCTTGATCAACAGAAAATCTGTTTCTCAATCCCTTAAAATTGGTGATTCAACTATAACCTCTTCACAGTCTGTTAAAAAGTTTACTTTGATCAAGATCTTAAAATGACATGTCACATCTCTATTATTTGCATGTCTTTAAATTTTCATTTATACAACATTGGTAAACTTCAACCATTTATAACTAGACATCGCTAAAATGTTAACTATTTTAAAGCTTTTGTTCTCTCCAAACTAGGTTATTGCAATTCACTACTATATCAATTATCAGCATCAGAAATAAACAGACTCAAGAAAATTCAGAATAAAGTTGCATGCATCGTCTCTCTAACTAAACAATCTGAACACATTATTCCAGTACTTCAAAACTTTCACTGGCTACCTAATCAGCAGATTAATTTTAAGATTGTTGTTTTAACTTTTAACTGTTTAAATAATAGCTGCTCTCCACAGTATCTTAGTGAACTTTTATCACCTTATAAACCATGCAGGAACCAACGCTCTCACCTGCTCTGCTGATACAAACTTACTTCATGTTCCCACAGTAAAAACTAAACAGACCTTTGTTTACACCTCTCCTAAAGTGTGGAATGAGTTACCTGGTCATGCTAAAAACTCTACTAATGTTTCTGTTTTTAAAAAGAATCTTAAAACTGAACTTTTAAATGTGCTTTTAAGCTGTGAACTCATTGGCTTTTTAAAACTTGTTTCACGCTATATGCATTTTAATGTATTTTAATTGTAAACAGCGCCCTGGAGCAGCTTATTAGCTGAAACACTCAGTGCTATACAAATTTATTATTATTAGTAGTAGTAGTAGTCTTTATAATTTATTACTTACAATGTATGTGTGTCGCGTGTGTCTGTAGGTTTGTCTTTTGGGTTCTATTTGGTTGTTGTGTGGTTGTTCAGTCCCTGAGTTGGCCGAAAAAGTTCATTGGGATTTTCTGGCGTTGTTCCCCCATGTCAGTGGTGTAGGATGGAAAGCTAGGCAAGGGATAAGGTATAGTCATTCGGATTGGACAAAACACAGAGGTCTCGTGTACACATTGGCATGCACGTAAAAGAACCCTTGACAGTTGGAATTCAAAATAATAGTAGGCTGGAGCACCGCTGTCCGGACAAACTTTCCCCCATAGCACAGTAGGAGCAGAACTCTTTATGCTTTGATGTGCTCAATTACACCATAACAACAGTCTTTACATTAAGATACATGAATGATCCGACTTGTGTCTTTAAGGATATCTGAAGTTTTTATAATTAAAACAAAGTTGTTTTACTTCTAGAAAATCTACTAAATGGTTGATCAAAAGAATAAATAATCATGTACCAGTGTCATAATATGAATGTATTTTCTCTCACTTTAGTCTCTCTTTATCCTACAGAAGAAAATCTATCAAGGAAATGTGTTTTACTGTTGGTAGAACTTTATTTATGTACCTACCAGGTAGGTATAATCTCATAATACCTTAAACATTTCTAGTCAATATTCTAGTCCTCAGTCAATGACGATGGACGTGCACCTTTATATATTTATGGTAATAGATTTAATCTTTGTTTATATCAGTCTATCAGATACATTCTGGGGGAATGACAATGTCACCACTGAATGTTATAATTTACTGATTTCCATTCAGTATTTAGATAGGACTGAGTCAAGGAATGATATTTTGATTTTTGGTAAATTGTATTTAATTAACGGGCTATACTATATACTGGAAAACAACCGGAAAACTACTGGAAAACACCATGTTATACTGAATACCGGAAAAACACTAAATACCGGAAAACACACTAAATACCGGAAAACACCCTAAATATGTAACTCGGAGCCTGGTCCTCTGGAAAACACCGGAAAAACCTAACCCTAACCCTAACCCACCGCTGGTCCTCTGGAAAACACCAGAAAACCTAACCCTAACTCCCCACAAACATAGGACCAGGCTCTGGGTTACCTATTTAGGGTGTTTTCCGGTATTTAGTGTGTTTTCCAGTATTTAGTGTTTTTCCGGTGTTTTCCGGTATTCAGTATAACATGGTGTTTTCCGGTGTTTTTCGGTTGTTTTCCAGTATATAGTATTGTCGTAATTAACAGTTCAATGCAAAAGAAAGGAAATAATTGTTGTTCCCTTTTTTTACAGCCAGAGAAGGCAATGGGTAGAATAGCATATTTTGAAAAGACATATTTTATTGGTAAACCTGCTACACAAATGACAGCTGATAAACCAACAAGTAGTGGTGGTGGTGAAAGGTCTGACAGTAGTGTGGATGCTTTAAGATACAAGATAGGATTGGTATAGCTTTTTATACACTCTCTCATTTAAATGTGGTAGTATATTGCCAAGTTGCCCATGATCACATTTTAGTGTCTTGTAAATGCTCGAGTTACCAGTATTACAATGCAAGAACCATTATTAAACGCTTGGACAACTTTGCTACTGGGGACATCTTTCGTTGTCTGGCTACCCAACTTTGATATTTCTTCTATATTAAATATATACTATTGCAAAGATAATGTTGACTGTTGTATGAAAGATGAATGTCTATTGATTTGAGATATATCTTGATTTAATGTTTAGAAACAGATTCTTTTTTTTTTTGCAACTGTACAATGTATGTTTTCTGTATTACAGTATAAAACTAGATGTTTATTAATGTTTAAGTCTTTAAAATCCAGTAAAAGAGAATTAAAAGCTTTACTTGCTATTCATCCTAATGTAAGTTCTTTATTTCTGTTAAATAAAATATTTTGAATTTTAAAGTTTTGAACAAGATTATAATAAATTGGTCTGTCAGTATGTGTGTAATGTCAAAAATAATTAGATGCTTTTTCTTTAGTTTTTATTGAAATAAACTGGTCCTACAAGTTGACTAAGCCTCAAACTTATTCTGAGATTACAGAATATTTACAGCATAACTGATAATTTTTACATAAACTGAGTGACAAAGTTGTAGTTTATCAGCCAATAAACTACAGTTTCTCAATGTAATTCACCACAATCGAGATGTCTGAATCATGTATTGGTTATGTTAATAAGAGTGATTTGATATCTACTCTACTATTCTAGAATGAGTGAGTGTGAATCAATTAAATCCCACTTACATTGCAAGAGATGTTTAAAATTCTGTATCTAAAACTAAGATGAATTCCATAGATTGGGGATAATTTTACATGAGAGAATCATGAAAGGGTGATTTACTGCTTTTTCTGAACAAGTGTACTGGTCATGTGAAATTTGGGTGGCTATTTGTTTTTAAACTTATATATTGTAAAATATTTAAATATCTTGTATATTTCAGCAACAACCTTTATCAGTAACATATCTAAAATGTTATTTAGATTTTTTACGGGGTAATTATAAGAAAGCTATGAAAGGTTTGTCTGGTTTACCACAGACGCAGGTTATTAGTGAACATGGTGAATGTTTAACTATGATGTACTATAATAATCTAGCTTGTATACATTTTCAAATGAAAAAACATCATCTTGGAGCTCTCCATTTGCGCAAATCTTTACAAGAAAATGAGAATGCCATCAAAGATCCAAGATATACAGAGAAAGGTATGTCATTATTTAAAGGACTGACATTCAAAAATCTTTCCCATATTTTTAACCCACATTTCATCTGCACAGTGTGTCGATCAGTTTTTCGATCCACAATTCAGGAAGAACTCCATTGAATGTCATTGAAGCCTTGTAAACTCAAATGTATAGTTCAGGGCTTCCCAGCCGATCATTTTTCACACGGTGAAAGTGGTGCTATTGTTAGCACATAATAAAGAGCCACAAAACAACATGCTATTGAAATGTTGATCGGGTTTAATTGGGTCTAGTACAGTCACACAAAATTCAATGTCACATCGGCATTTATACCAACCCACCCAGGTAATAAATAAAGGAACATGTGTAATCATTTATCATCATTTATTTATTTATTTATTTATACATTCATAAAATATAACAATAACAAGAGACATTCATCTTTAAATAGTCGATCTTTGTGTTCAAGTGACGCTTTATGGTCACTGGAAGCAGCATGCTCTACCAGAGCCGACTTTCTAAAATTCTGTAAACCAGAATAGCCAGTGGGTACTGCTTACGTGACGAGTTACATGTAGACTGTTGACTATTTCTACACACGTGGAAAAAGTAGTTCCGAATGATAAACGCATTGAAATAATTCAAAGTCATAAAAATGTACAATAATTAAAATACTTCTTAAATTTATCTGGACATATTTCAAAATGGCGGTGAGCGTAAAACTTTGTTGTGTTAAGCAAAGTAACGTCTATCAGTTGTTAAATAAAAGAAAAAAAGGAGTAAAAACACACCTGACAACTCTGAGGGAGAGTGATAAAACTTGGCATATTGTTTCATAATTTACATCAATACCTTGACTAATGAGCATTCTCTACTCAGTTTAAACCAAGTAATTAATAATTGTCATTTCTTTGACTAATGCTTTTGATATTGATTTTATTTCAGATCGTCCATTAAATATGATGGGTATGAGTCGACATTATGAGTTATTATATAATATGGGTATACAGTTATTACATTGTGGTAAATCACAGCCAGCCTTTGATTGTTTAATACAAGCTGTACAAGTATATCAGACTAATCCTAGATTGTGGTTACGTCTTGCTGAATGCTGTATACAATATAACAGAGAGGTACATTACTCACTATTTTTCAGCTGTAAGACCATAATTGATTCATAATACTTTACATCATTTCACAGGGGAGTGCGAAACCATGAAATGAAAAATTCTCACCATAGAAATGTTAATAATTATTTCAGAATAATGATGAAGATCGTAAGCTAGAGAAAAGATTAGAAGTAATTCAAGGTTCAGTAGGCAATGGAATTCATCGTAAACTTATTTTAGGTCCCGGTTTAAAGAAGGAAAAACAAAGGTGTGTATAATATAAAACAATGATTTTATCTACTGAAAAGAGGCATTTTGCAAGATTTAGAGACAGTTCAAAAATAGATAATGAAAAATGAATATATTGAGCATTTCAGTCAAATTTCTTTATTCTGAGCAAAGTTATGAATTGCTACTTTTGTCAGGTTTCACTGGTTTCAGATAGCTGATGCCAATAAATTTGTATTATTTTTTGCCCAGATAAGAATTTTTATACGCCCACATGATGGTTGAGTTCGAATTTCGTGAAAATCTGACCGAAACTGCGAGAAAAAATGGCCGCCCTTGTACTGAAATAATGTAAAATATGGTATATCAAGGTTGTGGATAGGGTTGGGCAATAATGGAAAAAAAATATCATGATTATAATTTATTAAATATCACGATCAACGATATTATCGTGATAATTTATATGTGTGTCTTAAGAAGTCAAATTTTTAATATTTGGTCCGAGAATCGTTGCTTGATGTCACATTTTTGTTGGTAATGTCGGTGATGGAGTTTTATCTTAGACCAGCTGGTACATAATAATGCTATTTTTACGGATGAATTTAATTCTATCAATAGAATGTCTTACAAGTTAGTTGAAGTAAAATGTTAATAATGATAATACGTAAACATAACTGGAAGGGTTCTAAAATCTACTTTTTTATATTTATAAGACAGTGACAGTTGCGACTGAGGTAAATACCGTATTTTATGGGGTATAAGTCGATGAGGGGTATAGGTCGAATTGTCATATTTTACTGTTTTTCCGACCTCCGTCCAAAAATAAGTCGAAGCAGTGTAGTGTAAGACGAATGGTTTTCCATTCCTTTCGGATGGTAATCTTTCATCGAGTTACGGTAGTGTTATTATCCTAGTCTAATACTGTGCCGATGTACGTAAAAAAAATCAATTAATGTAAAGTAATTAGTTGCTAAATGTAGGACTAACTTGAGTATTATTCTAAGTTTTGTTCTTGATTCATTTGAACCTTTTTTTATTCCAATATCTCTGATAAATACAAAGACAATACTTGGTTTCTCTTCGTACGTGACTGGCGATCACACAGTGTTACTAATATTAGAATAAAATAAAATAGAAGGCGTCTGTTGATTGGACAATAAAAAAATAATTACAGGCTTTCAAAGTAGAATTTTTAATGATTGGTTAATTCAGTTGAAAACCAAAGTAGAATTCTTGCGAGAAATTACGAGAGATAGAGATAGGTTTCTTGTCGGCAGAAGGTTCTATCTTAATGACATTTTCTAGCCTTTATTGAATGTTGATTATATTTTTTAAAAAATTAAACAATCTATATATATTAAGAAACTCAGACAAGTATACCAATAGCAAAAGTCGGAACAATGTGCGTTGACTTTGCCGCAAGAGTGCTATTATTTTGATATTTAGCAAACGATGTCACTCAATATCGTACTTCGTAGGGCGACAGTTACAGAGAAAATAAATTTTTGATCTCATTTTTTTTTTACCTTCATCGATATATAAGTCGATGCAGACTATAAGACGAGGCCCGATTTTCGCGGAAAAAAGTATCGACTTATACCCCGAGAAATACGTTACTGTCCAACCTTGACATTGCCAAACAACTGTTTCACGATGACGAGTCCTTGCATCAATCCATATGACCTCTTGCATTGCAATTTCAACTTCGTATGATATAGCATATTATCATCAATATTGGGACATGATAATTGTCCCCCGCCTTTCGAAGAAAGCAGGGGACTATTAAAATGGGTTCGTCCGTCTGTCTGTCTGTCTGTCTGTCTGTCTGTCCGTCTGTCTGTCCGTCACACTTTTTGGGACACAATAACTCTCTTCCTAATTGAGCTAGAATGTTCAAACTTGGTGTATGTGTTTATTAGGTCAATGCCTTGATGGAGTTCGAAGATGAGCATTTTCCGCTTAGGGTAAGCAGAGATAAGCAATTTGATTGGTTGATGCTTTGGGACACGATAACTCTCTTCCTAATTGGGCTAGAATGTTCAAACTTGGTGTATGTGTTGATTAGGTCAATGCCTTGATGGAGTTCGAAGATGAGCATTTTCCGCTTAGGGTAAGCAGAGATAAGCAATTTGATTGGTTGATACTTTGGGACACGATAACTTTTAATTGAGCTAGAATGTTCAAACTTGGTGTATGTGTTTATTAGGTCAATGCCTTGATGGAGTTCGAAGATGAGCATTTTCCGCTTAGGGTAAGCAGAGATAAGCAATTTGATTGGTTGATACTTTGGGGCACGATAACTCTCTTCCTAATTGAGCTAGAATGTTCAAACTTGGTGTATGTGTTGATTAGGTCAATGCCTTGATGGAGTTCGAAGATGAGCATTTTCCGCTTAGGGTAAGCAGAGATAAGCAATTTGATTGGTTGATGCTTTGGGACACGATAACTTTAGTTCTAATTAAGTGAGATTGATGAAACTTGGTGTATAGTTTCATTACAGTAATACCTTGACTAAGTTTGATAATGAGCATTTTCTGCTCAGGGTAAGCAGAGCGATACGCAATTTGATTGGTCGAGACTTTGGAAAACAATAACTCTCCTACTTTGATTGTCCCCCGCCTTTCGAAGAAAGCAGGGAACTATTAAAATGGGTTCGTCCGTCTGTCTGTTTGTCTGTCTGTCCGTTCCGCTTATGGTAAGCAGATAAATTTATATGTGTCCTCTAATTATTTTCCTATTTCGGCGGGGGACATCAGCCTCACTGTTGGCTTGTTTAAATTATCATATCGCGATAATTTTGGTTATCACGATATACCGGTTTTTCAGTATTTTTAAAAAAGTCTTGTATGATAAAATTGCCGAAAATTTTATCACCATATACAGAAAAACCGGTATATCGCACTACCCTAGTTGTGGACCCTCTAGAGATCACAATTTTCATCCAATTTTGATGAAACTTGGAATGCATGTTTATATCTTAAAGATCTTGGTGCCTTTCCATATTCGCACATATCGGATCATAACTTCCTGAATTATAGCCCCTGATGATACGAAAAATCACGCTTTTAGCTTCTGCTCCCTCTAAAGGTCACAATTTTTATCCGATTTAAAATAAAATGTTTCAGTAAATCACCATTACACCCTAATAGAGTTCAAGTTTCGTGAAAATCGGACCACAACTGTCGGACAAAATGGCTGCCCCTTGTACACAAATAATGTAAACATCTGGTATATCAAGGTTTTGGACCTCCTAGTGGTCACAATTTTGATCTGATTTTGATGAAACTTGAAATGCATGTTTATAACCCAAAAATCTTGGTTCCTTTTGATAGTCGTGCATATCGGATCGTAACTTCCTGAATAATGGCCCTTGATTGTACAAAAAATCGCGTATTGAGCTCGTGGTCCCAATTTTTATCCCATTTAAAAAAAAAAACGGGTGAATATATCACAATTATACACTAATGATGGCTGAGTTTGAATTTCGTGAAAATCGGACAAAATCTGACGGACAAAACGGCTGCCCCTTGTACTCAAATAGTGTAAAAATATATCAAGGTTGTGGACCCTCTAGAGGCCACAGTTTTTATCCGATTTGGATGAAACTTTAAATATATGTTTCTATCATAAAGATCTTGGTTCCTTTTGATATTCACACAGATCCGAACGTAACTTCTTGGATTATGGCCCCTGATTGGTTGAAAAATCGCTTGTGTATTGTCTGGAGGTCACAACTTTTTTTTCGATTTTAAAAACTGTTTAGATATATCACCATTCCACCATAATGAGGGTTGAATTGGAATTTCGGTAAAATTGAAATGAAAGTGCCCGACAAAATGGCTGCTCTTTGTACGCAAATTGTGTATAAGTATGTATACTATTCAAAAAAAGTAGGGGATATTTGATTTTTAAGTGTTATTAAAGTCACCTAATGAAACTGATGAAGAAACAAATGACAAAATGAAATGAAGTTCACATTCATCGATTTATTCCAAATGATCGTTAGACTAAGTAAGGCACAGACTGACCATTATAAGGGTAAAATGATACCCGGGGTCAAACAGCAAAGTTACCACAGCATCACAACCAAGTCAGTAACGGGTAAATCCTCCTCTGTTTGCCAAACAAGCATTGATCCGACGTGGCATACTCCTAATGAGACGTCTAAGGTCATTTTGGTCCAGATTGTCCCATTCCTGTTGCAACGCAGCAGCAAGTTCTTGGACATTGGCAGGACGTTGTTGACGTTGACGTAACCTCTGTCCAAGCATGTCCCAGACATGCTCGATGGGGGAGAGGTCGGGACTCAGTGCTGGCCAAGGTAATGTGGTGATGTTCTGTTGTTGGAGGTAACCTGTAACGATCCTGGCCCTGTGACATCTTGCGTTGTCATCCTGGAAGATGAAACGGCGGCCATGACGTCGTGCGAACGGCACAACATGGACTGCCAAGATGTTGTCCCGGTAGTACTGGCCTATAACACGCCCTGCAACAACATGTAAAGCCGTTCTTCCAGCAACAGTGATGCCTCCCCACACCATAACAGAACCACCCCCAAATCGATCATGTCTGATGACGTTAACGTCTTGGAAGTGCTCGTTTCGACGACGCCACACCCTCCTACGTCTGTCCAAAAAATCAACAGTGAACCTTGACTCATCTGAAAACATCACATTGCTCCAGCGTCGATTATCCCAGTGTTGACGATCCCTACACCAACGATGTCTTGCCTGAATGTGATGATCTCTCAAACAAGGGATCACGCGAGGACGTCGGGCGCGAAGGTGACCCCTATGCAGTCGATTCCGAATCGTCTGGCCACTCACTCTCACACCAGTGTCTGTTTGAAGACGAGCGCTAATCTGATTTGCTGTGATGACACGATTTCTCAAGGCCAAGGTACGGATAAATCGATCCTGGGCTTGAGTTGTCGCCCTTGGTCGACCTGAGCGTGGTCTGTCCTGTACAGATTGTGTATCACGGAATCTGGACCATAGCCTGCTTATGACAGACTGAGAAACATTCATCGTCCGCGCCACAACCGCCTGTGTTGTGCCGATCTGTAGCATGCCAAGGGCACGTAACCTTTCATTTTGGGTAAGCCGACGCATATCAAAATTTGTTTTCTGGTCACTAAAACAATTAAACTGATGTTTCCACCCTGGAATTCAATGCCACAATGACTGTAACATTCAAAGTCAGAGTCGTGCAAATCTTGGGTTGGACCCCCATGATGATCACCTGCATTCCATGCGGTAGCTATTGGTGCGTTTGGGCGTCACATGTAACTGGAAATGTTTCTTCTGTTAGGTTCTATAGTGACTTTTTTCGTAGTCATTTGCATATTTTAGTATTATGCCCCCAAAATCAAATATCCCCTACTTTTTTTGAATAGTATAATACAAAGGTCACAATTTTTGTCTGATTTTGATGAAACTTAAAACATATCTTTATATCCCAAAGATCTCAGTTCCTTTTGATATTTGCGCATTTCAGACCATAGCTTTCTGGATTATTGCCCCTGATTGTACAAAACATCCCGTTTGTTTTTAGCTTGTTCTCTATCCATCTCTTGCAAAATGTGGGCGTATCCTGCCTGGCAGCCGCTGGTTAATTTTAGCTTGTTCTCTGTCCATCTCTTGCAAAATGTGTCTGTATCCTGCCTGGCACCCACTTTATATAACTGTATTGTCAAACCTTTAATCAGCAGTCTCTTTACACTGTAACATTGGTACCGTTTAATCTTGCGTAAATAGCGTTAATTTCTACTCTGTGTCCCATTATTCATAAATATTGTTGAACGATGACCAACAACTAAACACATCGTAATATCTGAACATCGCACGTGAAATTAGATGTTTGACAACAAAATTTAAAACCTTGCGTAATTGGACACCTGGACTGATTTTAATCACAGCTCGGGAAATTGAACGGTCCAACTAATTATTGAACAGTCGTGCTAATTAGACGGGACACTTATAACTCAACAACTGTCGAGAAACTAAACACTAGTTAATTAGACGCTTGGTAATCAAAATTAAACAGTGAGATTGAAATTCGATAGAAGTACAAATTGAGCACTATTCGCCGAAATTCAACAATATTTATGAATAATGGGACACAGAGTAGAAATTAACGCTATTTACGCAAGATTAAACAGTACCAATGTTACAGTGTTAAGTGACATCATTCATTTTTGGAAAATTTCATCTTGGTCAGCGCATATTGGCCTTTAACTCAGATAGTGCAGGCATTGTTTAATCCACTCAATATTTTAAACATGGGCTTGTCATTTGAATACATGTTTAAATAATAATTTATATAACATTTGAAGCCATAAAAACGACCTTCAATAGGCAGATTTATCTCTCGCATAATGGCTCCTTAACCAAGCTGTATAAGGTACTTTTACATTAGGTTGTCATCTTTTTACGATACCATATCTTCTTCTTTAATCGAGGATAAATATAACTGTTGTTTTGTTTTTAACACTGATCTTGACTTGCTGTGATCAGTATTTTCCAAATTCAAACCAGGTATCTTAATTGGCTGATTTTATTCACCTGCCACCATTTGATGTATGAAATAACCGATTGAAATAATAATATCACAATGATATCAATTACAAGGAGTTAATTATTACTGGTTGAATAAGAAATCAATCAACATATTATTGATACATTGAAGGTATCATCTGGCTGACATTTATAATTGTTATACTTTTAGTTCTGGTAGTTCTGCTATTCCAGCACCGACTTATGAATTTGCTTCTTTGTGTTTACGTAATGCTCTGTTCTTATTACCAGAAGATCCTTTAGATTTTGATACAGCACCATCCCCAGATAATGTTGATGCTAGGTTGGTATCTGTTCAACATTGGTTCATATTACTCATTAAATTTATGTCTTTCTGTAATTCTGTACCTCATACTAATAGCTATTTCATTATTCAAGATATTAACATTTCAAGTTTTCTTAATCTCTTTTTATCTTAGTTTGTTTTTATACATGCACATTGAAATGTGGTCATATATTGTTGTCGCCCCTGTCCGTCCGGCGCCCACAATTGCATGTAGATGCTCTAAAGGCTAAAGTTAATATCCAATTGACTTTAAATGTATACACAGTGTTTAAGGTCCTGGGACAAGGAAGCCTATTGAATTGCAGCGATTTCCGATAATTACTACCAGAGTTATGGCCCTTAATCGCTTTGAAAAATCTTGTGGACGCTCTAGAGGCTAAAGTTAATATCCAATTGACTTTGAATTTATACACAGTGTTTAAGGTCATAAGGCGAAGAAGCCTATTGATTTTCAGCGATTTCAGATAATTACTACCAGAGTTATGGTCCTTGAACACTTTGAAAAATCTTGTCTCGTTCTAGAGGCTAAATTTATACACAATGTTAAAGGTCATGTGACCAAGAAGCCTATTGATTTTCAGCGATTTCCGATAATTACTGCCAGAGTTATGGCCCTTGATCTCTTTGAAATATCTTTTTGATGCTCTAGAGGTTAAAGTTGATATCCGATTGACTTCAAATTTATATGCACTGTTTAAGGTCATGAGACGAAGAAGCCTATTGATTTTCAACTATGTTCGATAATTACTGCCAGAGTTATAACCCTGGACCTCTTTGAAAAATTTTGTAGAAGCTCTTGAGGCTAAAGTTAATATCTGATTGACTTTAAACTTGTACACAGTGTTTAAGATCATGAGACCTCCTATTCATTTTCAATGATTTCCGATAATTACTGCCAGAGTTAAGGCCCTTGATCACTTTGAAAAATCTTGTGGACACTCTAGAGGCTAAAACTCCATTTCATTCATTCACTCTAGAGGCTAAAGTTAATATAGATTGTTTAAGGTTATGAGACAAAAAATCGAAACAAATTCTAATGTTTTCTGATAATTACTTCATGGGTTATCAGATTTTCATGTGTTGTAAAAGTTTTCATTACTGACAAAAGAAAAAATGCCCGGACGACTTAGCTGCCGTGGGCATATGTTTTGTTGCCTGGCAAACTATCTTTAATTGTATATATACTTCTTGTGGGACCTTCTTTTAATGTTGACTAGGATTTATATGTATTTTTATGTGTGACAACCTACTATACTAATAAAATTTAATAATTGTTCTTTACCTCAATCTTCTGATACCCATTCTTTTTGAGATGCAGTGAATATCCGAAAGTCACATGGTTACCACCTTTGTTCTTTGCCAATCCACTTTCCCAATTCGTGCATTAATCTGTGTTTCCGTTTTCAGTAGATATTAGTGATACAATTTTAGGCTAGCCTCGATCGTCATTACTAACATTGGTACGATAATAAACAATAATAATATCCATTTTTATACACCCACATTTTCATGTGGACGTATTCTGCCACCTGTTCGTCCAGGCGGCCGTCCATCCACAATTTGTTTGTGGACACTCTACAGGTCACAATTTTTTTCCGATTTTGACAAAACTTGAAATACAGGTCTATCTCCCAAAGATCTCGGTTCCTTTCAATATTGGCATGTATCGGACCATAACTTCATGGATTATTGTTCGAAAAGTCATGTTTGTGGATACTCTAGAGGTCACAATTTTCATCTGATTCTGATGCAACTTGAAATGCATGTTTATAACCCCAAGTTTTTGGTTCCTTTCGATATCGGATCGTATCTTCCTGAATTATGGCCCCTGTTTTTATCTTGTGGTCCCTCTAGAGGTCACAATTATTATCCGATATAAAAAAACGTTTGAATATGTCACCGTTACACCTTAATGATGATTGAGTTCAAATATTGTGAAAATCGGACCAAAACTGCTGGACAAAATAGCCGCCCCTCATACGCTAATAGTGTAAAAATATGGTATATCAAGATTGTGGACCCTAGAGGTCACAATTTTGATCCGATTTTGATTTCACTTGAAATACATGTTCATAACCCAAAGATCTTGCATATCGGATCATAACTTCCTGAATTATGGCCCTTGATTGTACAGAAAATCGCGTTTTTAGCTTGTGATCCCTAGAGTTTACAATTTTTATCCGATTTAAAAAAAAACGTTTGAATATATCACCGTTACACCCTAAGTTTGATGGTTGAGTTTGAAATTCGGTAAAAATCAGACCAAAACTGCCGGACAAAATGGCCGCCCCTTGAACGCAAATAGTGTAAATATATATGGTATATCAAGGTTGTGGTGGACCCTCTAGAGGCCACAATTTTGATCCGATTTGGATGAAAGTTTAAATTTATGTTTAAAGCATTTAAATATATCACCATTACATATCTGTGAAGGTTGAGTTCGAATTTGGTAAACATCTGACCCAAACTGCATGACAAAATGGCCGATCCTTGTTCGCAAATAGTGTAAAAGTATGTAATACCAAGGTTGTGGACCCTCTAGAAGTCACAATTTTTATCCAACTTTGATGAAACTTAAAATATATCATTACATCACAAATAACTCAGTCCATAACTTCCTGGGTTATGACCCCTGATTGTACGAAAAATCAATTTTTTTTTTTTTTTTTAGCTTTTTCTCTATCCATCTTGCCTGGCAACCGTGGGTTATGTTAAACTATCCATCACAAAATGTACTCAAATCTCCTATAAATATTGCAGGCTAGCGATGACATCAAGATTTATTATCATCAGGATAGGTTAATTAATTACTAAAAAATAATTTAGATAACATTTCAGGCCTAAAGACAGACCTGCAATAGACAGATTTAGCTATTGTATAGTGCATTTTTAAAGAAGCTAAACTTCAAATCAAAATGGTGAATTTGTGATGGGACAAAATCTGTATGATTAAATATTTGTTTCAAAATATTAAGTGAGCTTAATTTACTTAATTTAGTTTCATTGACAGTGGAACAAAAAACAATTATATCTCAACATTGGTTCTATCTGTGAATGCAAAATTGTAAATGTTGACAGATATCCACATAACAAAGCATATCAACACATAAAAATTATTTAAATCAACACTTATATTTGTCATTTTAATGTCTAATATACTAATGTTACAGTAAAAGTCAACAGGACATGTTAATGGTTCCAGCACCACCAGGAAATCCTATGAGATCAGTAGAAGTTGCCAATCTCAGGTAAGTTTTATTTATAGAATATTTTATTATTAGTCCTCTACTGGTGAAACTGGAGGGGACTAATGATTTTCTGTCCATCCGACCATCTGTCATCTCCCTAGTACCCAAAAAGATGCTTCTATTGATAGACTTGTAAACAATTTTAACAGCAGACAGGATTCATAATCCTAATAATTCTGTGATTTATTGACTATAAGAATTATAAATATTTGGTTCTATTCCGTAAGAAGTTTTGTCAGTGATGCAGAAGGTGCAAAATATTTGTTGTCAATGAGAATTAAAATTTAAGAAATTTTTACACCTTTAACCCCAAACGGATGCTTCCACTCAGAATCTACTGATAGCTAGGGATGGAATTGTCAGCAATTTTAACAATTAAACAGATTCAAAATCTAAAGTTTGCTGGGGCTGTGCACCCCCTGGACTCAATTGTGGGCTTAAAAAACTTTCCTCAAGCCCACAGCTTGTTTCACAGCTGCTAAACCCAACTGGGGGGCTGTTGCAAAAACTTGCCTCCTCTTGCTGCGACCATCCCACCAGACCACTGTTGCACAAAGAGTTGAGACAATACATTTAGATAATATAATATGAGTTTGTCTTGATAAATATGTAACCATTTAAATTATAATGAGGAGAAATTATTATGCTAAGTTGCAGAAACTTTGTACAAGTTATATAATGTATTAATATGTTATTATTTTAGATGTAGTATATTATGTGCCGCAGCTTATGTCTCCTTGTCTTTAAATGATCATCTCATGGCTTTAAATTATGCGAAGAATTTGCTACGTCAACCTAGAATATCTGGTGCTCAAAGGTAAACACACCATCAAATCTTAATATTGTCATTTAAAGGCCCATAACATTCCTAGTTTTATAGCTTAAAAATGTATATTTCCTAAAGGCCTAAATTACAACATTTTACTGTTGTAAGCCATTTCAATTATACAACGCTCCTAAATAGCTTCTATCAAGGATAAGGATTAAAACAGAAATGCTTTGATATGCAGAGTTAAACAGTCTAGCAACACACCTTTGAAATTCAGTTTTATGGGTTTTTTTATGTATCTATGTAGCCTACATGTGTAATATAGTTTTAAACTGATATATTATAGATACTTAGGAAACCTATATATGGCAGAAGTATTAGTTATATTAGATCGTATTTCTGATGCTGTCAATCATTTAAAACCAGAAGATTTAGAAGTTATAAATCCTTGTCCACCAGAAGGTTAGTTTATATAATGTAACTGGTATTAAAATAAACTTTTGTTGTTTTATCCCATTTGTTGCATGAACTGAGGGGGAGGAGGGGATAGCCGAATGGTTAGCACTTGCGCGCTGTATCATAAGGCCTGTCATTGAGTCAACTGGCAGGGTTTCGATTCCCTGGTTGTACGTGACCAGGAGTAGGGTCGCCTGCCCAACCTCATGGGTTTTCTCCGGTTACTCCAGTTTGCTCCCACTGCTAAAGACCCCTACGCGCAAGTGAGTTATTATAATAAAATTGAACCATATGTTAGTCCTGAAATGACCTGCTTTGTGTTGAGTGGACATTAAACCCCATTTCTGTCTGTCTGCATGAACTGCATAACATTATATAGTATGGTACTATATGTAATGTAATAAATTGGTGAGATCTTAATTTTTCAGAAAAGACCGATAAAAGTGAAAAAGAGAAAGATGAACCTACAGAAGAAAAAGGTTTGAACACGTTTTACTTGATTTCTAAAAACTTTGACTTCTTTTGTTTTAAGTGGTAACAGCATAACACAGTTCTTGAGCTGAAAAATTGTGTATAATTTAAATTCTCTGCATCCACTGCAGATAATAATATATAGGATTTAGTCAAGAGACGTCACGCCATCTATCAATTTCACTGAAATTGTTTGTTTGATGGATCTGTTTTTAATAGAATCAAAGCCTTGACATTATCTATGGTTGATCTTTTGATCAAAATATAAATGACGCACAGAGACTTAAAATAAATATAACAGATCAGAGGAGAATATTTATATGTACAAAAAACATTTCAGGTCCTCTGTACCCATGGAGTCCCAAGGAAATGATCCATGCAAAAAAGATAATGCAGTATAACTTAGCAGTGACATATGCTATTCGAGGAGACTTTGACAAATCAAATGCAAATTTATCTGAGGTAATTTATTCATCTTTTTTTCTTTTTCTTTTTTTTAATATGCCATCGCCCCTGTCTGTGTGATTGTGTGTGTGTGTGTGTGTGTGTTGTCTGTGTCTGTGGTTCACCTACAGGCCGTAATTCTTAACTGATCATCTTGAAACTTTACATACTTATTCCTTATACCCTAATGATGATACCTATTGTTTTTGGTGGATGCCCAACCCCCAGGGGCAGAGCCCACCCATTTCTTGTATTTGTTTGTTTGTTGTCTACAGGCCGCATTTCTTAACTTATCATCTTGAAACTTTGCATACTTATGCCTTATGCCCTAAGGAACATTCCTATTGTTTGTGGTGCATGCCCAACCCACTGGGTCAGAGCCACGTCCATTTTCTTTTTGTGTGTCTATGTGTCGCCTACAGGCTGCAATTCTTAATTGATTGTCTTGAAAACTTTTCATACTTATTCCTATGCCCTAAGGATGACCTCTATTATTTTTGGTGAATGCCTGACCCCCAGGAACAGAGCCACACCCATGTTTTCTTTGTGGATCTGTGTATTGCATACAGGCCACAATTCTTCATGAATCGTCTTGGGCATAAATATTCCTAATAGCCTTAGAACGGCAACTATTGATTTAAGTGCATGTCCACCCCCCAGTTGCAGAGCTACACCAAATTTTATGTTTATCATATACAGGCTGCAATTCTGAATGGATAAGCTTGGAACTTGGCATATGTATTCCTGATAGCCTAAGGGTGGCAACTATTGATTTTGGTGCATGTCCCTACACACAGGGTCAGAGCCACACCCAATTTATGTGTTTAGCGCCCGAAGGCCACAATGCTGAATAGATTATCTTGGAACTTGGTATACTTATTCCTTATACCCTTTGGACGGCAACTGTTGATTTGGTGCATGATCCCCACCCCCCACCCCCGGACAAAAAAAAAAAACAAAACAAAAAAAACTTTTTGGGTTGGTGCCACACCCACTTTTTGTTAATATTTTGTCTGTAAATGATAAATATAGGCTGCAATTATTAACATATTTGGATCCAATTCGGAATTATCCATCATAGGGTTGTACCTATTTATATTGGTCCATGTCCAACCCCCAAGGGCAGAGGCACGCCCAATTTTTGTGGGTTGTTTTGTCTACAGGCTGGAATTCGGAACCAATCATCTTGTAACTTGGCATATTTATTCCTTTACGGATTCACTTTTTTGTCTGTAAATACTCTACAGGTTGCTATTAATCATTTCAGTAACAGAGTGGTACCTATTTATATTGTTCCAAATCCAACCCCCAGGGGCAGAGCCATGCCCAATTTTTGTATTTATCATCTACAGGTTGCAATTCTGAATGGATTATCTTGGAACTTTGCATATTTGTACCTTATACTGTAAAGACTAACAATTTATTTTGGTGCATGCCCCGACCCTTTGGGGCTGTGTCACACCCACTTTTTTGGTAATATTTAGTCTCTAAATTTGGCAAAACAAACCTAACTCCTAGCCTTCTTTGGCTCTTGTCATATTACAGTCATTGCAGCTATTTCATATTTCATTCTCTTTATTTTAAAAAGTACCATATCAATGAAAGCAGAAATGTGGACGTATATTGCAGCGTTAGCGATGCTCTGGTTATATAAAAAATATTTTCATTCAAAAAACGGACATATGATGGGAGAGCAGGCATATGCCTATGTTGACTCCTGTCCCTACTAATAATATAACACAGTGGACTCTGTCACATCCGACGACATCGTACGGGATCGTTACAATAATTCGGATCACACAGCGTTTCGGAATACCAAGCTTTCTCCAAAACCGGAAATACTGTAACTTCGAAAACCGGAAGTATTTTTATATTGTAGCTTCGAATCACCAGAATGCTATTCCCGGTAATCTTAGGCAAACTACTTTAAATGATTACATGCATTGATATTTATAAATATATTGTACGCATGCATTGATATTACATGTAAACGATTTTATGAATATATTGTACGCATGCATTGTTATTGTTAATTATTTAATATAATAAAATTTTGAAAGTACAGAAAAGTTTATCATTTATAAATTATAAATGATAAACTTTTCTGTACTTTCAAAATTTTATTATATTTATAAAATCGTTTACATGTAATATCAATGCATGCGTACAATATATTTATAAATATCAATGCATGTAATCGTTTAAAGTAGTTTGCTTAAGATTACCGGAAGCATATCGTAAGGCGGAGTCCTGGGCAACATCTTCTAACAAATGAATTGTTGCAATCATCTTTTCGTCCTTAATCTGTGCGAAGTGTTTAATGTCGTTGAGCATGCGTAGGAATTTTGAATAGGTCAAGTCTGTCGTTAATGTATATTCTTCATCGTCCTTGTCTTCAGTCAATTGTCCACTCTATTACGTGTTCATTTATAATCTGTCGTTCTATGTCCAGTTTTTCAAGCCAATCAAAGTAAACGGCACCTGTCATCCAAGCTTTGCGATTGGCCGACCAATTGACTGGCAGGTTGATCTTGTCCACTCCCTTAAAACATCTCGGGTTAACTGCTTTACCGATCAAAGTAATCAACACAGACCGGCTCTTGCAAGTTTTAATCTCACCGATAATTGATTGGTGATTACTTGTTAATCTTTTCTGGCTTCACACCCATTGTGTTTTAATCTCACCGATAATTGGATGCTTCACACCCACCGTTTGAAGTACGGATTATACGGTGTCGATTCAATGGAAATTATGTGACGGGATGGCTGATTGATTTCGGAATCCGGAACATACAGAATTCGGATTTACCGGCGATTTTTGGGCTGAAGTAATAAGGAAATAAATCGGGACATGAAAATTATACCGGATGTCACAGCAATCCGGAGTGATCAGAGATCGGATGTGACAGAGTCCACTGTACATGTAATTAACATATTCTGACAATATTATTAGAGAATAAATAAATCAATGTACAGCTTAGAATAAGGAGAATAATGTAATCCAGGATATCTACATTACCTTTTCATAGAGTGCATCTTACTCTTAGGATCCTGGGACCTGTTTCACAAAAACTTAAGCTAAAACCTCTAATAGATTTTAACTAAAATCAGACTGAAATTTTAAATTTTATACGTTTCACGAAGATCGATTGTAAATTAAAATGCAATTTTAATAGATTTTAGTTCCAATTGCATCTACGCTTCGGAACTGAAAACTGTTGGCAGGTTGAACTGATGGTTACAATACGAATGGGGAGAATTTCATACGTTTGCACATGGTCAGACAGTTGTAGAGAGGTTAGATAAATGAGTTTATTGTGTATTATTCATTTTGAAATGTATCGGTGAGTTGGCCTTGAACTTGCATCTGCTTTCGTGACCTTGGCATTTGATTTACTCGAAGACTTCAATGGAAATAATGCGTATCGATAGACAAAATTGCTTGAATTTTGTAGTTTTTTGGATAACAGAAACTATTGAGAATTGTCACAAACATATGATATAGGCCTATAACATTTTTCAGTAAACACATTTGAGATTATTGATTTATCTTTTAATCAATGATCATAATCCCAAAACCATGTGAGTAAATCCTTTGCATACGGCATGTCTAGTATTATAGGCCTTTATGCCTTCTAATACCAAGAAATTGGCTATTTTAAACCATTGTAGGAATACACGAAGATTTGTGATGTTATAGTAAGACTGCTCTTTCCATGACATTAGATAAAAAAATATGATGTGAGTTCAGAATTTCATATAGGTTTTTTTCTTTGTTGGTTTTTTTATGTCTGTTAATTATTTGAAAGAATGAAAATAGTATAAAATATACTTGAATCATATGGTAATATTTGGTCGTATATTGTCGTCACCCCATCCATCCTTCTGTCGCTCGGTGCCGCGTCCACAAGCAACCTACCACTCACCTGTAATCTGATTCATATTCTACACAAAAAGTTTGTTAAAACTACTAAATTTTAGCTGTATATCTTCAGTAGAAAGGGTAAAAACAAGATATTTGAAACTTGAGTAAATTATTGATACATATTTTGTTTCGAAAACTAATCGTTAACTCGTGAAACTCAAATGCCCATATCTCAGTCAATTTTCAAGCTACAGGCCACAAATTCTGCTGTTTCTAGTTTTTACATGTACAATAACGTATATTTTTTGCAGATTTTTTCGAGGGGGTCGATTTCCCAAATTCTTAAATTAGCCCTCTTGACATGGAATTACCCAAATGGGTTGTTACTTGTAATCAGATTTTTGTGTGTTGTAAATTTTTTTCATTTCTGATAAAAGAAAAAAATTGCGACAACCCTTGTTGACTCCCGGACGACTTAGCTGCTGTTGGTGTATGTTTCGTTGCCTGGTAACCTATCTTTTTTTGTTCTTGGGGCTTAAATTGCCCTACAATAAAATAAACAGGTGGTCCGTACCTGTATTTCCAATGCAATGAACGGAAATTGAATGAGAATTGTTTTTTGAATGATGGTATGTTAAAATTATGTGAACAGGGTCATTGGCAATCTTATCATTATTTCAAATCTATATAAGTATATGTCACAATAGATCTAACAATGTAGCCCTAATCAATGTTTGTTAATGTTGTGATTTTAAGTTAGGAGAGGGTGACGGCTGTCCTAAGTTAAAATTGATTTTTGTTAAAATTGTCCCTAAAATAGTTTTGGGAAACGCCGCTCTTTTAAGTTAAGATAGAATTTTAACTTAGAATATTATTTTAGTCTTAAGTTAGGATGAAATTTTAGTTTAAGGCGATTTTAAGGAGATTTAAGTTTTTGTGAAACAGGTATACAAGTGGTAGCAGGGCAACAATGACTGCTCTCAGGTATAGAGGACACTACATAAAATAATGTTCAGGATCTTCAAGGTGCTTGTTCATAGGTACTGTTCTGTGTATGATAATTGTCAACAGAAGATTAAGTCTGCATTAATTTATGATGAAAACTGATCACTGTAACACTTTCATTTGGTATTGTCTGCATAGTACTGGCAGCTTATGTATGAACATGGTCCTTGTAGTACAAGGGTTTTATTTATAATTTATCACTATGTACAAATTTTATAAATATTGTCCCCCGCGTTTCGAAGAAACTCCAGTCGCCATGTTCGATGTGGTATGTTGTTCGAACACTCCCCAATGAGAGCCGCCCCCAAAAATGTAGTTATGTCCCTTGATCGTTTTCGTGAACAAAATATCTTACACATATGTAGAACACCAAAAAAGTTATCACAGCATAATGTCCAGTGTAATTATAACTAATACTATGCAATAAACAGATAGTTTAGATTAGATTTTCACATGTCGCCATAATCGATGTGGTATGTTGTTCAAACACTCCCCAATGAGAGCCGTCCCAAAAAATGTAGTTATGTCCCTTGATCGTTTTCGTGAACAAAATACAATATTGAACATGGTGACTTGCGAAAATCTAATCTAAACTATCTGTTTATTGCATAGTATTACTTATAATTACACTGGACATTATGCTGCGATAACGTTTTTGGTGTTCTACATATGTGTAAGATATTCACAAGAAGACGTGGCAATAATAATATGAAGAAGACGATAGTTTGTGTAGGTGATTTGTTTTGGTTGAAAATTTCAGGTTGGGGTAAGCCATCTTTTTGCATCTTTTGTTTTAGAGTAAAGCTTAGGCTATATAGTAGTAGAAATGAAATGAAATGGGGTTTAATGTCCTACTGATATAGTAGTAGACGCAGTTCATATAATTATTTACAGGCTTACCTGATCAGACATTTTGCAATCTTCAATAATTTGGTATACTGTTGGGAAAAAATAGGTCAATCAGTGAGGCGTGTGTAGAGAATAACACCGGATGTGTACAGCTGGCTGACAAGAAACAAACTGGAAGTGAGAGCGGCTAACCTTCCAGGTCATAAGCCTCCATGTCCGCCATATTTATTTCACAAATTGGAAACAAGTATGGCGGCTTGGGGGCGTTGAACTTTTTTTTATTTAATTATTTCGGTATTTTTGTAACCGGAGTTCAGCTTTAAGTGAGAGTGTTCATACTTGGTGTATAGTTTCATTATATCAATGCCTTGACTAAGTTTCTTTAATGAACATTTTCTGCTGAGGGTAAGCGGAGCGATGAGAAATTTGATTGGTCGAGACTTTGAACCACAATTACTCTCCTTCTAATTGAGGTAGAATGTTCAAACTTGGTGTAAGTATTCATTAGGTGAATGCCTTGATGGAGTTCAATGATGAACATTGTCTGCTTACGGTAAGCTGAGATAAGCAATTTGATTGGTTGATGCTTTTGGCCACAATAACTTAAGTTATAATTAAGTGAGAGTGATGAAACTCTGAGTATAGATTCATTATATCATTACTTTGACTAAGTTTGATGATAATTTATTGCTTAGGCTAAGGACTGATAAGCAACTTGATTGGTCAAGACTTTGGTCAAGACTTTGGAACATAACAACTCTGCTTTTAATTAATGTAGAATGTTTAAACTTGATGTTTATGTTCATTAGGTGAATGTCTTGACTGAATTCAATGATTAACATTTCCCGCTAAAGCTAAGCAGAGCTAAGCAATTTCTTTGACTTTGATTGTATCTGGTAGAGAGTGCTGAAACTTAGTGTATAGTTGATAATTAGTTTGATTGCTCGATACTTTTGCAAAAGATAAACGTGCAATTAATTAATATGTGTCATCTATTTATTTCAGGATTTCGGCGGATACCAGCCTCACTGTTGGCTTGTTTATTTGTCAGCATAATTATAGTTAAATTGTGTTTCTTTGTCTTACAGCTTAACCTTTGTATGCTTTATGTATATATTTACAAAAAAAGGAACATAAATGAAAGTATTTAACAATTGTGGAATTATCTGATACCATGAATGCTTTGGTAGCTGACCTTTTTTATACACTCAGTTTAAACATCAGAATTGAGAAAAAGTCAGAAAGGGTTAGGTAGATCACTAGAGGTCGAATTGCAAAGATTTGTATTGAGTACTTTCGCACAATAAGTAAGCTTTGCTGCTTGTCGTTAACATTGCGTTCATAGCTTCCAAAATTAAAAGGTAATCCATGTATTAGATGGGTCTTATGAAATTATGATAAATAACCATGTTATTTCATTTATTCATAAAATTCTTAAAGTAAATTTTTTTTTATGTTTATCAGAGTGTTGCAGCCATTGGTACCCCATTACCAGCACAAATGTTCTTCTTAAAACTGTATTTAGATCTAATGGAAGGTAAGATATAGTATATATAGTATATAATTGAGGATTGCTTCTATTAAAATATTAATTGTCCCCCGCCTTTCGAAGTAAGGTCACCTGTTCAATCTTGTGGGTTTTCTCCGGGTCCTCCGTTTTCCTCCCACTGCTAAAGACCTCTACGCGCAATGGAATTATTGAAATAAAATTGTACTATATGTTTGCCATGAATTGATCTTGTTTGTGTTGAGTGGATGTTAAACCCCATTTCTCTCTCCCTCTCTCTGAATAATTTGAAGATCAGGGTACTGCTTATCTAATCACACAAAAGAACTAAGTACACTTAAATTAAATATTATACGTTAACTTTACATAAGCCTCATAAGGAGGTCACTTTTGTATGAGAGAGTACATATGAATCACTGATTCTATTTATGTTATTATCTTTCAGGCAGAAGAATAACTGCACAAAATGTTATCAAAGATCATTTTGGTCATATGACACCCAACCGGGTAGAGAACCAAGTTCTTTCAAAATCCAGTACAAATGCTTGGCACGACAATTCATAGTTGGAGCAAATATGTTGTATTTAATTTATGAATATCACCAGGTTTTGAAAAGTGTGAAATATTTGATAGTGCTCTGACACATAGTTCCTTCAAGATTATAACTTTAAATACTGTATCCACATTGTTTCATGGTTTTAAACTACTGACATTTGCTTTGCTGCAAACCACATTATGTTGAAAGTTATGCAAAGAATACATTGATCATTACTTGTTCAATTAGAAAATAAATTTTTATACTCTTACTTTCAGTATTGGTGTATTATGTCGTCACCCCGTCCATCGGTCAGTCAACAATTGGCTTGCTAATGAGGACAAATCCTATTTTCATGCAGCATTATGCCCCCTTTTCTAAAAACATTGTGATGGTGATATAGGCTACAATTTTTATTTTATTATTTATTTGAAATTTGTGTGAAATTTGGTCGGCATAAGTTTTCATTTTGGACCAGCTCCTGTCTTATGCTATTTTTTTTCAAGACATAGCTGCTGTGTGGTTGTATTTCCACAGTTGCTTGGCTATCTTTTTAAATACTGAAAGGTTTTTTTTATGCTATATGAATACTTTCCTTGGCACATTACAAGATGTAGTACATGGGTGTATTTGTTGTTTGATATTAATTATTGATGCTTTAAAGTCAGTTAATTGGTCACTTGTTCAAAGATTTTGGTACAGATCAGATTTCCAGATCAGTGTAAAGTTTTAGTCCTGGATATCAAAACACGTTCATTAATCATGATCTTAATCAAGTTTTTAGCTTGTGGTCCCTCTAGAGGTAACAATTTTTATCCAATCTTAAAAAGCAGTTTGAATGTATCACCGTTACACCCTAATGATGGTCGAGTTCGAATTTCGTGTAAATCGGACCAAAACTGCCAGACAAAATGGCCGCCCCTCGTACGCAAATAGTGTAAATGAAATGAAATGATATTGGGTTTAATGTCCTACTGTTCTGCTATGAACTGGGCTAATGAAGACGGGCATACGCCATACAGTGTTTTGAGAGAAATTTGGCACGGACAGCGACACTACGGATTACTCTTATATCGAATTCCAACTGTCAATGGATCTTTTATGTGCACGCCAATGTCCCACCCGAATGACTATACAGCTGTGCTTGTGAGGCCCTGTATCACTGATGAACTGGATGAAAACAGAAAATCTGGATAAACTTTCTCGGCCACTGCAGGGATCGAGCACCCAACCTTCAGACTAGCGAGCCAGCTTCTTACCCATTTAGCCACCAAGACCCTCGCAAATAGTGTAAATATATGGTATATCAAAGTTGTGGACCCTTTACAGGCCACAATTTTCATCCGATTCTGATGAAACTTGAAATACATGTTTGTTCCTTTCGATATTTGCTCATATCGGATCATAATTTCCTGAATTATGGCCATTGATTGTGGTCCCTCTAGAGGTAACAATTTTTATCCGATTTAAAAAACTGTTTGTACAAATAAATCACGTTTTTAGCTTGTCCCTCAAGAGAACACAATTTTTATCCGATTGAAAAAAAATGTTTGAATATATCACCATTATTTATACACTAATGATGACTGACTTTGAATTTCGTGAAAATGGGACCAAAACTACCGGATAAAATGGCATCCCCTTGTACGCAAATACAGTAAACTTCACATAAGTCGGATCTAAGTGGACTTACCAATTTTATCCAAGTTAAGCGAAGATCCAAGTTAGCCAAAGACTGAAATTCTATCTTGGCTCGATTAGAAATAAACTGCAAGAGATGGATAATAATTGATTCAAAGGCACATTTCAAGCTTTTGTTTGTATGTGTGAGTAGATAACTTCTATTTTGGTGCGAGTAGATAACTGCCGTTTTGTCGCCATGTTTGAAAAATGCCCTAAATTTTTCCAGAAAGTGTCTCGTACAGCAGACAGCGAGTTTCGAATTTTCTGTGAAAATTCTATTATTGCGTCGCGTCAAATAGGCTGATTTGAGTCAAAATCATAGGGGAAAGTATTTTGGAGCTCTGTGCATGGAATACCTAACCGTTTTTTAGACCATCGGGACTCAAAACTGACAGTCAAATTCTGAACATACTGATGATCCAATTTAGGCGATGGAAGAAAAGACGGAATTAGATCAAATGGACCAAACATTTTGATCCGAGTTGAGCAAAGATCCGCCTTACGCGCAGAAATTGAATAAGAAAATCGTGCAAGATCAAAGTGTCCAAATGTTTTTTTCCGAGTTGAGCAAACATCCAACATATATACGAATCCGACTTATGCGAGGTTACTGTAGTATAAATATATGGTATATCAAGGTTGTGGACCTTCTAGATTTTGATGAAACTTGAAATATATTTTTATAACCCAAAGATCTTTGTTCCTTTCGATATTCGCGCATATCGGATTGTAACTTCCTGAATTATGGCCCTTGATTGTACGAAAAATCACTTAAGCCTGTTCTCTATCCATCTCTTGCAAAATGTGGGCGTATCTTGCCTGGCAGCCACTGGTTTAACATGACAAGACCATAATCAACTCTAGATGTCATCGAATGGCTTTGATTTTAAGTAGATAAGCCTGTTCTCTATCCATCTCTTGCAAAATGTGGGCGTATCTTGCCTGGCAGCCACTGGTTTAACATGACAAGACCATAATCAACTCTAGATGTCATCGAATGGCTTTGATTTTAAGTAGATAATATCAGTTAGGCCAATTACTGATTTAATTGAAAACTTGAGAAGCGAAGCTAAGACTCGAATGACTAGTACAGTAATTACGATCAATGCACACATCTTGTCAAAACTACAATCATTGATAACTTAGCTCAAAATAAAGTAATTTGAATGAAATTTTCAATATATTCATTTTGCATTATCTATTTTTGAAATATTATAGCGAAAACGGCCAGCTCAAAACTAGGTAATGCACAGACTGCCTTTTCTATTATTCTTGCATTTTCTGATTTCTTAACGGTCAACATTTTTTTATGAAAAGGTTCAAATTGATATCCTCTTAAAGTCTCATCTGTAAACTGAAAATCTTCTATGTAGCTGTTAGTGATCTCTACTTCAGTCAGTAACAAGAACTGTTTTCCTTTATTTGCATCACTTCTGGATTATTCAAACTTTACCTTGAAATTATATTTTGAATGTGATCCATCCCATATGTAAAATTGGTGGACACCAACAGGGTCACTTTAAAGTCCATGAACGTCATTTGATTGCAAACCATAATATTGTGAAAGGTGAATATCTGAAAAGAATATCAGTCCCACTAGGGTTCAATTCTGTTCAGTATTAACAAAGATATGATGAATTGAAACTTTATGGCAAGTGTATGTCTGTTTTGGTTTAGGTTCGTTTCATCTATTACCCTTTTAAACAAGCTGGCCTTATCTTTAAGTTTCATCATTGAACTTGTTTGAGGGACCTCTTTTTAATCCGATTGAATTCATGACGGAAGATTGTCTACAGTTGATATTTTGATTTTGTTTTATTAAAGAAGCATCATGTAAGAGCTAAATCTGCCTGTTGCATGTCTTTATTTTGGTTTCAAATGTTACATAAACTATTATTTAGACATTTATTAACATGACAAGTCAATAATCAACTCTCTAGACCATCAGATTGCCGTGATTTAAATGAATTAGAATGAGATTACAAAATTTTAACAATGAAATGGACAAGCGAGGCTAATTCGCAAGTGTCCAGAATGAAATTTTCCATATATTCATTTTTCATTATCTATTTTTGAACTAATGTAGAAGAACAACAGGGCCCTTTTTCAGAAAAACTTAATAAATCTCCTTAAAATCGTCTTAAACTAAAATTTCATTCTAACTTAAGTTAGATAAGTTTTACTGAACGATTTTAAGCTTTTTAGATAAAATCCACTAAAATAATATTTTAAGTTAAAATTTAATCTTAACCTAAAATAGTTTTGTATCACAAAAGTATTTTAGGGACAATTTTAACCAAAATCCATATCAATTCAGGACAGCCGTCTCCCTCTCTTAACTTAAAACCATGACATAAACAAACAGTGATTAGGGCTTAGTTGTAAGGTCTATTAGGACAGATAGATCTATTAGGAATAATGATAATACTCTGGCTAATTTTAACATACCATCATTCACAAAGAAAATATTCTCACTCAATCCGTTTATTTTATTGTAAGACAAATTAAGGAATTAGATGACCCCCCGAAATTAGAACCCCATGAAAAAAAAACCACAGTAAACAAAAACCTTTTGTTACTGGTTTTATATATTACTATTAATTCCTTTTGTCGCTGTGATTTGTCAGGTTGAGAAATAGTCGGTAAGGATTTCAAAATAGCCTTAGAACAGAGCTGAGGAAGAGTGGTATTTCAATACTGCATATATATTATACTATTTTTAAAAAGTTAACAGACAGAAAAAAAACAAAGTAAACAAAAACCTTTTGTTACTGGTTTTATATATTACTATTAATTCCTTTTGTCGCTGTGATTTGTCAGGGTGAGAAATAGTCGGTAAGGATTCCAAAATAGCCTTAGAACAGAGCTTAGGAAGAGTGGTATTTCAATACTGCATATAGATTATACTATTTTTAAAAAGTTAACAGAAAAAACAACAAAAAAAACCTTAAAGGAAATCTGAACATCTGAACTCAATTCATATCTAATGTCATGGAAAGAAGAACACTCTTAATTATAAAAAGTATTTTCGTGTTCAGTCGTTTAAAATGGCCAATTTCTTAGTATTACTAGAAGACCTAAAGGCATACAATACAAGATATTCCATATGCAAAGTATTTACTCTTGTGTGGTCTTTGGTTAAGATTATTTGGTTAAGATTAATCTCAAATGTGTTTATTGGAAAATGTTATAGGCCTATTTAAAATAAAATTTGAATATCTCAAATGTATTATTATTTCTTAACGAAGGCTTACTTTAATATCATAAATCAGAGAAGCACACAGTGAGAAGTTTTAGGAGCTAACGGTATTTTTTCTTCAGGAAAAAATCATTTTAATTGAGTTAGATAGATAGGCCTTATCCAATAAGGAATGTGGCACTTTGGCATTTTCAAAGAGCTAAATCTGCCTATTGCAGGTCTTTCTTTAGGCCTGAAATGTTATCTAAATTACTAATTTTTAAGCTAAAAATGGATGTGCGAGACTTAGCTTCGAACAACCAGTACGGTGGTTGAAATTATTGCACAGGTCTTGTCAAACCTTCAAACTCTAACATCTTCGCTCGCAATAGAGTAATCTATTTTCGAAC